ATTATTATAATGCTTATTATTAAAGTTATTGTTATATCAATAATAATAATAATAATAATTGTATAACCGTAAAAATAACACTTTTAATAATATTAAAGTTAGGGATGATAAAAGTATTGTTTGCTTGACCACTTTCAATTTGAAGTGCTATTCTTTTGTTTAGTTTTTTTTTTTTTTTTTGTAGCCAAGAGCATATCACAAGGGCTGTAGATGGAGGTTAACTCTTATTTAACCTTTAGTATTACTTTATAGACTGTCAATTTTTAATTTTCTTTCTGTCTGTCTGCCTGCTGTGTCTCTGTCATCTTGCTTTTACTCGTTTCTCACCCCTTCTATCTGTGTCTTTCATCTTTCAAAGTCTAAGAAAAAGTCGTCACTGTTGTTGACAGAGCAGTGGTCCAGGGCTCGTGATGTGAGCTCTGCTAGTCCTCTGCATTCCCCCAGCTCTTTCCGGCAGGTAGCAACGATGCATTTAATGACTGCTGTGTGTGTTCTGGAGATGTTTGTGTGCACGGATGGGTTTCTGTAACACTTTCAAACACACTTACTCATGCTGGAGAAAACCCTTTGACTAAGGCTTCTTTTTTCAATCCTCACCTGTTATAACCCGATGTGTGTATCAGCGTGTGAAGCCATCAATATTGAAATACAACTAAAAAATGCCACACATGTAACATGGCTGTAAAATTTGATCATGTGATTTGTTTATTATTATTATTATTATTAATAAGGTGCATGAAAGCTTTTTCTTGGAAACTAATCTGAGTGGTCTTAGTGCATTGATATTGTTAATCAAAATCAACATGCTTTAATAAAATTATGATTGTTTACTTTGGGAGGTATTGGTGATACGTTTGAGCATCAAGTTTGCTGGTTGAATTACACCCTGTGCCTTGTTTCATATATGAATAACCATGCAAGAATATTGAGATGTACAATATTGTGCTAAAACACATATACTCATCTAGACGCCTTTAAAAAGTTTGAGGTTTGTAATACTGATTTTTACTTGCTATTTATTTCGATTTAATAAGACATTTCTCAAGTCTTTAGTGTTATGTGTTTCTTCAGAAACCATTTTAATAATGTTGATTTGCTACTCAATTGATATATATTGCAGCAGTGATAATAATTATTAATATTTATAAATATTGAATTGTTTATATAATTATATATTTGTTCATTTTTATTTTAATTAATTTTCATTTCATTAAAATTTTATTTCATTTAAATTTTTTTCAATTTGAAATTTGTAAATTCATTTAATATAGTTTAAATGAATTGTACTTATTATTATTATTATTATTATTTATTTATTTTTTCATTTATTTATTTTTATTTTAATGACATTTTATTTCAATTTCATTTCAATTTACTTTCATTTAATTTTATTTCAGTTTTATTTTAATTTATTTAATTTTAATTTATTTTTATTTATTTCGATTTAATTTAGAATTTTATTTTATTGATTTTTTTATTGATTTTTTATTTTACCTTAATTACATTTTATTTGATTTCAATTTGATTTAAATTTACTTTAATTTAATTTCAGTTTTAGTTAAACGTATTTAGTTTTTTTAAATTATAATATTTATTTTTCTTTCCATTTCTTTTTCTTTTTTATTTTATTTAAGTGTATTTTATCTTTATGTATTTAAATTTCAACTTTAAATAGATTCGATTTAATTTCAACTTAATTTTTTTTTTAGTTTTAGTTCTATTTTTTTAATTTAAATGTATTTAAATTTATGTTTTATTTTATTTTAAGTTTTTTATTGTATTTATTTTCGTTTCTATTTTTCATTTTATTTTATTTAAATTTTACATTTTTTAAATTATTTAAATTTTGTTGGGTTTAAATTTCATTTCAATTTCCCTAGTTTGTTTTTTCAGTTTTAGTTCAATTTATTTAATTTTAATTTACTTTTATTAATTTAGTTAATTTACTTTAAATTTTTTATTTTATTTATTTTTATTTCTATTTCATCATTTTTTATTTTAACTTAAATTTGATTTTGATTTCATTTCAATTTACTTAATTTACTTTTTAAAAATAGTTTATTTTTATTTTATTTTTAATATTTTATTTTATGAATATTTTATTTTTACTTCAAGCGTTAAACATTTTTTGACGAACAGAGTTTAAAAGTATAGCATTTATACTTCAAAGACAAATTGATGCATTATTCATATCTTTACCACGACTTCTCCTGAATTGCACATATCCTTAAAACAATCTTTCTGACCTCAATCCTCCAAACAGCAGTTTGTTTTGCAAACCACTGTTTTACATTTAGGTAATTATAAGTCACTGTATTCAATTAACAATTTTCCTTTTTTTAGTATCTCACAGCTTTTATTCTTTGTTCTCATTTAGAACTTTTAATTGCTTTTGAGCTGAATTACACCGCGTGCCTTCTGTCATCTGCACAAATAACCAAACAATATCTAATTTTACCTTTATTTTGTACATTTCTGATTCTTTATGGTTTTTCAAATGCATTCATTATCTCAATCTTCATCAAACTCTTGTTCTTTTCACCACCCGTAGCACTGTGTAAAGATGTACACAGGGGGTGTGAGCTCATTGGCTGAGCAAATAGCCAATCAGCTTCAGGCTAAGGACGACCCCAGACCCATGCTTGAGAAAAGGGATTTGGTAAGAATTCTGAGTGTTGTTATGTTGCCGTACATCTGAGAGCACATTTTGTCCTGGTGCATGGCTTACTTTTAGAACTGGATATCAAGACGTGTATGTCATGAATGATTCAGTGCATTGTTAATTGGAACAAGATACTACAGAGGCATCAACTATTGGATAAGAATAACACCTACAAGAACAAAGGTTTATATAAGGTTTCATCTATATAGGTTTGTCTGCACTGGTACGTTTATCTGATGAAAAAGCCAATTTATCAGTGCTGAAAAAGTATGTACTGATTGATTGGCCAGGGATCAAGTCAATTCTTTACGCCCTATTCACACGGGGCGTCAGCGTCAACGCTTCCCATTCACTTTGAATGGGTGACGTCAGGCGTTGCCGAACTGCATTGTGGATCCGTCGGCGCCGCTTCAGAAGCGTTCCTCGCTGCAGAAGTTGGGACCAGCTCAACTTTTCAAGCCCCGACGGAAGCGTCAGCCAATCAGATCGTTGTATGCAAATACACCAGCTCAGACAGTGGCCTATTGCTAACTGAATTTCATTGGCTGACGCTTCTATGACGATCGTTTCAGCCCCAACTTCAGACACGCCCTCTGTCAAGCGTTGACGCTGAAGCCCCGTGTGAATAGGGCGTTAGAGAGACAGAAGAAACTTTCAACTGGATTTTCTTTTCTTTCTTTACATTTCTGTTGTGCGTTACCCAACTGTGTTGATTTACTCAGATTAAATATTAAATATACTCAAATTATAATTTTAAAAATTGTTTTTTATTGTTAATTGAAATATTTTGGATGTTTTTAAAACATTTTTAGTTTATTTTAATATTTTTTTATATTTTATTATTAATAATATATTTTTTATGTATTTATTTTAAAATAATTTACTTTATACGTTTTAATTTATCTGAATAATTGAAAAAATGTACAATAAAAAAGATTTTAATGTTATTTTATTTAATCGTTCGTTGGTTCGTTCATTCGTTGTTTCATTTGCTTTTTGTTTTGTTTGTTCATTCGTTGTTTCGGTCATTGTTTCATTCAATGTTCGTTCGTTCATTGTTTCATTCAATGTTCATTGTTTCATTCATTCGTTGTTTTGTTTTGTTCGTTGTTTTCTTTCTTTGGTTTGTTCAGTAGTTGTTTTGTTCATTGTTTCATTCGTACATTCAGTCCTTCGGACGGTCAGTCGGTCAACCATTCGTTAATGACATATTCGTTGTTTAATTTGTTGTTTCGTTCGGTCCGCCTGCCTGGTGGTCATTCGGTTCGTCCACCTGTCAGTAGTTCTGTCCGTCGGTCTGTTCATTGCTTCGTTAGTTGTTTCACTTATTGTTCCTAAATGTAATCTATTGCACTCAATTGTGTTGGATTGCAGATATTTGATCATTATCATTTCAGAATTATTCATATAAAACCATTCGCTCTGCCATATACCAACCTAGGGTCTTGGTGGATAGGAGTTTCTCTTGGCAGATTTCTGTGCGTTTAACAATCTGATTTTTAAAATACTTGATTTTGACTCACTTCTCTGTCTCTCTCTCTGCAGGGTTCCTTTCGAAAGGAGTTCCCTCAGAACATCGGTGGCAGCGATGTGTGTTTCTTCTGCCGTAAACGGGTCTATGTGATGGAGCGTCTCAGCGCTGAAGGAAAGTTTTTCCATCGCAGCTGCTTCAAGTGCGACTACTGCGGCACAACCCTCCGCCTGTCCTCATATGCCTTCGATGTTGAAGACGGTACGAAATTTAGATCCAACCCAAAATTAACATACACAATTTTGTTTGTGATTGCTTTTAAAGACCTATATACATTATACAGGGTGGGGAAAAAGTCACTATGCTGCTTTACAAAGACAAAGTGCAGTAACTACGCGTTTGTTAAAATGAGTTAAAGCCTAGAATAAGTTTTGTGACATCTATTCAGTCCCGTGACAGTCTCCTGTTTCAGCTTTTGCTCTGTTCCAGAAAAAAAGTGTCAAAACAGCAGTAATTACAAAACTCAAGCTGGTGTAAAAACATTAAAGGGGACCTATTATGCAAAGATCACTTTTACAAGGGGTTTAAACAACCTCTGAAGATAAAAATTCATTAATTCTATGTTTTTTACAATCACACTTAATAAAAACAGTCTGCTGAAACAGTTCCCTTTGTACTTGTCATTGCCCATTAGTGATGATCTCTCCCTACCATAGACAGCCCTGAGTGAGAAGCAGCTGTCTGCAATAAGAATTTTCACGCCATATGCTTGAGCCAAAGACGAGTTTGTGGAGTTTAGGATTCAAAAATGAACACCATAATCTCAGTAGACTACTATCTTCTGAGCCACTTTTTTTGTTGTTGACATTTGCCTGTTTTGAATCTGCCATTTTTAGCTCCACCCTCTTTTGAAAAGAGAACTGGGAGCACAATCTCATTTGAATTTAAAGCAGCAGTCACCAAAACGGCACAATTTGGATCAACATCTATAAGGGGGAAGTTTCAAAGAGTTATGGAAAATTATCTGTTTGGTATTTTGAGTTGAAACTTCACATACACACTCCAGACACATCAAAGACTTCTTTTACATCTTGTAAAAGGGTCATAATAGGTCCCCTATAAAGGAATTCAGTTTATTTTAAGTGTTTGCATAGATATTGCACTTGGCCTTTGTATAGTAGTATAATTGGGCACAGATGTCTTTGCAGAGACACACTTAATAAAGAACATTTCATGTGTTGTGCAGACTGCTGAGAGCAAAATAAATAGACAACAAAAATGAGAGGAAGCAGCATGTTGAGAAAGAACGTAATTATAAAGATTATAAATGTGTTTGCATAATCACCAGTGTCATGTTGACAGATGAGACTTTAAAAGTAGTTAATTTTATACTACAAGGCCCAATCCCAATTCTATACCCAGCCCTTCCCCTTACCCAGGGTTTTTCAAAGTCTAAGACAGTGGGCCTCACACACACACAAAAATTCTGGAGGTTTTCCTGCTACCTCATCATGCTTGGTTTCAAGGTGTCGCCGAAGTTTAGCGGGTCTCATGCTGTCATTAGCCAAATTATCTTGACAAACCACACATAAAGGTCGTGGTTCATCAGCTGGTCCTGTCCACTTAAATCCTCAACTCAAATACTGATCACCATATCGTCGTCTTTTGGGTTTAAGCCCTGAACTTGAAGCCTTTGAATCGGGGGGTCTCAGAAACCGATCCATTGTATTAGCAGACAAATACCTCTATTGCATTTACATTTACATTTACATTTAGTCATTTAGCAGACGCTTTTATCCAAAGCGACTTACAAATGAGGACAAGGAAGCAATTTACACAACTAAGAGCAACAATGAATAAGTACTAAAGGCAAGTTTCAGGTCTGTAAAGTCTAAGAAGGGAAGTGTTAGTAATTTTTTTTTTTTTTTTTTTTTTTTTTTTTTTTTTTGTTCAGTTAGTGTGATATTCAAATAGGCAATTGCAGATTAGGAAGTGAAGTGGAGACTTGGCGGGCTTGCCAAACAAGCAAATTCACAGCTATGGCCTTCTGGGTAAAAAAGGTTTTCTTATTTTTGACGTATTATTTTCTTTTAGCTTTGTTTAATTAAAATGTTTAAAAATAACAAAAAATACATATAATAATTAAACTTAATAATTATATTTTTATTATATAATATTTTTTCCCACGCCTCCCCTGACATGCTCTGGCGCCCCCCAGGAGAGGCGCGCCTCACACTTTGAAAACCCCTGCCCTTACCCATACCCCTCATTTTGCTTGTTCACTTGAAGGAGTAGGGGTTTTCCAATTCTCTTTTGCTTGAAGGCATAGGGCGAAGGGGAAGTGCTGGATAGCCCTCAGGGCCATACTCAAAACCAAGGGGTACAAAACATTTCCCAGAATACACCATCTACAACAGCAACGTGGCTGCACATGGAAGTGAGGAGATGTACAAATTAGTATATTTTTATCATTATTATGAATTTTTAACACAAATAAGCATGTTTTAATAAATTCATAACGTTGTTCGTGTTTTACCTTTATGTTTAAAAAAAACGCTAAAATAAAAAAAGCAACATTTCACTATTTATAATCTCTAAAAATAACTTCTGTATAGAAGTCCCACAACATACTTTAACGTCTAGCACTCGTATACCCTGTCAGAAAAGTCGAGTGGCTGGCAAATAGCTTTTTAAAGTGTCTGGTATAATGTTAATAGTATTTTCGTGTGTTAACAGATGAATATGGCCACTGTGTAAATGCACAGTACAGTTACAAGCTTATTGCCACATGATATTGTTATTATAACCTGATATTGTTGCCTTCAGTGATTTCCTGAAAACAAATACCAAAATATGGAATGACTACAGCAGTCGCCGTCGTCTGATCTCATAAGAAGCAAGAGATCGCGATGACATATGATGTCGTGTGCAGGTGTTGCAGTGGTGTCTCATTTTTTAGGGATAAACTTTGAAGCACTTCCCCTTCACACTCTGTTTCAAGGGCCAAAGTGTAGAGGAGGGGTACAATAATGGAATTGGGATTGGGCCGAAGTGTATTTAAGACTTATGGACTATATACATCTAACTTTAAGAGGTCATATTTGGATTTATCGCTTTAATAGCATATTGACAATTGTAATAAAGTTGTAAATGTGACAAAAATCTAGCAAATAGCCTCCAAGTGTCATTGTTTTTTGTATTTAAAATATTTTAAATTAAAAAAAGTTTTTATTAGTTTAGGCTGTTTTATGAATGGCTGTTTTTATTTTGATGTCTCTTTAAATAGTTGTTAAGATTCACCCTTTAGATTCACCCTCCACAAAATGAAAAGTCATCGTTTACTTGTTTCAAACACAAAATAAATATTTTGAAGAAAACTGGAAACCTGTAATCATCATCTTCCATAGTATTTGTTTCCTACTATAAAAGTCAATGGTTGCAGGTTTTTACCTTTCTTCTAAACATCTTCTTAGCAAAACAGAATATAAAGTAGCTCATAAAGGTTTGGAACAAGTGAAGGATGAGTAAATGACAATTTCATTTTTAGTTGAGCTTTCCCTTTAATTCTTAAAAAAACTAGTTTGCAGTCATAAGATGTGTTTTGTGACCAGCACAGTGAGATATTGTTGTTTAAGACAGAGGAACCATTTTCTGCATGGTCAACCATTCTTCATTAGCTATAAGCCATTTGGAATCCTCCCACAGATACGCAAGAAAATTAACTATTTTGCATATAATGACTGGCCTTATTTGAGGTTTCTTCTTTTTAGGCTTTGAAAGTGATGCTAGTGGAATGAAATTTTTATTTATTTATTTTTTTGCTCTTCTCTTGCAGGGAAGTTTTATTGTAAACCACACTACTGCTACCGACTCTCTGGTGTGGCACAGAGAAAACGGCCTGCACCTGCTGCTGCTCCAGCAAACGCCAAGGTACTGAATTATTTTGTATCTTTACAGTTGAAGTCAAAATTATTTGTGGATATTTTTTTCAAATATTTGCCAAATGATGTTTAACAGCAAGGACATTTTCACATTATTTCTTATAATATTTTTTCTTCTGCTGAAAGTCTTATTTGTTAAATTTCAGCTATTTATATAATTTTTAAAAACCATTTTGAAGTTAATATTATTAGCCCCATTAAGCTATTTTTTCAATTGCCTAGACCTAGAGAACAAACAAATGGCTTGCCTAATTATCCCTAATTAAGCTTTTAAATTGCACTTTAATCCTAATACTAGTACCTTGAATAATATCTAGTAAAATATGATGTATTATAATCATGGCAAAGATAAAAGAAATCAGTTATTAAATTATCAGTTATTAAAACTATTATGTTTAGTCAAGTCAAGTCGAGCATATTTGTCATTCCACTACATGTGTGGACGTACATAGAAACGAAATGTTGGGTCTCGCAGGACAGTACTACATAAATGAATCATAAATACAAACACAACACTGGACGTAAATAAAGAAATAAGACGTATGCATAACTAACATGTACTATAAGATACCTAACTATACACATAAGACTTAACTATACACATAAGATGCTTAACTATACACAAGACTTAACTATACACATAAGACAGGCTATACAAATACTTTAACATGAGACTGAACAATATTGTGCAGAATATTGTGCAAGCAGTGCAACATGATTGTGGTCCATTTATAGTACACATTGTTTTCATTACTGAGTTCTTGTAAGATGGAGTTTAAGTAAGGTGGCAGGTGCATCAGAGAGAAGAAGAGTGTTTCTACAGGTGGTTTGTCAAGCCCACTCACCTGAATGTAGCACAATTTGAAATGCACAATGTTTCCAAGAGATATGTAGTGATTCAGAAAGTGTCTATAGTGCAAGTGTGGAATCTGGTGCAAGAGTCAAAAAGATGAGAGGGTGTCTTTTATACAGGTGGTTTGTTAAGCCCACTCATCTAGGACTTACTTAAGAATGCATGGGAAGGGTGGGGGGTTGATGACATTTCAGAGGGGGGTAAATTGAGTGAGATGAGAGCTGTAACTAACATTCTTTAGAAATGTGTTGAAATAAAAATAGAAATTAAGAAAAAAATATACGAGGGCAATAATTTAGGAGGGCTAATGATTCAGACTTCACTGTTTATTTCACCTATTATTTATTATTTATTTATACTTTAAGTATATTTGTGTATATGTATATCGTAGGAGCCCCAGGTGTTGGCGGTATCCCCCAACACAGTGGACGCCCCAGGTCAAGCCATAACCACTCAGACCCCTGCGGAGCGCCGGCCCTCAGGTACCCGCCTTTCCTCTTTAAGCCCCGTCCTGTGCCTCTCTCGAGGAGTAGGGGGCAGCCTGCGCTCGTTGCGGCGCGCCATGTCTTGGAGCCGCCACCAGGTGGCACACAACCCCTTAGATTCTCCTTTCCTCCTCGCCTACTGCGTCTATCTGCTCTCCTGCTTTACTCTCAAAATCCTGCTCGATATTCTCTAGCATGGCCCCCTGAGTTAATCTAGCCACTTGAGCCCACATTTGCTGTAGTTTCCAGTGATATTGTGCTTGTTTTTTTGTGTGTGTGTGTATTCTTGATGTCACAACCCTTTTCTGAATGTGTAGTGTTCATGTAATTCTGAATGATGCAGACTAATCCAAATGGTTATTTTGGGTTTAAGTCACTTATTCAGGCAAAAAAGCATGTTAATGTGTACTGTTAATGAAATATTTACAGATTTAGAAATGTGTGAAGTTGCCCAAAGGGATAGTTCGCTCGGAAATAGTTCAATCAGAAAGATTCTGTTATCATTTACTTGTCGTTTCCACCTTTCTAAGATTCTTCTGTTGAAATGGGTAGCTATTGATCCATATTAGGAAAAATAAATACTATAGATGTCGATGGTTACCAGTTTGCAACATTTTTCGAAATATTTTTGAAGCAATATGACAAATATTCATATAATAAAATGGTCATTTCTGAGTGAGCTTTCCTGCTATTGATTCATAGTAGGAAAATAAATACTATGGAAGTCGATGGCTACCATTTTACAACATTTTTCAAAATATCTTTTTGAAACAATCTAACAAATGCTCATTCAATTTTGACTAAATGTTCATTTCTGGGTGAGCTTTTCTGCCATCGATTCATAGTAGGACAAATAAGTGTTATGAAAGTCGATGGTTACCAGTTTACAACATTTTATTAAAAATATCTTTTTGAAACATTCTGACAAACGCTCATTCAATGGTGAGTAAATGCTCATTTCTGAGTGAGCTTTCCTGCCGTTGGTTCATAGTAGGAAAATAAGTATTATGGAAGTCGATGGTTACCAGTTTGCAACATTTTCCGAAATATCTTATTAAAACAAACTGACAAATGCTCATTCAGTTTTAAGTAAATGTTCATTTCTGGGTGAGCTCACCTGCCATTGATTCATAGTAGTAAACATGAGTTTGCAGCATTTTTCGAAATCTCTTTGAAACAATCTGACAAATGCTCGTTCAGTTTTGAGTAAATGCTCATTTCTGAGTGAGTTTCTTGCTTTTGATTCATAATAGGAAAAATAAATACTTTGGAAGTCGATGGTTACCAGTTTACAAAATGTTTTGAATTATCTTTTTGAAACAATCTGACAAATGCTCATTCAGTTTTGAATAAATGTTTATTTCTGGGTGAGCTTTTCTATCATCGTAATAGAAAAAAAAATGTATTATAGAAGTCGATGGTTAACAGTTTGCAACATTTCTCGAAATATCTTTTTGAAAATAAGTGGTCAAATGTTCTTTCAATGGTGAGTAAATGTTCATTTCTGGGTGAGCTTCCCTGCCATCGATTTATAGTAATAAATAAATATATATATTATAGAAGATGGCTACCAGTTTGCAACCTTTTTCGAAATATCTTAATGAAATAATCTAACAAATGCTTATTCAGTGGTGAGTAAATGTTCATTTCTGAGTAAGCTTTTCTGCCATTGATTAATAGTAGTAAAAATAAATACTATGGAAGTCGATGGTTACCAGTTTGCAACATTTTTCTAAACATCTTTTTGAAACAAATGGTCATATGTTCATTCAATGAGTAAATGTTTATTTCTGAGTGAGCTTCCTTCAATTGAGTCGTAGTAGGAAAAATTAATACTAGCAGTTTGCAACATTTTTCAAATTATCTTATTAAAACAATCTGACAAATACTCGTTAAGTTTTGAATTAATAATAATTTCTCTGGTATATCTATCCTTTTAAGTTAGCATATTAAGTATGATACTGTAATAATAATAAATGCTTTTTTGCCTGCACATGTATTAAATATTCTTAATTTCTTGCCTGTTTTTGTTGCTCTCCTTTCTATCCTTCCACTGTGTAGACCTGTCATTAGTACCTTTAAGTTTGTTACTGTAATTTCTGATTCTGGAATGTAGTGCTTGTGATTGGTGGACTCTGTAAGCTTTACCTTTCCCCCGTCCTATCAGAGCAGCTTGTTGCTGCGCTAGTGCTTGCATCTGTGCCTGTGATACTTCCATCAACCCTGGCGCATCTATCCCAGTGTTTGCTCATCTCCTAACTCTCCTCTGCATACTAACATCACCGCACATGGCATACTTCATGTGTGTTTCACTGAGAATGATTTGCTTTGCTAAATTAATGGTCAGTTTAAGCTACTTAGGATTAAATATATGACCAAAATAGGTATATTTTAGTACAGTTATTAAGAGGTTTTAGTAAAAGTTTTAATATCGGTCATAGAGGCTGAATCTTTTGGGAATTTTCACCTCAAAATTAAAAAAAGTAATATGAAGCTTATTTTTAGGACTGTTAAGATGTAGTTAAATATATATAATTTTAGTTATTTATTCACAGTACTATGTTTACATATAATATAATGTACATGTGATTGTCTTAAAACAATACTTTAGTTTTGTTAAATGAAATTGTATTTTACTTGTAGCATTCCGTTAGCAGTTGGCTAATATGAGATCATAGATATGTAGAGTCTGGCATCATAAATCATATGCATCAGCTGAACATGACGCACTCTTTTATTCATGGGGTTTTCCACTGCATAATCCATATTGAGGAATATTATTTATTTAGTGCATTCCGAATGCACTAGTCAGAATTCATAATAATAGATGTTTTTGCATGCTTCATCTTAATCACTTCCACTCAAATGCACATAATTATTTTACTTAAATTACATGCACAAAATGTTCTCACTGGCTTTATTAGTATATTGGGATTTTTAAGAAAAGACGTATTAGGCATACGCATTTATAAAACAAAATACATTAAAATGAAAATACATGCTTATTTATGTTCTGAGATGCTTTGTAGGAAGGGAAAAAGGAAAGGTGACCATAACTTGTGTATATTATTATACAGTATATTATTAAATAAATCTATTTAAGAGTATTTACTGACAGCAAGATATATAGATCTAGTATACATGTGAAATCGTGAAGAACAAATATTGCTTGTGCAAATAAAAAGTTGAGAATTCTCCATTTATTTTGGACTGTGTTTGTTTTATTTGTCCGAGTGGAAATTAACCTCTCTATGCTGCAATTTTGTTAGCCTCAAAAACAGGAGGTGGGTTAGGTGGAGAATTACTAAATAAAATCTAATATTTTAGCTTTGAATAAACTAGGGCTGCTACAACGAATCGGTTAAATCGATATAAATTGATTACTAAAAGTGTTGGCAGTGAATTTCATAATCAATTTGTAGTGTCGCGCGACACAGGGATGTTTGATTATTAAAAAACGATTTAGTTCAGCTCGGAGTGGAGTGAACACGGTCTCTCTCGCGCACTGATACAGACTCTTTCACACCTAGACTTTTGTTTTGGAACCTGTCTCGTTTGCCCAGTTAGCACGGTTCGTTTGGCATATGTGAATCCAGCAATCGCGCTCGGATCCGCGCCAAAACGATCGAGATCACCTGAATGAGGCGGTCTGGGCTTGATTGAAACAAACTCTGGAGCGGATCGATTGTGGTGAAAAAGCGATACGATCTGAGCCCGGCTATATCACAGTGTTTTTATGGGTATGTAAGAGGCATACGGCTATATGAAGAGAGAATTATGAAAAGGGTAGAAGGTCATTCCAGACATCCCAAGTCTCCCGGAAGTTTCAGGAGTCTCCCGCAAATGTACAGAGCTTCCTGGATGCCCGCAAATGAGTGATAATCTCCCGATAATCGCACGTCTCCCTCCCGGTCCTCAAATACGTTGCGCACCCTTCTCACCCCTCCCCACTGCATCCCTCCTCGCTCTTCAGACACGTTGCGCGCATCCTGTCAAACACCACTAAACCACCACCCACCAACAGCTGTGCGGGACTCTGCAAAATAAACGGTGAAACTCTGTCCAATGTGAGGAGAGTTAACTCACACATGACTTGTTTTAGCTATTTTGTAAAGTTTAGAAACTTTTGGCGCGGTCTCTGGCACTGAACCAGAGAGAGCTCATGCTCACGCTCGCGCTCGCGTTGAGAGCTCCCAGTAAGGGACCATCGGAAAACTGCTTTTTTTTTTCCTAAAACAAAACTTAACCCTGCTGAAAAAGACATGTCATATTATCACAATTATGCAGCGTTTTAACAGCCTAATGCTTAATTTATGTTTATGCATAGACATGTAAATGCACACACGCACTAGTAAAACAATACATTTACAATTTGTAAAACAAAATTTATTCAAATATAATTAATTTACTGATGCGTTTTATTCATATCAGATACACATTACACATAGCGAAAGTAACTATAAAGTTGAATCTACTCTTCTCCGTGTTCACCAGCCACTTACTTGCATGTATTTGGGGAGTAGCTAATTTACATGCTGAATCCTGCGTTTTCTGCTTTTATAAATGAGACAAACACACAGCCGCAAGTAAACATGGCAACAACCATCTCACATTATAGATCACGATCACTTACATGTTTATGTGAACTGGTAAAACGTTTGAGATTATATCTCATTACGTTTATTATTCTTAACCAATTCACAAATAATTTAACTTGTTTTAAGCAAACAATCACTTAATATTGAGGTGTTTTTTTTCCAGAAAACAAGATATAATTTTTTATGCTATTTCATTTTTCTAGTATGTTTCTTGATTTATAAATATTTAGATATTTGGAATAAAAACAGGACAAAACTACTTAGTTTATTATTATTATTATTATTATAACCGCTCAGGGATGAGCTTTTTTTAATAAATGGTTGGAAATGAATGCTTTTCTTTTTTTTTATCTGATTCATCGATTAATCGAAAAAATAATCAACAGATTAATTGATTAATAAAATAATCGTTAGTTGCAGTCCTAAACTAAACCATGAACTTTTAAGAAGTTATTATTAATATTAGCAACATGCTAATAATATGAAGCCCCTCCCTCTCTCCTGTTAACATCTAATGTTCACATTAATGACGTTCTGTTTTCTCGTCCCCCACAGAAACTGAGGTAAATGGTGTCACGGAGCCCAGCGTGGCCAAACGTCTGAAAGGGACTCCGGAAAGGATCGAGCTGGAGAACTATCGTTTGTCAATGATGAGGGAGGAGGAGCTGGAGGAGGTGCCGGAGGAGACATTGGCGGAGCACAACCTCAGCAGTGTGCTGGATAAAGCCACCGACATCGAGGAGGGATCCAGGTATCGCCCTCATCTCTAATAATGCAAGCCCATTACCGTATATAATACAGTGCAAATTAAAAGTGCTTGTTCATTAGTGGTGCTTGGTGGTTAATATACAGTTGAAGTCAGAATTATTAGCCCCCCTGAATTATTAGCACCCCTGCTTATTTTTTTCTCCAATTTCTGTTTATAAGAAATAAGTAATATTTAATATAATATTTAATATTTAATAATAGATTTTATTTTCAGGACACTTCTATACAGCTTAAAGTGACATTTAAAGCCTTAACTAGGTTAGATGTTTTTTTCTTTAAATAGGCACTAATTTGCACACATTTATTGACCTAAAATCCAAACATGGTATGAAGTTGGTTTCAAAATTTATGGTTATTTTTATTAATTTTTTTTCAACTTTTTTACAAATTAAAAAAAAAAAAAAATTTCTGAAAGGGGTTTGTGGAAGCAGTGTGAAATTTGCCAATGTAAAACCCTTCAGAAAAAGGGTAGGAATAAAACTGTTTAGTTTGGTGTATGTTTGGTAATAAAAAATTACAGACATATTAAAAATTACAGACATAGGTGTTTTTTTTGAAGGCTTTATATTAGACTGAAAAAAAAACATACACACAGAAATAAAGCTAAAATAACCAGAAATTCTAAAGTTAATGGGGAAAATTAATGGTGAGTTTGAGCTACTTAGGATTAAATGGACAAAATGTGTTATGTTATAATGGTTTTATTAAGAGGTTTTAGTGAGGTTTTAGTATCAGTCATAGAGGCTGAATCTCACAAAGAATCTTTTGGGAATTTTCAACTTAAAATAAAAAAAAAATGTAGAAATAAGGTTATAAGTAAGCTTATTTTTAGGACTGTTAAGATGTAGTTAAATATAAATTGTGATATATTTTTATAAATATAATTGTCTTAAAACAGACATAAACTGATGATGTGAATGTTAAGTTAGTTTAGTCAAGTTAGTTTAGACTAAAAAAAACACAGAAATAAAGCTAAAATAACCAGAAATTATAAAAAGAGTTTTGTTTTTTTTTGCCTGCTGTGTATCACTTTAGTAGTCAAAGTTTTTCTTGTTCCGCATAATAAAAAATGAGTTGGAAAATATTTTATTTAGTGCAGAAGCTCAACGGAATTTAAATTTGGTGTATGGTAATTTGTTCAAGAAAAGTGACTTTAATTTAGGACACCATGTTAAAAATTGTATTATTAATATTGTTATTATTAGTTTAACCTATGTCAAATTTCAAATGTTCTGGCTTGGAATCAAATTTTTTAAAATGCAGGCCTGAAGTCAACATGAAAGTACAATCAAGTCCATTTAGTAGAATAATATTTTTCCTTGGTCTTTGTTAAACACTAGAAACACTATTATCATGATACAGTCATTGCATTACATTTTCTTTAGTCCTTAAAAAGGTATGTTTTCTCATTTTTTTCTTTTTGCAATGAGGCCTTGGAAATGTTATTGTTTAACATCTTCCTCCATGCTTTTGTCATGCAAATATCTAAAGATGCTTAAAATACAATACAAAATGATTAAATTTTATTTTTTGTAAACTTTTTGTAACATCAGAACACTTAAACAAAAAGTAAATATTTCTAACAGTAAGATTTATTTATTTATTTATTTTAAGTCAATTTAAAAGGACCCAACTGTTAAAAAAACGACGCAACTGTTTTCTACAACAGCAACAAAAATGTACCACATCAGCATATACTATACCTTTCCTGTACTATATGCTGGCATAGGAGACTCACTTGACTTTCTACAGTGTTTGTTTTAAGTAAGAAGTGCAGCCAGGAGACATTATTTCATTTTGAACACACTCATCCTCCATTCCTACAGCAGCTCTGAGTCTGACATGGAGGAAGAGGATGAAGATGCAGAGGCGGCCGGTCCGTCTGATCTGGGTGGAGTTCCCTGGAAGGAGGCAGTAGAGCTCCATGCTAAGTTAAAGGGAGAAAGCGACCCAGGAGCTGACGATGATGGCCTTCATGACGGTGATGGAGAGATGGACGAGGATGAAGAAGAGGAGGAAGATGAGGAAGATGAAGATGAGGAGGAAGAAGAGGAATCGAGCGAAGGTAAGCATTACATCAGTGCCTTTACTGTGTTTGTGAAGATGATCAAAGTGTCTCCACACAGGGGAAAAAAATAGATGTCCTGCACAGAATGGCCTGTCTGAAGGCGCTTCATTTGATTTCAGAAGTAGCTTACGTTCTTTTTTCTTTCTAGAAGATGATTTAAATGGACTGGGAGGACTGTAATGTGTTTGTTCTGCCGAGTCTCATTTCCTCTGTCCACTTCATATCATCTTTATGTATGTGGCGTCTAGTTCCCCTGATTAGATATTATGTGTTCACCAGGGTTGTGTGCCGTCTCCGATTCATAGAGAACTTGCGGAATTACATTTTCTCTTTGAGTAAGACTTTTTCTGATGAAAAATGTAAGACAAAAGATTTCCCGAGAGATTGCTCTAACCCCAGAGCCTCAGCCCCTGAAATATCTTCTCTTTTTTTTGGCAGCTGATGTATCTCATTAGTGAGAAATTCTAAACTTGTTTATACTAATGTGCTTATTTTATTCGCCTTTTCAGCCTTTAGCATTTTCACACGTTTACGGCATCTCTGGCAAATTGGCTAGTTTTCTTTTTCCTTCTGTGTCCTAATTTTCTCGTCCATTAAAAGAACCTTTTCCAACTTTCTTTAGCTAATTTTTTTTTTTTTTCAAACAAATTTATCTTTTTTTTACTTGATAAAAGCTAACAGTCACAATCACGGACTGTACAGTGTGATGGTGTACTATTTTAATGTTTAACTATACTAGATGTTTTGCATCTTTTTATAAAAAAGTAAACTTAAACATTCTGTTGTGTTTTCTGTCCTCCTTTGAAAAAAAAGGGCTGGGAACACAATCTTATTTGAATTTAAAGTGACAGTCACCAAAACAGCACAATTTGGATTAAAGCCTTCATGGGGCAGATTGAAAGAGTTCTAAAAATATTTGTGTTGTCTAATGACCTGAAATTTCACTTCAGGTTTGTTCGTTCATTCGTACGTAAAATGAGTCTCTGATGTCCCTGAAGTGGGCATTATCGTTCATTTGTTCATTTGTTTATTTATTCGTTCATTCATTTGTTCGTTCATATGCAAAATAAGTCTGATGTCCTTGGAGTTGGTGACATCGTTTGTTAATTCATTCGTTCGTTCTTTTGTACGTATATAAGTCTCTGATATTCCTGTAGTGGGCGTCATCGTTCAATAATTCGTATGCAAAATAATTCTCTGATGTCCCTGGAATGGGCATCATCGTTCGTTCGTGTGCAAAATAAGTCACTGATGTCGCTGGAGTGGGTGTCATCGTTTGTTAATTCATTTGTTTGTTCATTTGTACGTATATAAGTCTCTGATATTCCTGGAGTGGGTGTCATCGTTCATTCATTCGTATGCAAAATAATTCTCTGATGTCCCTGGAATGGGCATCATCGTTCGTTTGTTTGTTCATACGCAAAATAAGTCACTGATGTCCCTGGAGTGGGCGTCATCGTTCGTTCGTTTGTTCTCAAAATAAGTCTCTAATGTCCCTGAAGTAGGTGTCATCATTCGTTCGTTCGTTTATTCATTCGTGCTAAAATAAGTCTCTGATGTCCCTGGAGTGGGCGTTATCGTTTGTTCCTTCATTCGTTTGTTTGTTCATATGCAAAAAAAGTTTCTGATGTCCCTGGAGTGGGCATCATCGTTCGTTCTTTTTTTTTTTTTTTTTTTTTTAAATAAGCCTCTGATGTCCCTGAGGTAGGTGTCATCATTCGTTCATTCGTTCGTTCGTTTATTCATTTGTGCTAAAATAAGTCTCTGATTTCCCTGGAGTGGGCGTCATCGTTTGTTCCTTCGTTCGTTCATTTGTTCGTTTGCTCATATGCAAAATAAGTCTTTGATGTTTCTGGAGTGGGCGCCATCGTCCGTTCGTTTGTTCGTTCGTTCGTATGTACACAAAAAAGTCTCTGATGTCCCTAGAGTGGGCTGTCATCGTTTGCTTGTTTGTTCATTCATTTGTAAAATAAGTCAGCCCTGGAGTGGGCTTCGAAGTTTGTTCGTTTGTTCACAAAATAGGTCTCTGATGTCCCTGGAGTAGGCGTCATCGTTCGTTTATTTGTTTGTGTGTAAAATAAGTCTCTGATGTACCTGGAGTGGGCGTCATTGTTCGTTCCTTCATTTGTTAATTTGTTCGTACGGAAAATAAGTCTCTGATGTCCCTGGAGTAGGCGTCATCGTTTATTCACTCGTTTGTTCACTCATTTGTTTGTTCGTTTGTTTGTTCGGCTGGGTCAGTTGGCGTTTCTGTGTGGAGTTTGCATGTTGTCCATGTGTTCGCATGGGTTTCGTTTCGTTCGTTCTCTTGTTCTCTTTTCAGCTTAGTCTCCTTTTTAATCAGCGGTCACCACAGCGGAATGAACCAGCAACTTATTCAGCAGATACGGACATGTTTTACGCAGTGCATGCCCTTCCAGCTGCAACCCTACATTGGGAAACACCCACACACTCTTACATTCACACACATACAATACGGATAATTTAGCTTACCAATTCACCTGCACTTGGAGGAAACCCACGCAAACATGGATGCAAACTCCACAAGGAAATGCAAACTGACTCAGCCGGGACTCGATCCAGTGTTGTTTTTTGCTGTGAGGTGATCATGCTACCCACTGTGCCACCATGACGGCCACTTCAGGGACATCAGAGACTCATTTTACATCTTGTAAAATGAGGCATAACAGGTCCCTTTTAAAATCATTCAATTAATGCGTTTTACCATGGCACTGTACAGTACATCAACTAGTTTACTGTAGCTGAAACAGCTGATAAAAGTCCTCCGAAATCCTCTCATCTCTGAATGTTATTGGAGATTCTGTGTGTCATTCTGTACTGTCAAACTTTTTCCATCCTTTGCCTGTCACTTGTCTGTTGATCCTCTGCTCCGTCTTTCCATCGTGGTGTGTCTGTGTTGGATGTATGTGTGTGTGTCTGTGTGTGTTTGCTGGGGTAAATGTGTGGGGTGACAGCGGGAGACTATTTCCCCTGGGAGAGGGAGCTTCAGTCAGGCCTTTGGCTGGAAAATCTGGCAAATGAAGAGGATGTCAGTGTTTTTAAAGGTAGCCATGTCTGTGGATGAGTTTGGCTTTAGCACACACCGATTCCTTGTTTAACTTCATCCATAACTACAAATATATATATCGAGCTAATTCAATTTGCCTGTTTGCTTTCCTCTTTGTTTTGATTTTAGCTTTAATATGTCATGATGTAATGTGATGCATTTATCATGAATTAAATAAGTTATTGCTCTCTATTTTTCTGTCGTAATGTCGTTTGAGGTTGAAATAACATGCATTCACACTACTGTGGTGTTTTGAATTACATTTTTCAGGGTGTTTTCACACTTGGTGTTGTTCTGCAGCCTAACACTGAGCTTCTGCCATTAACATGACTATCAATGTTAATACTAGTACTATCCATTTACTGCTGTATTTGGGTAACAAGACACAAGCTTTCTGTATTATTAATGTTTTTACTGTTATAGCTTTATATATCATAATAGAATAATTTCCCTCAAAGATACTGTAGACATAATTTACTCACCATCAAGTCTTTCCAAACCTGTATGTCTTTTTTGTGTGAATGTAAATATATTTTGAAGAATGGTAGTGACAATACGCGACATTTCTCCAAAATATTTTTTACCTTACAAAGAATAAAGAAAGCCACAGAGGGTAGGAATGGTATGAGGGTAAATAAATTGTGGTACAATAATAATGACTGGCTACTTAACCTTTAACACACACAGAAGAGCAGCATTTGCACTGTATATTAGGGTAAAAATGCAACTAATATAAGCAACGATGCATAAAGTTAAAGGTGCGGTAGGTGATCTGTCTGAATGTTAACCGGTTATGTTTAAAACACAATCCCTCCCCTGCTATCCAAAGTCACGTCTCCTGAAATCACGAAGGCGCATGTTAAAGATGACAGAGACCCACTAGATCATGCCATTCACCAGTTAAAAGTTTTATAGTACTTTTATAATAACACAATTCTGAATGAAAAACTGTATTATCACTGGTCTCACTCACTCACGTGCTATGTCCTAAAGCAACTACTGTATGCTTAGTGGTTGGCCAGTGGTGTGCAGGAATTACACTTATTACTAGGCCATACTTGCATGTTATTTCAGAGCGAATATTCAAAGTAGTGGTAAACAATATAGAGAGCACGTCACAGGTTGTTATTGTTTAAAAATGAGCCAACGTCAATATAAAACTAACTTCACCTCAGTAAAGCAGGCTAGGCGAAATATCACTATTTACTTATGTTTTGTTATTAAAGTAAAAAAAAAAAATCTGCATTATTATACTGTAAAAGTTCTCTTATGAAACTGAACATAGTCACATCAATCTTCTGAAGATTTCAATGTCTAAACAACACTTCTGGGCATATAACAAATTCATAACACAACACAATCTACATCAGCTTTGCATGACTAAAATAGTTTAAAAATATAACATTACTAAAAGAAATACTTCAGCCATAGTGTCGTCTTACTCTTACGGCAGATCTGCATGAACAGAGGTGCACAATTGATCAAATCTGCATTTGTTGACAGACAATTTGGGCTACTTATCGGAATTTTGGGAGATGTCTGCCTGACAATAATAAATTGGATGAACATTTTTTAGTCTTATGCCTTAACCAGAATATAAAAATGCATAGACACATGTAGATTATTTACTTTAATCATTACTATTGGACTGTGAAGAGACTTTCAACCAGCACAACAAAAAATGTTTTCAAAGGCAATCACCTACTGCGCATTTAAAGTATACAAAATGTCAGAATTAAAATTGCATCGACCTGATTTTGATATGTGCATAAAACCGAAACCTAGAGTTAAGTAGTTTTTATACCTCAGTTTCCAGCTGACACATTTTGCTGTTTCATGGTAGCTAAGTGAACTGAACACTGGCGTCAGGTGTAATCATATCCACACCAAAGTGTGAAAGCACCCGCAGAGCTGATTGGGGCTTTTTAAAAAATGCTGTTATTTATGCTGAAGCCTTCGCATGCTACTTTTCTAATGTATTCACTGACTTTGCACTTTACAGTCTTTTCTAAACTATATGTTCCCTTTCTCTTTTTTGTCCTCTACACTTTCTGGTCATTTTATGACTGCCTTATCTCACCCTCTGCTCACATCGCTGCCAATGGAAACTTTTTTTTTTTTTTTTTTTTGTGAATGGGACTTTTTGGTTTTGAAACCAATTGGATTATGTGTTCCTGACGTGCAAATGGACTCGCCAATTAATCCTACAAAATGACCGTGCCTCCTTAATGGCTCCCTGTAATGCCACCATCCAGCTAGGAACCTGCAGATCCAGCAAGCCATTCATCCAGTAGACCCTCTGGACATCCAGATGGAGAGCCATCAGGCTGAGGGGGTGTTGGAGATGCCCTCGGTGTCACCCTTAGGCTCACAGCCCTCGCTCAACACCCAGCTCACACAGCCCACCTCCTCCACAGGTAACACTGTGTGGAGGAGACAAACACTGTGGGCCCTGTGGCTTTTTTGTAGAGGGTCTGGTGGTTATACCTGGTTTTACATGCATCTCATATGTTCATAAATGTATTATTATTATTATTATTATTATATATATTTTTACTGCAACCAGCTTGGGCTGCACTATATTGAAAAAATATGCAATATTGTTTGTTTTGTTATTTTGAAAAATAGCATTTTTTTAGCTTTATTTTTAAATAATTGATTTAATTATATTACAATAAGCAGGTAAAATAAATATTAAGATCTAATCAATTCTAATTAAGACAAAAAGGGTGCAAAAATTAAGTCTATAAATAAACGAAAACCTCTGATTGGCTGTATTGCCGCCATTAGTGTTTATCTTCAGCTCTGGGTTCACCTGTGGGCCGCCTGAGCCAATAACAGAATAGCAAATTTTAGGAAGGTGGAGATGAAGAAAGTAAGGCCCCATCTGATTGGTCAAATTTAGATAAACAACCAATGCATAAAATAAATGTAATTGATCGCACATGTCTGGGATACGTATATTGCGTTTATATAATAATATAGCGATAATTTTGCAATATTGTGCAACCCTACTGTCAGCACGTCAGTTTTTTTTTGTTTGTTTTTACTATTATATATATATATATATATATATATATATATATATATATATATATATATATATATATATATATATATATATATATATATAATTATTTTTTAACTAATATAGTGCATACTTTACTAATTGGCCTTTAACATGACAATAAGTATTAACGTTTGGAAATTTAGAAATGGTGAAGTTCTAACCAGCATTTACGGCTCTTCCCTTTGGTCTGACCACTTGAGATGAGTGTTGCCAGGTTTTAAAGAGTTTGTTACGTGTGAATTTGCTTGTGTGGTCATTTTTTTAATGTCCATTTCTCTTCCTTTGATGACTTCTGCATTCTTTCTTTCATCCACAATAGTGTTTTGCTCACTTTTAAAGCTTTCTGCTATCTATTGTCTTGCTTTAACACATTTATACATCGCTCTGTGTTGTTGTGACAATATGTTGAACTTTCTCTGTTTCAGTTATTTGCTCGATTTTATTGTGTCTTTGTCTTTATCAACATTGTGCATATTTTGACATGACTAAGTACACATTCCTTCTGTTTATTTCTTTGATTGATTCATGATTGTATGTATGCATTTTTGTGTTGTGTCTGTGCATCTCATGTACCTGTTACCATTCTCATTTTTCATTGGTTTAATTGTAGCCCCCTCCCACAAATCCGTACGTCACGAGGCTGTCAGAGCCTGGCTGGACTCGATGTCTGGAGGTAGAGAGGAAGAACATACAATAACTTATATTAGCAGCTAACACACACAGTGCATGGCGATTCTATTGGACGATTAACACCACTGCAATCGGTTTTACACTACTGCATGCTGGAGACGAGACAGCATCTGGTGTGATAACTATTATTATCTTTCAGCTTAATCCAAACACATACTGACTAATGCATGCATCTGATATTTATACTTAAAAGGTATAGTTCACCCAAAAATGACAGTTCTTAATTTGTTACAAACCTGTTTTGTTCTGTTGAACACAAAAGAAGATTTTTTGGAAGAATGTTGAAAACTTGGAACCATTGAATTCTGTAGTAGGAAAAACAAATACTATGAAAGTCAATTGATACAGGTTTCCAACGTTCTTCAAAATGTCTGCCTTTGTGTTCAACAGAATAATAAAAATCTGAAAATGTCAAGGGTGAGTTTTTATGTTTTTTTTTTGGCTGAATAATACCTTTAACCATTCTTTATTATAAATACATTATAAATATTATGAAATGCCCCAAAAAATGCAATCCATTAGCACAAATTCTGTGAAAACCATTGTTCATAGTGTTAAAAGATGTTGCACACTCTTAGTTTATTTTCTGAGGATGCTAAAAGCTTGTTGAGACAAAATTGCAAGGCAATTTTGCCTCTACAGCACTAAGGCACGGAGAGGTCAAATTCAAAAAAAGAACTAAAAACCGTTCTAAGTATTTTCATGGTTTAGCAAAAGCACACGCAACACCCTTGAGTATAGCAGCCTTGAGCATGTCACATTTGTGCAAGATAGAAATGGACCAAAAAAGATTGCATAGCATTCTGAATCTTTCTCTCCAAATCTCAGCTTTGGTTCAAATTATGGTCGCTGACAATGAACATTGTTTTTTATCCAAATATTAACTATAATTAATATAATTTCCTGACTAAAGTTGTGGTGTGTGGAAGGGGTGTCTCTGCTAAGTCTTTTTTATTTTTGGTAGTTTGGTGTCATTTGTTCTTCACTCACCCTCATTCCAACCCATCTCAACAGCTGCTGACTTTGAGTGCAATCCATTTGACACTGTAAATGGGTACTTGCATGTGTTTACCTACTAATGCCATTTATTTCTTAATTTTGTCATGCACACTCATTGTGTTTACTTTAAATTTCCCTCAAGACCATCATTGGTTAGCTGCTTGATTAATGTGTTCTTTGCTTGTCCTTTATATTTTTGCACTCAGTATTTGGCTTTAAATGATATCTTGTGCCACCAACACCTTGGCATTTTTTTTTTTAGACTTCTGCTTATCTTCATTTTCTCCTGTGATCCCAGAGCCCTGTGAAGAGGACGATGACCCTGAAGCTGAAGCAGGCAGTCCTGACTTTGAGCCAGGCACTGAAATAGATCAAGGTTTGCCAAATGCCATTTCATGTTGTGATGAGATTAAGCCTTTAAAAAGGTTACAGAATTTAGCATTTTGCAATTTAATTGGCAGCAGAAGCCCTTTGTCTAAAGATAGTGGTGTACTAATTAGAATTACATGTGTTGTAATTAACTAGTTTAACTAAATAACATTGTTTTTAAAATCTTTTAAAGATCATTTTAAGAAATGACAGTACATTGGCAACAGAAATGCATGCTGAAAAAAAAGAAAAGCAAACTTAAGACTCTCACAATGTTTTAATTTCTAAATTCACAGAGGACATTCCCTCAGATGCAGAGGCTGAAGCTCGTTCACGGTGCATAGATGAAGTGGTGACACTTCCAGTGGATAATGATAAAACAGAAAGCCAGGGACAGGTTTTCAACACTGGTAATCATAACTTAATTACAATCACATAATTCGATGCTTTTTCTAGTTTTGTTTGAGACAGATGACTGCAAATGTTCCAACAGTGTCTCTGAACACATTACATCAATGTGTTGCTTCATAGTTACTAAACCTTTGATGATTAAAATCTCAGCACAAGGGAATTTTTGATGCCTATCAATATTTGAGCCAATTTTCTTTTTCCTAGCAGAGAAAACGTCTGCAAATCCAAGGGAGTTGATTGTGGACGTTGTGCTGTCTCCAATCCAAAAACCTGCTTTACCCATTGAGGAGGTAATACCGGATTGTGGGCACAATTTGTTTTCTATTCAAAATGGCAACAAAAAACACTCCATATTATAAAACTCTGCCTTCTCCTCTTTCCCTCTACAGGTGCATGAAGTTTCTCCTGTAGTACTAGTTAAATCTCCTGGTGCACGTTTCTTCCCTGAGCCCTATCTGCCTGATAAAGTCAAGCAGAACATTCCCCCGCCTCAGAGTCCTGATGTTAAAACCCCTCATTCTCCTGTAGCTCAAATCATTGCGCTGTCGCCCATCTGTTCCCAGCCTGTTCCACAACCAGGCACAGCATCTCCCAAATCTCCAGTCCAACCACAGCCTTGTGCCTGTTCTCCAACAGGCAATCCTTTGTCTCCGATTTGTACCCAATCGCAACCCTGCAATGAGCCACCTTCACCCCTATCCACAAGCTCCCCCGTCAGGACTCAACCAGTCCCAGCAGTAACTTCTACTCCTTTAGCTAAACCTGCTTCCGAGAATAGGACTAATGAACATTTGAAAGATTCAACTCCTGAGCTTAAGAAAACAGACCTCATTGAGGAGTTCTGGTTGAAGAGTGCAGAGATTAGAAAAAGTTTAGGGCTCACTCCCCTGGAACGAAGCAAAACTGCGGTGGAGAAGAGCATTGTGAAAACTCCAACACCCGAATCATCATCTCCTAAGTCTTATACCCCAGAGGACTTGTCTGAGGAACAGAAGCCTACATTTACGGGCCGTTCTATCATACGCAGGATCAATATTACCTTGGAGGGTCAGGTTATATCTCCGGTGGAACCTAAAAGTAATGGTTCAGAAAAGAAGGACTTAAGCAGCAGTTCAGGGTTGGGTCTAAACGGAAGTGTGACCACCAGTCAGACAGCTGCTAGCGACAGCTACAACAACTCTGATTCTACAATGCTTACCCCTCCTTCCAGTCCACCACCTCCTCCACCCAGGGAGGAACCTGCTTGTCTCCAAAACAAGAAGTCTCAGGTTTCCTGGGACAACCTCCTTGAAGGCACAGAAGAACCCAAATCTGAGACCATGCCCATTAAGCCCAGGACTCCAGTTAGTCCCCCTCAACCAAAACAAAAACCAGTTACAGCTCCAGTGCCAACCCCTAGAACCAATCCACCTGTTGTGATGAGGGTTAAGGAGCCCAATAAACCACGTCGAGAAGAAGTGAGAAAGTCTTTTGTTGAGTGTGTAGACGAGATACCATTTGCTGATGATGTTGAAGACACATACGATGACCGCACTCCAGATGCAAGTGGTCTTGAAAAGTTTTACACACCGCCGACTAGCAAGGTCAACCGGGATAAGCCGCCTCTCCACTTGGCACTGGCTATGGAAAATGGCAAGCCCAATATCCCTGGAGTTTCCCGAACAGCAAAGGGTTCCCAGCATTTTTCTCCTGAAGCCAAGGAGATCGCAGAGGAGCGAATGAGGGCACGGGAAAAGTCTGTGAAGAGCCAAGCTCTTAAAGATGCAATGGCCAAGCAGCTTACAAAGATGAAAGATTCTGAGGTTGCCAAGGGGGCTGTAGCAAAAGTAGCCTGGGATATTCCTGAAACAAAAGGAAAAAGCAAAAAGCAATCTAAAGCCCAGAAGGACTCTGCAGTGAAGGCCTTGGAGTCCAAAAAGCAAGCAGACACACTTCCAGACCGTTTCTTCTCTACACCATCTAGTAAGGCCTTAGACAGCTCTGTCACATCTTCAGAGAGCTCCACAGGGGGCAAAAGCAAGAAACGCAGCTCACTGTTTTCTCCACGCAAAAACAAAAAAGAAAAGAAAGCCAAAAATGAAAGACTGTCCAGCACTGAAGAAACGCCGCCCAAGCACAAGTCCCTTTGGAAAGCAGTGTTCTCCGGCTACAAGAAGGACAAAAAGAAGAAAGATGACAAGTCATGCCCAAGTACACCCTCAAGCTCTACAACTGGAGACTCGGGGAAGAAGAAAGATTCACCCCTGGACAGGTCCTCAGGTCAGCTGGAAGTTTTTCATTTGAATGGCTCATCTTTTTTTCTAGCAGTCTTACAGAATTTATATAGTCCTACTCTGACACCATCCTAAGCATCATTAAACCTCTTAAATGACTGATTTAGATCAATTTGTGCAGTACATTTAATTTAGTTCGCTGTCAGTATACGATAATTTCCTCAAAAAGCAGCTCACTTCAGACCCTCATGGGTTTTGTTCTTGCAGAATTTTGCTGAAATTTAGTTTGACTTGCATTTTTTCTCAGTCTTTTTCCACTTACGCAAAGATCTGTTTAATTTACCGCTGTAGATTTACGTCTGAGGAGAAATCTAAGCTTTTCTGAGGACTCTGATCTCTCCTGTGACGATGTTCTGGAAAGATCCTCTCAGAAGTCCAAGGGTGATGTAAGTGTATATAATATTTAAAGAGTTTCTTCTTTCTGATTTCAGTCAAATGTTTTTTTTTTCTCTCTGCAGCTTAAACTTTAATGAAATCTTTTGCTCTTCTTAGCGTCATGTGGACCTGTTTGACTTGGTGTCAGATTTGAAAAAAGAAGCCATTAAAGAGGAGAAAGCAAAAGAGAAGGCTAAGGATAGGGCAAAGGAAAGGGGAAGAGTTACTGAGAAGGGCAAGGAAAGGTCAAGAGAAAGGGAGAATGAAAAAAGAGTCAAAGAAAAGATGGTGAAAATGAAAGATGTGGAACGGGAGAAAGGAAAAGAGGAAGAGGTATTTCAGTGATGATATTTCACAGCAGTTTGGAGCTACTGGTTTAAGACAGAACATGAATGCAACTCTATGCCAACAAGCCAATTAATGTAAAACATATTGAGAAATATCAAACAGCATTGGGTTTCATTTGTAACCTGTACGAAATCAAGTATCTTCAGCCTTGCTGTGTGTTTGTGAAGGTGAACAGGGAGTTGACCTAGATGTGTAGAAGAAAGGTTATAGTGTTCTTCAGAAGACATAGAATTTAATAGAATGTGGTTAAATTAGGCACTTTTAAGGGGCTGATATACTTAATGCAAAGCCGAGGAACAAACTAGTGTGATATAATTGTCGAACAAATCAGGTCAAAATCAAGGTCTTTCCTCACTGAATTCTGATATTTTCATATGCGTTTGTTCGTATTCATATGCAAAAATGTGTAACGTAAACAAACCTTGCACACTGAGTCCGATGCGTATTTATTAGTCCAGCAGTTCCCAACGGGGTTTCTAGCCCACAAGGGGGCCTCAGTGAGCTCTGTGGGGGGTCGCGTCATATTTTTATTATATTTTTAGAATAATCCTTAGACGTTTGGGATGGTTACCCTAGTTAATTTTATTCCCTGGCTGACCAAAAAATGGACAGTTTTAATTAGTCCTTCACAAAAAAGACAGTATCACTGATTCGCCTTCAGCAGCTAATAGATAACCCAATCATACTGGACCCAGGTGAGGAAGCTCCAAACATTTCAGGTCGCAGCGCATACTGGTAACATGAAATGCAGGAAATACCAAAATAGTTACCTGAACTATGGTTTTGTTCATTTTTCTAGAAGCAGTTGTTGATAATGAATGCATGAGGCCGTCCAAATTAATAAGACATTTGCAGACAACTCATCTCCCATACAAGCCCAGAGTATATTTGGAGCACAAGGCAAAATAATCGACACACCCTAATTTAGATTAGAGACGTCAAAGTTACTGACAAGAAACTTTAAAAAATATTGTACACAGTTGCTGAAAAATCAAAGCAACGAAAGGGCATATACTTGCAGAAAATTTGATTTTGCCATGCCCAACTGAGATTTTCAAGGATTTTTTTGGAGAGGATAAATCAAAACAACTAACTATATAGATACTATTATCAAATAATGTGTCAAACGTTGCATAACAACAATGTCAAAATACGATAGGGATCAGCTTTGTGTGTGACTTTGTGGTAATAAAATCACTCTTTAAATTGACGAGTCAAAAATGGCAAAACTCCTTGCATACGTTCGTAATGGGAAAACGAGATATGAACATTTTGATATTTGGCAAGATTCACAGCGCACATTTACATATTCATCTAAAATAATGCTCTATAGCTTCTAGCATCAAAGGCGGCATAAGCACATTTGCAAACAGTAAATCACTGCTGAGGTATTTCAAACTTCTGTTCACCTCCAAACTAAGAAAAAAGTTTGCTTTGAGTATATCGAGGCCTTCTGAGTGCAGAGGTTGTGACACAGGTAGTTTGTGTTTGGTTTGTTGTATGTTGTTAAATTAATTTACACCATTTTTTATCTTAGTTGTGGTTTAGTAACTGATGCATTCATGTGTTTTAGATTACATTCTCACCCTCTAAAGTCTTTTAGAGAAAACTTGGTCCAAAATGAACTATTGCCACACCTGCTAGATGCAAGTGAAAAGTTTGAGCCAAACAATTAAGACTAGATATCCTGGAAATGTGTTGAATATTGTAAATGAGTGTGTTCCCAAATGCTGGTTGGCGATTGTTAATTTTGGACCCTGATATTTATTGTGCTGCACCAAAACACAGTCACATTAATTTGTACTTGTTTACTCATCCCCCAGCATCCTTAAATGTTTAATCTTGTGTTTGTATTTGTCGTAGAATCCTGATTTGACTTAATTGTACATTAACCCATCTAATCGCATTGTTATTGTTTTGTTTGTTTTTCCTTTTGTCAATTTATTTCTTTTTAAGTCTGTTTATGTACCTCATGCATTGGCGTTCAAGAGATCATATGCCACAAAGGTAGTGTGTTCATTCATTCCCACTGGTCTACCCGTTTTCCGCATGTCATACCACACGTCGTGGCTAACCCCCTGTCTGTTATTGTTGTTCCAAATGTTTTTTATTCTTTATTTTTATTACTAACCATTATCTGCAGCATGGTGAAGGCTGAAGCACCCCCTTTCTGCTGGAGGATGTAACTGCATCACATGATAAACTCAAAAGGCTTTCTGGCTGTTGACCTGCATATTATTTTCTACACTGTGTAGCTCACTGGTTTACATGTGACCTGTTTTTCTGATTTCATAGCTTTTACTAGACTCTCCAGATTTAACGTTGTATTCTTTATTCTTCAGATTTAACGTCTTTGTCTGTCTTGCACCGTATTTGTTAACTGAATGCAAAATACTGATGAGTTATACAAAGACAACAATGGCAAATGACATTCTATCTATCTATCTATCTATCTATCTATCTATCTATCTATCTATCTATCTATCTATCTATCTATCTATCTATCTATCTATCTATCTATCTATCTATCTATCTATCTATCTATCTATCTATCTATCCATCCATCCATCCATCCATCCATCCATCCATCCATCCATCCATCCATCCATCCATCCATCCATCCATCCATCCATCCATCCATCCATCCATCCATCCATCCATCCATCCATCCATCCATCCATCCAATCTGTCTGTCTGTCTGTCTCTGTCTGTCTGTCTGTCTGTCTGTCTGTCATTTTATCCACCATTTTATGTGTCATTTTATCTATTTTTCTATCATTATGTGTATCTATTGTTCTGTCTATCATTGTATCTTTTGTTACTCGTTTTTTGCACTTAGCTCCATCTATCCATTCTGTCTTTTGTTCCATCCATTCATTCATCATTCTGTCTTTTCTTCTATCCATCCATCCATCCACCCATTCATCTTTTGTTCTATCCATCCATCCATCCATCCATCCATCATTCTGTCTTTTCTTCCATCCATCTATCCTCTTATTCATCATTGTTTGATCCATCCATCCATCTATCCATCCATCGATTCATCCATCATTCTGTCTTTTCTTCCATCCATCCTCTTATTCATCATTTTTTGATCCATCCATCCATCCATCCATCCATCCATCCATCCATCCATCCATCAATTCATCCATCATTCAGTCTTATGTTCTATTAACCCATAACTCTCTTTTGTTCTATCCACCGTTCATCCTGTCTTTTGTTCTATCCATTCGTTGCTCCATCCATCCATCCATCCATCCATCCATCCATCTGTTGCTCTGTCCATCTGTTGCTCCATCCATCTATCCATCCTTTTCTCTGTTCATCCATGATTTCAACCATTTATCCATCCTTCTGTTTCTCCATCCGTCTGTCCATCCATCCATCCACCCATCCATCCATCCATCCATACATACATCTGTTGTTTAATCCATTCATTGGTCTCTCCATCCATCCGTCTATTGCTCCATCAGTTGTTCCATTAGACTGGGGCTCCATCTATTCATCTATCCACCTGTTGCTCCATCCATCAGTCCCTCCACTTGTTGCTCCATCTATCAGTCCATCAAACTCTTGCTTCATCTATCCGTCCATCCACCTGTTGCTCCGTCCATCCACCTGTTGCTCCATCCATTCGTCTATCTGTTGCTCCATCTATCCCTCCCCCTATCTGTTGCTCCATGCAACCGTCTATCTGTTGCTCCATTCTTCTGTCTCTCCATCCATCTGTCCAATTATTGTTATATTGCTCCTGTCTATGTTACTCTATTTCATTAGCTCTTCTTTTCTCTTTCACAAAATCTTTTGGTCCGTCATACTATCCATGGCTCAGTTGCTCGATTTTTCTCTCTTTCTCTCTCTCTCTCTCTCTCTCTCGCTCTATCACTTCACCTCTCTATCTGTTACTATGTCTGTTCTTGTAACTATTTGTCACTCTATTTCTTTGTCTGTTGCTCAATTTATCAGTCATACCATCTATCTATTGCCTAGTCTGCAAATGTACAGTTTGTTTACACATGATTTAAAGTTGTTTGAGATAAAGCGTTTGACTACATTTATTTTACTGAATTTCTTAAGGAAGAAAGTATATTGTGTATATCTATATTGTGTGATATATCCAGTATTAAAGTACATATGCAGAATCATTACTGTGATAAAAATCACTTCTGACTAGACCAACACGAAATCTGCATCTGCAAAAATCCACAGATTTTCATTGACTTATGAGCCCATTATTCAATCTAATGTTTTTCTTATGTAAATGTGTGTAGATATATATTTAATCAGGTTTTTTCTATATTAACTGATATTATTAAATATTATTGAATAATATGCAAATATATGCAAATGTTTAGATGATTTATGTACAATACTTTACAGTTTGCAAAGTAACATGTTCTGTCTTCTAGTAGATATATTACATGGAAGACTTGCTTTGTTTAACAAACAAGTGGTTCTGATTTGATTTGCATTGTAAACCAAAGATAAAATGTTCAAAAACATTTTTTATGCGTTAAATTAGTTACACTCAAAGTCATTCAGCATAAATCTAAAGATTTTGTACAGACTTGCACAGAAATAGTAAAATATCCACTGATTCTGTCTGGCCCTGCTTATGACATGAACTTATACTTCCAATATAGCATCTAGTGTTATTTAATTCAGATGTACTTCAGGCTGTTGTAGCAGTAGCTCAGCTTTGCTGGTAGGTCGTGTTTTAGACTTTGCTGTAGACATATTACTCAGACCCCTGCTGTAGACACCCGTAAGACTGCAGGCAAAGATCCGTTTATAACTGACTTGAACATACGCTACAGGAATACTGGATCTGACTTTTAATTTCCTTTTGCAGAAGACATACACGGAGGAGGAACTGAACGCCAAGCTGACAAGAAGAGTACAGAAAGCTGCACGGAGGCAGGCCAAGCAGGAGGAGCTCAAGAGACTTCACAGAGCTCAGGTGAAAGCCTACTAATGACTGATTTTTTTTTTTTTTTTTTTTCTGCATGAGGTTGTCAGAAAGTTGAATTTCAGCCATCATCACGCAGCATAATAGAGTGTGAAATCAACCAGACGCTACTTTCTGATTCCTCAGATGATTCAGAGGCAGCTGGAGCAGGTGGAAGAGAAACAGAGGCAGTTAGAGGAGAGAGGCGTCGCGGTGGAAAAGGCACTGCGAGGCGAAGCAGGTATCTCTGTCTTTAAGGCTTACTACTTTTACAAATGTTTCCTCAGAAGGGTTAAAACCTAAGAGCAGACTTTCAGACTATCTCAGGCTTTTCTTTATCTATTTTGATTTTGAGGTCCAAGCTCTGCTTGCTGTTGTTTATATTACTAAACTGCATTACAGACTTTCTTTATGCTTTATTGTTTATGCATAAGGCATACTTTGTCTTTTGCTGTTTTGTTAACTTGGGTCAGTAGTTTTTATATACAAACCTTGTATCTCATTATGAAATTTCAAACTCTCTCCCCCTCAAGATCTTTCTTTGAACCTTAAAAGTCATAGATTTTTTTGGAGTGAATATGATACATTTTGTTCTAGTCATGCACAACTTTGAATTATTTAAACAGCAAGACTGCTATTTTTTAACCCTCTAGCTGCAATTATAGGCCTTTTTGTCTTTGACACATTTATATAATATAAATAAATATTATTTAAATCTATTAATGCTAAAGTATTGCTCCTACCAGGCTAATGGAAATCTGTCCTAGCAGTTCTGAATTTTTGGAGAAAGGAATGAGCAATGATATCAATGTATGTGTATACGAGTTAAAATAATGAATCTTATTTTTTTTAAATATTGTAGATGTAAAAAAAATAATAATTCTAACTATTTAGTAAGGATCTTAGCTGTTATTGTAGCAACACAGGTTTTGATAGCCAATTGCTATGAATGATTTAAAGTAAAAAGATTTTTTAAAAATTGGCACACTGCCACTTAAGCTTTCAAAATGTTTTTAAAGTAACAACATTTCGACCTACATAGCCTTCATCAGGTTCAACCTGCCTTTGAGAATCCTAGATGTGGGCACTTTTCTGTTTCTTGGTTGCCTGGTTTAATGTAAAACACACTTATATTATGACATGTACAGTAGTCAACATTTAAAGTGAATTAAAAAGGCTTTTCAAACATTGTCCTAAAACATGAATGGGTGTTGTTTACTAGTTTTAGGCTAATTTAATAAAAACAGTATATGCACTGTAAAACCCAACAGTCAACTTTATTAAATAAAATAATTGTACTCGAAATTTACCGGAAGTTAATTCTACTCATTTGAAAAGAGTTTTGAACTCTTAAATTAAACATATCATTAATTCAGCTTAAATGGAGTAAGTTCGCAGTACTCATATAGATTAGTTTTTTTACTCAAATGATTTGTAGCAATCAGTTTCCTCAAATGGTTTGAGTTGCTTTAACTTATTTTTACAGTACTCAGTTGGTTTGAGTTCTCCTCATTTACTGGGTTTACTGTGCTCATATTGCTTCTATTGCTTATATTGATATATACACACTGGCTTTTAATTTTCAGTCAGTCAGCCCAAGTGCTTCAGGTGAACTGTCTTTCCTTTACAAAAAAAGCCATCTTCACTGCCTGATTGAAATATGATATAAAGTGAGTATCAGACTGGATAAGAGGAACTGCATTAAATTCCCTTTTCCCCGCTACTGTATGTCTTTGAAAAATGATTTTTTACATTTTTTTAACCTTAATATTTTCAATGTAGTTACTGTGCTAGACTGCTGCTAATGACGGCACTAGTGTTTACATGGTCTTTCACCTCATATAAAGCTTTAACAGTAAATTACTGCTTAAGTTTATTAAACTGGATGTATTGTAATTAGGCATGGGACGATAACCGGTTTTAAGTTTTAAACCGCTCTTTTGAAAAGTCAAGGTTTTAAAACCGTCCAAAATTTTAAGGTATTTGTATTTATTTTGTATTTTTTTAGGTTGCTATAGACCTGAACAGTGCAGTGACTTAATTTATATCCATAGAAAAGCAGGATATCCAAAGATGCCTTTTCAAGTTGAAAAGAAGTCAGTGTTTTTGAAACTAATTAAGACAGAAGAAGTCTCAGACTCAAATTTATTATCCCGTTTAGGGAAACTAAAATTGCAGCAAGGTGCTGTCACACAGGCGACACAGTCAATGTCTTATTTAAATCATTTAGTCTGACATTTGTTTTAAAATATTTTAAATGTAATATATATATATATGTTCAATGGGAAAAAAAAGTTGTAGTTTTTTACCCAGACATTCAAAAACACCATATTTTACTGCAGTAATCACAATATTGTGATATCTTTACCCAAGATTTTCATACTGTTAGAATCTTATACTGGCCTAATTTTAATTACATTACAACATTAATATTTTTAAAGGAACCGTATCAAATTAAAAATAGTAACATTAAACTTGCAACCGAAGATTACCATTGTCTTAAAAACACTAGCTGTGCATATAGCCCATTTGCTATCAAAACCTGTGTTTTCTACAATAACAACTAAGATAATTACTAGAACCTTTTGTAATATACAATTGCAGGAAAAAGTGTCCTGTTGCAAAATGTGAATGGTAAATATTGACAAAAGGATTCAGCTATGTGTGATTTCCAAACAGGCTAAAGCCAATAGAACGCAATTGATACGTTTGCACTTAATGCTTCTTCTCTCAACTTCCCCTCTCCCCTCCATCCCAATCTTTTATATGTAGTGTTTCTTAATCTCTTTTATCCTTTACTCTCTCTAAGGGTTGTATAAAGGTTCTAGCGTTAGTCCAAAACAGCGTAAGAGACGCTCAGGTGAAAACTTAGGTGTTGTAGTCGTCTCCGCGTACCTTACCATCTTCATCCCGAGCATCGTCTCTCCTGGTGTCTCCTCATGTGTGCGTCAACTGCATGACCCGTCAGTTTGTTCACACCAAACATAGATTTGTGTGCCACCAACTGGATGTGGTCCAATATAAATGACAGTATTCTAGGCACCCTTTTTTTTTTAAATCACTTTCTATTCATGGTTTGTTGTTTGTTTAGCATAGTATATTTGCAAGCTCTACAGATTACCCATAGCATAAATTATTAAAACAACCCATATGCATTGAATAGCAGACATAGATGACTGACTGGAATTAAAAGAACAAGCTTTTTAATTTGAGTTTCCCCAGTGCTACAAATCTATGTGCCCATCCACCATTACGGGACATGCAGTGTAAATACGATTAACTACATGTGTTTAAACGCCAATAACAAGTTGTAATGAGTGTGCATTTGGCGTACCTTGCTGTGTGAGAGTGTGCGTTTGTGTGCAACATATGCATGACCTGAAGCTACTGGCTGTGCCTGTGTGTGCAGTAACATGTTTCTAATATATCCTTATTGTAGACTATTGGGGAGAGTCTAATTACAGTGAGATCCTGGATTTGCATCTGGGCGGTATGTATTTCAAATCTGTTGCTTGAAATGGACTAACATCTAACGCCCTCACTTTCCCCCCCTGTACTTACTGAAGCCTGTCTCCCTTATATTGACCCCCTCTGCCTAAATATTCTCACATTTGCTCATGTAGTATTATCTAATATTATATCAGTGCAGTTTATTTGCATTGTTAAATGTTTGTACTTGCAACGTATGTAGTATTTAATTGAATTTGCTGTTAATTTAGATTTATTTTTATTAATTGCTAATTATTTGATTGTTAATCTTTTAACATATTAGTGTAGTTTATATTTATTTATTTATTTGTTTATTTATTTATTTTTATTATGTTTAGTGTCATAAATCATGACAGTTATTTATATCTAAAATGAACACATTTTTATTTTTTATTTTTTGCCAAATTGCTTGCTTGCAAAATGCCCTGCAATTATAATCACTTATAATCTTAGGGCGCAAACTATTAATCCTTCCATTAATTTATGGGCTTCCAAAATCCAAGATGGGGCAGTTCACCCAAAAATTAAAAGTTTCTCACTTTTTTCTTTATTCTTTGAACACTAAAGGACATATTTTGGAGAAAGATGAAAACCTGTGACCAAAAACAAATACCAGTGCTTCCCACATAGACACTACTTTGGTTGGCCGCCTAAATACATTTGATGACATTTATTTTTTTAATATTGTCATCCTTTTACACTTTTTTGTATCTGTCTAATAGCAAAGTATCCATGATCAATTAACTAGTGCAGAAGTGTCAAATTCATTTTAACTCAGCGGCCACATGGAGGGAAATCTTTTCCTAAGTGGGAAGGATGGGTAAAATCATGGTATATATAACTTAAAAACAACAAATTCATATTGTTTTCTTTGTTTAAATATGATCAATACAAAACATAAAGCTGGAGCCTGAGGACAACACAACACAATTCATAACTTTTTTTATTTAGTGGCTAATTCATATTCGTAAGATCTTATTCGTAAAGTTTAGTACGATTTGCTCATCCACCAATGGCGGTTGGGATTAGGGGTGGGGTTGGATGCCACACATTTTTATATCGTACTGCTCTTAAAGTGACAGCGTGCAATATTCCTGCTGCCGGCTGTTTTGATCATTTTATCATTAATCAAACATCAAACACTGCTCTTGACTGAAAGACTTTTGCAGCTAGAATTATTATTTTTTCCATAAAGTGAAGATGCTTAAAGCACAGTTTGTTTCATATTTGTATTCTATTGTATTTATTTCCCTTTCCTTATTTATAAGGAGGAAAACAACTGTATATGTACAGTTGAAGTCAGAATTATTAGCGGCCCCTTTTCCCCCAATTACTGTTTAAGGGAAAGATTTTTTTTCAACACATTCCTAAACATAATGTTTCTTCTGCAAACAATCAAAGAATATATAGCTTAAGGGGGCTAATAATATTGACCTTAAAATAGTTTTTAAAAATATTTAAACCTGCTTTTATTCTAAATTGAGGATTTCTTTTTTTATTTCAATAGTCTTAAAAAAAACTTCAACTGATTAATAATAAACTATGTATAATAAAAAAATAATAAATAAATAAATAAAAATATTGTTAAAAATATTTTTTGTCACATCTAGTTAACCATGTGCTGTGAGTAAAAGTTGTGTTTTAGTCCGGCTACCACAGCAAGTATATTTCAAATCTGTGTGAAGCACTGAATTCTATGGGAGTACATATTTTCAGCATTTTTCTAAATATCTTCTTTTGTGTTTAACTGTAGAAAGAAACCCATAAAAATATGAAACAAGGATAAGACTATTTTGGGTGAACGGACCCTTTAATCAAACACATAGATTGCAATAGCTTGTAGTATTGATTAAGCCCCTCCCCTTTAGCCTTTTATAGAGCCAGTGCCTTACTGCTTACCTCGCCAACAGCTTTCATACCTTCCTTCCATACCTGCTCAGTTGCATAGGGGCCCAATACCCTGAGAGACCCCAGTGTTCTGCATCATTCATAATTGTGACTGATGCCTTCATGTGTGGTTCGTCTTCACCTTTTTCCCAAACCTTACATCTCACACTGTGGAGTTTTTGCTTGTTTGAATGAGTGTGTTTGTCTTGTGGTGTTTTCATTGATCATACTGTGAAGTTACCGGCAAGCCATGCCAAAAAACCCCCTACGCAGACAGGAGATCGCGTGGAGCTCTGTTTGTGACAATGCATAAATTATCCATTGTTTTTTAAAGGACGTTGAGGCATTGTTTAATCCATCCTTTGAAACTTTTTCAATGCAACTTACTAGAAAATATTTGTAATAAATATTCTGGTGGGTATTTTATGTTTATGGGTATTTACATATGCAAACAAAGGTAAGTACAACATATATTTTTATTAAAACAAATTTCAGATACGACACAAACTTCATTTTGTAAGATTTCTATGGGTCTTTGTAGCACTGCAGCCCAGTAACTGCTATGTTGCTACAATTTCTTTCGTTTCATAAACAATTGCACAGAGATTAAGTGACTTACATGCGATCTGTGCACTTTTTCCCCCCCATCACAATCTATTTGGTGACAGACCTGTGAACAGTTGGTAGATTTCCTGTAATCCAAGCTTAAAACACTTTGCGTAATTACTGTCAGTGTTCTGAAGCCATTATTTGGCTGCCGAACTTGGTCTTCACATCCAAAACAATACAGTTGTTCTCATTTTTCTTTCCAATTAAAAAAAAAAAAAAAAAAAAAAAAAAAAGAGTAAAACTTTAGAAAGCTGTTGTTGTTTTCAGTGTAACTTTGCATCAGTTTGTTTATGGCCTGTTTAATGTGGGTCTTTCCATGCATGTCTGCATTAGAATGCAAGCTTGTTGCTGTTTTTCGTGGATAATTGGCTTCAGATTCTTCCCATAACTGCAGAGTTTGTGCCAGCGATTTGAGGCTTAAAGGGATAGTTCACCTAAAAGTGTCAAAACCTATTTGAGCTTCTGAATTCTATTAAACACAGAGGAAGATTAGATATAAATTGGATGTGTTTGGAAATATGACTTTAATTTAAAATTCAATGTAATGTTTTATTATTATTATTATTATTATTATTATTATTATTATTATTATTATATAAGCACACGCACATTGGTCAATTTCAAATGTGTATATATATATTTTATAATTTATTTAATTGTTGTTTCTCTTAAAGTACATTTTGAAATATTATATTATATTTAATACTATATTTAATTAACTTAATATATACTAAAATATAAAGTTAATATTCTGTATTGTTTGCTGGGTTTTGTAATATAATTAAAATCAATAAAAAATAAGTTGAAAAAAATTATAATGAAACAAGAAGATTTTTTAAATAAAGCCTGAAATCTGTAACTTTTGACTTCCATAGTATTTGTTTTTTCCTACTATAGAAGTCAATGGTCTTCAGCATTTATCAAAATATCTATTTTAGTGTTTTAACAGAAGAAAGAAACTCATAAAGGTTTAAAAAACAATTGAGGGTCACTAAGTACATTTACAGTGCGAAAATATTCATTTTTAGGTGAACTATCCCTTTAAGAGGAGTGTTTCATGCATGTTAGATTGAAACTTTTTTTTAAATAAAGCCCTTTTTATTTTACTTTTGATTTTAACACTTCTGTTAAACACAAGAAAATATATTTTAAATAAAGCCTGAAATCTGTAACCATTGACTTCCATATTTGTTTTTTTCCTAATATGGAAGTTAATGTTTTACAGCATTTTTTAAAATATATACTTTAGTATTTACTTTAGTACTTTAGTATTTAACAGATTAACGAAACTCATAAAGGTTTATAATCAATTGAGGGTCAGTAAGTATATTTAGTGTGCGAAAATATTTATTTTTAGGTGAACTATACCTTTAAAAGGAGTGTTTCACGCATGTTAGATTGAAAGTTTTTTTTTTTTTTATGTATATAATATAAGGGCATACTCACATAAGGTACATTTGCCTTGAAACGTGCCAAATCGTGATTGCCCCCTCTCCCCAGCGGCCTGCACTCACATTGCATGCTGTTCAGTTTAACAGGAAGAGAATTGCTCTCGCTCAGCACAGTGCAGATTGCTTTAGTTCTATCGTTTTGTATTATTTTTATTTGTATGGGATACAGTGACATGCAGTCAACACTTTGCCGAATAGATCCACCACTTTTGACGCTCAAAGTATCATAAATATCCTCGTGCTGCAGGTATTAGGAGGTTTCCTGTAGGTGTAGCTGTCGTGCAGCAAGGGGTTTGCGTTTTTAAAAAACTACGACAGTTTGCATTAATTAAAAATTAAGAATGATTAAAAAATCCATATGAAACAGTCTCCTAAAAGTGACATCTCGTCTTTAGTTTCGGGCTCAGGCACGCTTTGCACTCACACCACAAGTGTACGGCGACACAAGTGAACCGGCCTCTGGCATACCTCTTCCAACCGGACCAGGGACGGCCAACTAAACCATGCCTGAGCCCGATTCAGAACACTCACACTTCTCAAACGAATCGGGAAACACGCCTGGGCACAGTTTGGATAGCATAGTGTGAGTGTGCCCTAAAGCTCTTTTTAGTGTCCTTTTGCTTGAACACATCTGTTAAACACTAGAGAGGATATTTTTAATAAAGTCTGATCTGTAACCATTGACTTCCATAGTATTGTTTTTTCCTACTATGGATGTCAGTGGTTTTCAGAATTCTTTAAAATATATTTTTTAGTGTTTAACAGAAGAAAGGCACTCAAGGTTCATAACCAATTGAGGCTCATTAAGTACATTTACAGTGCGTAAATATAATTTTTTGGGTGAACTATGCCTTTAAGAGGAGTGTTTTCTTGCATGCTGTTAAAATATAAAGCCCTTTTTAGTGTCATTTTGCTTTTACACAAGTGTTAATGAGGTCAGAATAAGGGACAGTCATGTAGAAAATGCAGCTGAGGTAAGCCTTTATATGAGTGCTAATTAGTAATAGCATTAGTGCTAATTAGTAGGAATGTGCAATGTTTGCCGTCTACTATAATATCGTAACTGTTGTTTTTGTAATGTGCAAGCTGCCATTGAGCATAACACTCACCTTGCAAAAAGCAAACAAAAACATGTCTTAAGCATACAGAAGCATTCACTAAGTGAAGCACAAATACTAGCATCTGAGTGGGATTGCAAATGCAATGTTGATTTTATACATCAGTGCAACAAACAAGTCAATATAGAGTCTTGTTGTCTAATTTGATCTGTTTCACCAATGAAATTAGTTCCAAACAAAGCCAGATCACATCTGTCTCAATTCACTTACTTTAATAACTGTTTAAATGCTGTATTCGGTGCTTAGTATGTACTTTTTCTTTAAAGATACACATTTGGGTGTGTAGTGAAACCGTTAACAAGCTTTGGGACACACTACGGCATAAAATGTGTTCTTTAATGGACACTTTGACGCGTAATTATGTGCATCCTTTCATCATAAACTGGCCTGCCAATCATCTTGTCACTGTTACCATCCACCATTTAGTTTAATTCAGTTTCATTTCCTACCATATTGGAGAGAAAAGGAGTAGCGCTGATATGCCTGTCATGGGTCTTTAATGTGTAGACATCTGCTCATATTTTTGCATAATGCTGCATTTAAAGGTTAATGGTCAATTTGTTTTTTCCAGATGCAATATAACATGGACTAAATTAAATATAATTTATGTTAAATGTTGATTAGTCACTCAGACAGAACCCTTTATCCACTTACAGAAAAACATGAGCTTCATTTGTACAACCACATTAATTAAAGTCACACTGTAAGAAAATACTTTTCTTGCTTAGATTGTTTGACTTGTTTTTAGTCCAAATATCTATACATTCTTAATTCAAGCATTTTTTTGACACACAAAACATATTGTATTGTTTCAAGAAATTAGTTTTTCCTTACAAAAAACAAGCAAAATAATCTTCAAATGATAAAAACAACATTATTTTGCTTACCACATTGTGAGATTACTTTGCTTGTTTTAAGGAAAAACTAACTTTATTTTGGTATATTATTTCTTAAAACAAGACTTGATTTTTGTCTTGTGTTTTCAAATGCTAATTGGTTTAAGAATTTTTAGATATTTGGACTAAAAACAACGTCATTTGCAGTGCACATATATAAAAAATACACCCTAGTTATAGTTAAACAGTGTCTATTCAGTTTATGGCTTTAAACCAAACCATCCTCCATATCATAATAGGTTTTGGGTAATGTTAACTGTGTATGCGTGGATCAACACTTTACAAATCTAGTAGAAAGAAGTAGATTTTCTGGTGAAATTTGGCATACACTTTTCAATACCCTATTCTATGACACTTTCTTAAAGGCTTGCATATTACTTAGCATGGATAGTATGCACCTTGAGATGCTGTGGCTTAAAGTATAACAGTAAGAATACTCGAATAATAGTTAATAATAATAACTAATAATAGTTCTTTACAATTTATGTAACGCTGTTCTGGACACTCAAATCGCATTGCACATTTTTCGGGAAATCTCCTCATCCATCACCAGTGTGCAGCATCCACCTTGATGATGCAACGGCAGCCATATTATGCCAGACCGCACGCCAGCTGATTGGATGTGATGAAGCCAATTATAAAATGGGGTTTATGGTTAGGAGGCCAGGATGCCGAGTTTAAACCCCTACTATTTTTCGAAGGACATCCTGGGATTTTTAACAACCACAGAGAGTCAGGACCTCGGTTTAACCTCTCATTTGAAAGACGACGCTCACTGAGCAGTATAGAGTCCCTATCAATATACTGGAGTGTTAGGACCCACACAGACTACAGATTGAGTGCTGACCCCTGCTGGTCCGGCTGCAACCAAGCTTTCCCATCTGATCTCCCATCCAGGTACTGACCGGGCGCAGCTCTGCTTGTCTTCAGTAGGCGACCATGTGAGATTTGCAGAGAGCTAGCTGCCGGCCAGTGTTTCATTGATTGTGTTAAATGTAAAAAGAATCACTTTAACATTCAATTATGCTGTTTAACTTTAAGAATAAGGACTCAGAGTTGCAGAGTTTAGGCTTGTCTTAATGTACAACAAAAACTTTACTAAATAGTGTGTTTCATTCAAATCCAACTTGCCAGTTGGCATTATTGTTGCTAATAAGAAAAGACAGAACATACACTTGCTAAAAGAATCACTTGCTTTTTATTTATTTATTTTTTTTTATAATCAAATCAACAGTTTTGGATAAATTGTTTACACCAGGGTTGCCCCAACTCTGTCCTGTACTGAGTTTAGCTCCAACATACCTGAACTACCTAAACAAGCTCCTTATACTAGACACATCCTGAAAGTCTCTTAAAGGGAGTTGAAGCTAAACTCTGCAGAAGACCATTTGGCCACCCCCAAATATTTATTTATTTATTTTTGCTGTTTTAGCAACACTACAGTATCTGTGACAGTAAATTTACTAGCATGAAAACACACTCATACAAAATATTGTTTAATTATTCTCACCTAGATTGACTTCGCTACTGATTAGTTTCAGCCACTTCCGAGAGTAAAAAGGTCGCTGTTGAGCTGTCAAGGATTGTACTGTTTGACTCCTCTGCGATAGTTCATGTTATGAACTAGGACATTGTTGTCAGTTGGTTCAGCTTTGGTAAGGCTGCTCTGTCATCCGAGCTCTGCAGAGCACAAAGACCGACACAAGCATCTGCCTTTTAATTGGTTCCCCCATGCATCATTGGCAAAACCCTTTACTTCGGTGCCAGTTATTCTTCTGACGCTCATTTTTGTCTAGATCTCCTTTTCCATTTGTGGTTAGATTGACAGCCGCCATGCAGATTGCTGATTTCCACATCACACATAGTCGAGATGATTGGGAAATCTATTGTGCAGCCAGACAGAATGGGAACATCCCAAAACCAATATAGTGATTCAAAAAAATCTACAGAAAATGTCCTGATTAGACAGGAGACCTACAGTTGCATACTGTACGCCTTTGATGTAGCCTGTACAGACATTAGGTTTGCTCTTGAGTTGCCACTTATTATTTGCCCTCAGTAGTGCATAGAAGAAAAAGTTCAAAGAGCACTGTGATATTTCACCTCACTTCCTCAACTCATTCATGTTTGCGCTTTAGTCCCGTGTCATTTCCTCACACTATCTCGTATCACACTGCTGCTTTCAGTTTCTCCCCAGAAGTCCTCCCGTTTTTGATTTCCCTCCTCACTATTTTTTCTCTTCCACATCTCTTTCTTTTTCTCCTCTGCCTTTCACCTTTCTGTTTTCCTCCACTTCTTTCTCTCATTTCTTTCCTGTGTTGTGGAAGTTGAGCCCTATGTCGGGACCCCTCGCCGAAGAGCCCTGTACCTCTGCCCCTGCTGTGCCCCTGAAGGTAACGTAAACCCCGTCCTGTTTGCCGCCGGCCAGCTGTGTTTTCATAACTACATGGCCAGCGGCGTTACTTTGGCAACCTACTGGACCTAGGGAGTATCAAAGTGAACTCCTCTCCCCTGCCCTGCCCTGCCCGTGTGTGTTCAGGCTTTCAGGCTTAGTGGATTTCCCCCAGCAGATCACTGCATCACTGCCTCTGATAAACACATTTCTAGCAGATATATAATTAATATCTTAAAGGGCCAAATAATATTAATATTGACCTTGTTTTAAAAATAAAATTAAAACCTATTTTTATTCTGGACAAGTAAGACTTTCTCCAGAAGAAAACATATATACAATAGGAAATACTATGAAAATGTCCTCTCTCCATTAAACATCACATGAGAAACATCTGAAAACGAATATGAATTTCACAGAAGGGCTAATAATTTTACCATCATCTGAAACCATTTTAATAAACATGCATTGTATATGTTATTATTAAGTGTAAATTCATGGATTTTTTTGTACAGAGGATTTCTGTAAACGGTTTAATAAAACTTAATCAGTTGAATGAATCAAACATGCCCACACTATCAACATTTTTCTTTCATTATTGAGCTTCAAATGCTATTGCTATTCTATATCAGCAACACAAAATTGACTCAATGGTAAATGTTTAATATATCGCCCAGCCCTCTGCAGCATCAGCACTAGTCAGGCCCACCGTTTGGTTCCTCTACTGATCAAAGAACTTCTTTGTTTTGTGCCAGTTTAGACTTTCTAAAGAGGACGAGCATAGTGTGAAATGCATTTTTAATTGGTACATTAGAGCAGACCTGATGCGATGACACAGATCATTAGTGTATTTTGGGGGAAACTGCTCTGCTGATTATCGGTGTGATTTTGAAATAACAGCATGATTGTCATTTGCTCTTAGCCGGTTGTAAAGCCGTCAGCATTATATGTGTGCAAAGCTCACAGCTCCTTTACAGAGCTGCATCATGGTAATTCATAGACGATGTGTTCATGTTTGTCCATAACACTGATGATTTTGCTGTGAAGGAGAAGCATGTGTGAGTGAACACAACAGGAAAGTGAGGTCTCAAAATCTCACCCGTCCTTTTTAATGTCTTTGTCACATCATTCCACAACTTAAAGTCAACATGAAATCCAAATGGCCACCTTCTGCTTTTTTATTTTCTCCTGTTTATTCTGCTGCTTATTTTTTTCTACTTCTACTTTTTCTTCTGCATCTTTTATTTATTAGACTCATCATCTCATGAACAGTAGAAACTGGTTTTCTTGTTTCTTCTTTTATTAAACTATAATCATTTTAATTTTTAAACAACAGCAGCAGCAGTATTTGGGGTTAAATAATAATTAAATAATTGTAAAAAGCTATTATGCTGTTTGTTTTTGTTATTTTTGTGATAAATGCATTTTCAAAGATTTAAAGAATGGCCCTTAGCAATTTCATAAATTTGCTAAATGATTAGCTTTAATTTTATTGTAAATTAATCATATTAATTTGTAAATATATTTCATATTATTGCTTTAAGTATACTATTTTAATTAAATAGTATAATAATATTATAATTTTCATTACTAATTATACTGTTTTAGATTGCAGTGTAATTTTACTTCACTTTAATCATATTATTCCATAATATTCCAGCTTGCTAATTAAATCGTGTAAAATATTACTTACTACATTTTTAGTTTAGCATACTATGTTCCTTATAATTGTTTCTGATTAATATGTTATTGCATGTAATTATTTTAAACTTAATTTGGCAACTTCATTTAGTTTTTTTTTATAAGCATTTAGTTTTTTAGCCAATATTATTAAATATTGTTGTATTAGATGTTTGCTATAGTGATTATGATTGATAATTGCATGTTATTGCTGTAATTATATTTGATACTTTCTTATTAAAACACTGTAAAAAAAATCCCATGAAATTTGCGGTAAAAAACTGCCAGCTGGGGTTGCCAGAAATTTAACATGACACTACAGTAAAAAATGTTTTCAAGTTTACGGGAGAAATAATAATAATAATAAAAAAAATTATGGATAAAAACTGTAAGCTGTGGTTGCTAGAAATTTACCATAAAAATACCGTAGACATGATACCAGGTTTACAGCAGAAATAATCGAAAAAAATTATGGTTAAACTGCAAGCTATGGCTGACAGAAATTTACCATAAAGAAATACAGTAGAAATGTTATCAAATTTACAGTAGCCATAATCGTAAAATTTATGGTAAAAACTAAACTGTGGTTGCCAGAAATTTATTATAAAAAATACAGCAGAAATGTTATTAAGTTTACGTAGCAACAATCGGAAAGTGTACGGTTAAACTGTAAACTGTGATTGCCAGAAATTTACCATAAAAAATACTGTAGAAATGTTATCAGGTTTACGGTAGCAATAATCAAAAAATTTATGGTTAAACTGCAAGCTATGGTTGCCTGAAATTTACCATAAAAAATACAGTAGAAATTTTATAAAGTTTACTATAGCAGTAATTGTAAAACTTAGGGTAAAAAAACTAAGCTGTGGTTGCCAGAAATTTAGCATAAAACATACAGCAGAAATGTTAAGTGTACAGTAAAAAAACTGTAATCTGTGGTTGCCAGAAATTTAGCATAAAAAATGCAGTAGAAGTTTACGGTAGCAAAAATCGTAAAATTTAATTGTACAATTTAAAGTAAAAACTACGGTTTTCCTAAGAGAATTGTAAAATTCAAAGTAAAATACTGTCAGCTATGGTTGCCAGAAATGTATAAAAATGCAGCAGTAAAAAGTAAAGAGTAAAAGTAAAGTAAAAATACATGCTCTTTAGTTTACAGTATTCACACGATAAATTTAAAAGACAAGTTATAAAAAAGGCAGGTTAAATAACATTAATAAACACTAATGCCAAATTGAAAAGACTTTGAAACATGTATTAACTGCATTGCAACAAATACATAGCAGGTCTCCTTACAAAAGTATAAACCGATTGGCTTCATGTACTGTAGCAGAACAAATAGACTTCTGTCTTTACAGACATCAATAGCAAAAGTATAACAATATAAACGTTTGTAGTCTCAGACACAGAAAACCTTACCCTAATAATAAAATAAATAAATGGGTTACACTTTATAATACCTACACACTATAAATCCTTTATTTGCACTAATATACATACAGATAATAATAAAAAGGAGAACAATGAATTGTTCAATTGAATTACAATTTAAAAATTAAACCTTTGCAAATGGCATTCCATGTTGACTTTAAATCCAGTAGCTCCAATCACTTCAATTGTCCAGCAAAGTGTGTTGTTCGTATGGGTTTGTAATGCGGTGTGTGTGTGTAACTATACCTGTATATAACAGTGCTCTTACAGCACAGCGTTTAGCGTGGCTGTTCTTCCGACTGTTCTGACTAACTGTGGTTCTTCTTTCTCTGTTCCTCTTGGGAAAGCATGGGGCTGAGTGTTGGGGAGGCCCGTCACAGTGCGTCTCACTTGATAAGTTTAGCCTCCCTGTCCTCTGTTGTCCCCTGTCTCTCTCTGTTTTTTTGTGTGTCCGAGGACCTCTACTTTGCCTCTGTGTGTTAAAAGCGGTCCAGCAGCCGCGAGCACAGCCGTTCGGTTTGTGTTTGTTCTGTGTTTTTTTTTTTTTCCTTGTATGTTGCAAGAGCCGCTTCTCCGTCAGCTACGTCAGTACGTCATGCTACATCCAGGTTTGGCTCATTTCAGTGCTTGGCTTCACTTGTGTGTTTATGTATGTGTAGGGATTGGAGACAGGTTTTTTTTTTTCATCATATACTTCTGGGACTGTACTAGCATGAGCTGAGTCTGACATGTACAGATGTTCCCAGTTTTCTGCATTGATCATGGACTTCAGTTTTATGGCATGAGGGCTTTTTGTTCAACCTCATGCAGTACAATAGAGGAACGTCTATCTGCAGTGCAGGTAAAGGAGATTTATTTATAAGTGTAAACCAGAGGAGTTTAAAAGGGATGTTTCAGATTCAGTGCAAGATGTTTCAGCAGGTTTTCCTGCGTAATGGTGATTACCACTGGAAATTATTTTGACTTGTCTGTTTCTTATTAGTAAAATGCAAATGTAGTGGTTTTGGGAAGGCAATGATAGCAAGGTTTACCGCAGGGTCTTAAAATGTCTTAAATTTTAAAAAACTCAATTTTAGGCCCTAAAACAGGGGTGCTCAGATTTTTTTGTTATGAAAAGCCAAAAACCAAACTTTTTGAAGGCTAGTGGGCCGAAGGTAAATATAGTTGCCATGGGAAATGTACTAGTTTATTTAATACAGTTTAGAAATGACTAGAAAACATTGCATTATATTAACTAATAGAGTTTTTATTTACATTTAATAAATAAATTGTTACAACAAATGATCTCTATTGACAGTATTTGCATTTTTAAAAATGAGATTCATTTACAACATTTAGTTGAAAATTTGTATTTCAGTTTGAGATTTTTTTTTTGTAGCTCAGCAATAAAACTAACAAAAAGTTTGGTCTATTAGCATGTAAGAAGGGTCCGATATCAGGTAGGTGTCAAGAGCTCTACCTGGTGAAAGGAGGATATGGGGTGGAAGGGAGGATTATATAAATTAGCCAGTAGGGTCAAATCGGTGTATTTATTGTAGGCTTGGATCAACCTGATTAGATTATTGCTAATTACAGATGAGAAACCAGACGCAATCAATCATATCACATGCTCCTCTCGAAATTAGTTTGTAAAACTTTACTTCGAAGCTAAAACATTCGTACCATTTACTTATGAAATATATCCATTATTACAGTGGTTCTCAAACTGTGGTACGTGTACCACTAGTGGTACGCGGACTTCCTTCTAGTGGTACACGGAGGAATGAAATATGTCATGTATATGCTACATATATTTCAAAATTTATCAAAAATTATGTATATAATATGCCATATATGAAATATAGCCTATATTTCTGAGGTAATCTGCCACATTTTTTTAACCGTGTGGAGTTGTAGCTGCTTTACTAGGGCTACTACGCTTCTGTATTTTAATACTGCTCATTTTGGTGGTACTTGGAGAGACAATTTTTTTTCTGAGGTGGTACTTGATGAAAAAAGTTTGGGAACCACTGCATTATTATAAACTGTAGATACCTGACCTAAATTGTTTATAAAAATATTTTCTTTTTTTCTAATTATTAATATTATTATTAATAATAATAATAATAATAATAATAAATAACAATAATAATAAAACATTGAAACAATCAAAACTAGGACCAAGACTGCACTTAGAGCTGAAATAAAAAACTGTAGTGTTGCAAAATAGAAATGACATTTAAAATAAGGGTTTTATGTGAGAATGTATTTTAAAATGTAATTTATTTATTTATTTATTTATTTATTTATTTATTTATTTATTTATTTATTTATTTATTTATTTATTTTTAAAGCAATTTTCAGAAATTACTGATCCAGTCTTTTATGTCACTTGATTTTTTTAGAAATCATGATAAAAATAAAATGTTTATTAGACATAATTGATAAAAAGTGACAGTAATTGTTTTCACAAAAATATGAATGAAAAATAAAAATATTTATTGGAGTGTGTGTTTGTGTGTAAAAAAAAACTATTTTTTAACTCAAATACAATGTTTTTGTTTTTATTATTATTAATGAAAAAATAAAAAGATTCAGAGAAAAATCTTAAGGAATTTCTAGTGGTAATCGACATTTTGCTACCAATGCTGAACTTGTATTGAAACTGGAACGTTTTAGTGTGACATGTCAAAATGATTGAGCTAAAGTGGTGTAAAAGTGGTTTACTTGCATAATATCTGTGAAAGCCTCCCTTGGAGCAAGACCCACAACTGTAAAATGACTTTAGATGTTCCTTCTTTTTGACATCCAGCTGTGGCACTGACTTATAATAATAGTAGCATTCATAATTAATAAATGGAGCAAGATCCGCTGCCTTGAAAAAGACTAAATGCCTCAGAAGTCCAGTCTGATCAGCATTGATCACGAAATGCTGTCCAATCAGAAGCCGTTATCTCCACGCCATCCTCTGTGAGCCGGCAGTCTCGACCTCATTCCCACCCGACTCTCGCCCTGACAAAGACATCCTGGCTTGGCTGTCATCGCATTCGCTGTGTGGGTGTCCGTGTCAGGTCTGTGTGTCATCAACTGGTCAAGCGCTTCCTCAAGCTTCACCGATGTGCTTCTTGCAGGAATGGGTAAAAAGGACGATCCGAAGCTGATGCAGGAATGGTTTAAACTGGTCCAGGAGAAGAATGCCTTGGTACGATATGAATCCGAGCTGATGATATTGTGAGTAGACCTTCAATTTTATGAATTTTATTCACTTTGCCTTACATTTTCATATTTTTAATTAGAGCTCCTCAATATATTAAAAAAATATATCGTTATTGCTAGAGGTGTGAACCTACACTGGCCTCACAGTTTGGCTACAATTATCATGCGATTGATTCGGTTCAGTTTGATATCACGGTGCATTGCAGATGTTTTCCATCCACAGTTTAATATTTTACTTACAGCACAATAATTCTGTTATTAACATTTCGAAATTTTTAAATATGTATTATATGTATTTGTAATACAATATTGTCCACGAATACAAACAGTCAGATATTTGAACTGTACCTTTAATTTTACTTGCTCAAAGAAAACACTCTTTTTGAATGTATCAAACAAAACTCAAGTACATGCACAGCATTGTCGGGGGAGTTGTTAAAGGTTCAAGAACCCCTTGAGTATTTTCTTTAAGATTTTAACAGATTTGTTAGTGTTAAGTATCAGTTAAGACAATGTTAGCACCTGTCAGATTTAATTGTGGGGAAAACTGGATAATTTTGAGCTTTTGTCAGCTAATTTCAGCTGGGTTTAAAATAATTTTTGGGAAGGGATCAAAATCGGTGACGTAGTGCTAATCTGCTAGTGAAGTGATGATGCGTCGGTTTCTCATTATTATTAATAGCGGAGTTTTCTTATCCTTTGAGAAGAGCCTGTTCCCTTAATTCTGGCAACCACAGCTTAGTTTTTTTTACCCTAAGTTTTACAATTACTGCTACAGTAAACTTTATAAAATTTCTACTGTATTTTTTATGGTAAATTTCTGGCAACCATAGCTTGCTTAAATATGCTTTCCGAAGGCAAGGCAGACCTACCAAGCTGTGAAACCCAAATGACTGGATAAGACCGCGTCCGTGGACTCCATATACGGCACGCAGTATTTAGCCGTTCATGAAGTGTCGTATGTGTTTGATTCTATGATCCACGGGTTTGTTGGATGTTTTTGCCCGCGATGCTGTCAGAGCCGATACAGCAAAGCTGCTTGTGTGCAGCAAGCATTTTTGTTGGGAGAGCAGTACAAGAATTGGAGAATGGTGGACTGTCTTTTATCAGTTGAGTTTGTTACCATTCAGACACATCGCCTATATCTGTGCTGCTGTGTTGCCTATGTTTACAATCCTCCAGATTACTGGCAGGGCTAATGCTTAAAAAAAACAGGGCAAGAGATCTGCTGCACTGCTATCCACTGTGTCTGCATTCAGACGTGGGGATTGAGGAGGAGAGAAGTCCTCCTCATTTATAGTGTTTATATAAACACAATTATTTTTATAGTGATATAACAAATTAGGGTTATGTGTATATGAAATTACGAATAACGAATTTAGCAGGGCATTGAATTACTGTTTATTTCTTTGCATTTTAACTTTGCAAACTGTAAATACATGCGTCTCTTCCGGTTTGTGTCTAATTTTATGAGCCAACTGATAAGTTGTTTGCTCCCCTCATTTTCCCCTGCTCTGCTGGCCATGCCCACTTTTCTCTTTGGTCGCAGCGCTCCACGCCCATTATGATGCATTTTTTGAAAAATTTCTGAGGTAGACTTAATAGCAAGTATCGCTGTAACAGCCAAGAGGAGAGGAAGCATCACGCCAGCAGTGAGAGGGAAATGAAGCTTACTGCTTTCATTTCTCTACAGCAGTGAAATAGGGGCTTCTGAAAGACTGTCCGGCAAAAACACACTGTGAATTGTGCAAAGTTTCTGGGTTTTTAAGTAGTTTTAATTACTCTGGCTCGCCTCCCTCGTCATAGTAAGCTACTGCAATATAGCACATAAGAGATAGTAAAGTTAGTAAATTTTATTTATAAAGCACATTTAACTTCAGTGTGGCACTTACCAGTGCTGAACAAAACACCTTCTAAAACAGGAAAATAACAATAAAAGTAAGAATAATAGAATTACAGCAATAATGCACATTAAGGATTAAAAGCCTGGGAAGGTAATTGAATAAAAATGTTACTTAAGTCTAGACTTAAAAATAGAGAGAGAAGCAGCACTCGTCATGTCCGGTGGCAGCTGGTTCCACAAACGTGGAGCAGCGACTGCAAAGGTTCTATCTTTCAGTTTAAGTCGTGACTGAGGAATTAGCAGTAATTTTATTCGACCACCTAAGAGACAGAGGAGTTGACTTTAGGTCATAAAATAACTTTTTTATTTTAGTATGTAAATTTAGTTTTACTTAAATAAAATGGACATTTTTTTAATTGCTTATATAAATGAAGGTTTTTAAGTTTGTTTCACATAAGACATATTGTTATTATCATAAGACATATTGTATATTTTACTACTGCAGCCCTAGAATCCACATTAAAGACAGTTCACCCAAGAATGAAGATCTGCTGTTGTTTTACTCACAGGTTGTCCAAGTAGCTATAGGTCCACATACTGTAGATCGCTTTTTTCTGCAGTGGAACATTACAGCAGATTTTTAAGAAAACTGTGGTCTCTGGTGATTCATGTAATTTAAATCAGTTGTAATTATCACTATGACAATCAAAAAAACATATTCCAAAAATAGATACCCACGCTTCCTGATTATACAGTATAATGATGTTACAGTTGACTTGTATTGTATAAATCATAAAGGATCATGATTTTAGCTAAAATAGAAAAGTTCCACTGAAGAAAAAGTCACCTACTGCACACCTTGGATGACAAATGTTATGCATAAAGTATCATTTGAGCTTAAAGAATCATTTAGCAACATTTAATAAACAAGATTAAGCGTGAAACAGTTCTGACAAATGTACAAAGGCAGCTTTTTGAAATGGTTACATAGTTTGTAAATTTGCCCTCAGTCATATCTGTGTGCTCTGCCACGATTAATAATGAATTAACCTAATATTGTCTGTTAGACTAAATCTGAACAAATTAGCTCTAGTGTTTAATATTGTAAGGCTTTTCTTGGCAGGTTAGTTAATTAGAATAAATTAGATTCATTTAATTAATTGTCAGCCAGAATGCATTATTTATTTAATTGCCTTCCTCCAAAAGTGAAATTAGCCATTCTGTTGTACATTCAGGGCACTTTTATTCATTGTTTAAAAAAAGAAGAACGTACATCTTTCTAAACAAGAAAATCTCTAACGGGTATATTCACAGTATGCAGCATCATGGTGGCCAATGCATGTATTCGATTATGTTCTGTCCTATTCACATTGTGAGAATACAAGATGCAATTATGTAGTGACTGAGTGGCAATCAACTGTGCATCTACGTTTATACAGATAAGAACCAAATGCCTGTCCACTCAGACAAAAGTAGTTTCATTAATAAAACAATAATTCATAAAGCACAGTTTCATCAAGAAAAATGGCCTTCAGTAAAAAAAAAAAAAAAATTCCTCATTTGTTATCAACTCTTCAGTATTGACCATATACAATTGAAGTCAGAATTAATAGCCCCCCTCTTTATTTTTTCCCCCAATTTCTGCTTAACAAAGATATTTATTTATTTAACACATTTCTAAACATATTAGTTTTAATAACTCATTTCTAATAACTGATTTAATTTATCCTTGTCATGATGACAGTAAATAGTATTTGACTTGATATTTTTCAAGACACTTCTATACAGCTTAAAGTGACATTTAAAAGCTTAACTAGGTTAATCAGGTTAACTAGGTTAGGGTAATAATTAGGCAAGTTATGGTATAGTGATGGTTTGTTCAGTTGACGATAGAAAAATATATAGCTTAAAGGGGCTGTTAAAAACTGCTTTTATTTAAGCCGAAATAAAACAAATAAGACTTTCTCCAGAAGAAAAAGTATTATCAGACATACAGTACTGTGAAAATTTTGTTGCTCTGTTAAACATCATTTGGGAAATATTTAAAAAAGAAAAAAAATTAAAAGGGGGGCTAATAATTCTGACTTCAACTGTACACATGATTACAGTACATCATATTTCACTAGATGTTTTTCAAGAGACTATTATTTAGCCTAAAGTGACATTTAAAGGCTTAACTTTTGGACTCTCTCGCCTTGTTGGATTTGCCATCGTTCTGATTCCTGTTGATTGGTGTGTGTGTGTGTGTGTGTGTGTGTGTGTGTGTGTGTGTGTGTGTGTGTGTGTGTGTGTGTGTGTGTGTGTGTGTGTGTGTGTGTGTGTGTGTGTGTGTGTGTGTGTGTGTGTGTGTGTGTGTGTGTGTGTGTGTGTGTGTGTGTGTGTGTGTGTGTGTGTGTGTGTGTGTGTGTGTGTGTGACTGACTGCGTGTGACACTACTCTGCCTCTGATTGGCAAACGATGAAAATGTACTCTATCTAAGCCAATCATCACATTCTCGGTGACACCACCATTCACAGGCACACCAATCGTCATTTGTCATCACTGGTTGGTTATATGTTCCCCCCCAGCGCTGAACACACACACACACACACCTCTGAGAAAGAGTGTTCCTATGGCTGACAGAGATGCTGCAAACCACTTCATTGTTCTCAATTATAGTAACACACACTTTATTGTCAGTAACGGTTCTGCCGTTGTAACAGGGGAAACAGTCATTTAATTACTTGTTACTGAAAAAGTATTGCTGTTTATTTATAGCGCCGTTGTTTTCATCGCTGGTCATCTCAGAAATGCACTATTATAACTTTATTAACATTTTTAATTCTATACATTCACTTGCTGTGTTTAAAATGATTGACTTTAAATGTAAAGCTAGTTTAAAATGCATTGAATTTTCAATATAGTTGACAATATGAACATCCTTACGGATCAGAATGTGAATGCCTGTGCTGAAGTTTAATAAATGCATCAACTGAACAACCAAATAAAAGAAGCTTTTAACATTTGTGTTTGTTTTTATCTCCGAGTACTTGGCTTAAAGACACATCTGCTCATGCAAACCCCATAGTATCAGTGAGGATGTGTCAAGAATAAACCAGAAATTATAACGCTTTTATGACAGATGGATCATTGATGTCCACATGGGCCTTCCTAAGAATACAATGCCTTTGATTTTGCATCAAAGATTTTGCCAAATTCCTCATGAAACTATATAGTTGGTTTATTTATGTTTCTTCTTTTCTTTCTGCAGTGCTCGGGAGCTAGAGTTGGAGGACAGACAGAGTCGACTGCAACAGGAACTACGGGAACGCATGGCAATAGATGGTATTTACTCTCGTAATGTAATATATGTACATGGCTTAAAGACAAGATGCCCTGATCTAGTGTCTGCATCCAATGAAATGTGCAGAAGCTATTTTATATACAAGTGAAGAGTCTACATTAATATGTCAAATAACTTTTGTGAGATAGAAATGCCACAGAAATATGGACAATATTAAATAAATAATAATATTAAAAGTCTTATATTCACTGAAATATGATGTTGTAGGTTTAAAATACTTCTTAAGCAGGTCTTAATTTTTCTTTTTCTGTGTAAAGCTAGACAATTGTACAACAAACAATCCATCTTAAATTTACCAATATGGTTTAATTATGTTAATTAAACTATTTAATTTAAAATTGAGTTTATTATAGTTTTTAAAACTTGTCTTTTAAAAAAAAAAGGTATGGTAATAACAAATAAATAGAAATATAACTAGAGTTTGCTTGTTTTGACACATCATTTAAAGGATGTTGCTAAGAAATTGCTGAATTTTTATTTTATAGGGGCAAGTAAGAAAAAATTCCCAGGCCATTACAAAAAATCCTTAGCGTTTTACCCCCTGAAAGTCTGAAATTTCATTCATAACAGTCTTTAAAAAATCTTAAAGCGCTGACTTTATTGGACTGTTTTAAGTTATATTACAAGATGCGAAAGTGAAAGAAAGGCAGAAAGAAAGACTAATTTAGTAAACATCTTTAATTGAAATGAAACCAAAGTCAATTTATTGCTCAATTGATTTCTTGAAAATTGTGATAGTGCATAGTGGTTTAACTGATAGTAGCAAAGAATTAAAAGAAGTCAATTATTAAGAAAATTTAGAGCAAAATTTTAATGTACAAAAATTAACCTGGATTACTCTTTTGTTTATTTGAAAACCTCTTTTTGTCTTTTACCCATTAATAAATGCACTTTATGAAATTAATTGTCAAAATTAAATAGTCCAAACATTGTAATGACACAGACATATTCAGAAACATCAGTTAACTTAAAATTTAACTTTAGAATTGAAGGTCAGGGTGCTCCAGGTTTGACCAGCCCAGTCACCAGGTATGAACATTATTGAGCATGTCTGTGGAAGGATGGAGGAGGCATTGAAGATAAATCTTAATAATCTTGATGAACTCTGGGAGTCCTGCAAGAACGCTTTCTTTGCCATTCCAGATGACTTTATTAATAAGTTATTTGAGTCATTGCAGAGATGGATGGATGCAGTCCTCCAAGCTCATGGGAGTCATACACAATATTCAATCTTTTTCCACTGCAGCATGACTTTATATTTTATACTGTACAGTATTTCTGTTAAGTGACAAGACTTTTGTTTAAGAAAATTCAGAGCTTACTGTCCTAATTAAATTATTAAAAATCAAGGCATGATCATATTTTATTTTGGTAAAATAAGCCTAATCTAGAGGCCTTTGTTTTTTATATAAGACACTTCTGATACCAAATGATCAACTAGAAGTCAAGTTATTATTTGTTGTTTCTAAAACTTGCATAGGTGACAAGACTTTTGTCAGGCAGTGTACATAGCGGCTATAGCAAAACACACATTTTTTTTTTACAACAAACAATCCAACAGGAAAAAGAAACGACTGTTGTATTTCATGATGTATGGCCGTTTTGTCTTTTAAAAGAAGCTAAAATCCCCCCTGTCTGCAGATCATCTGAAGACAGAGGAGGAGCTGGCAGAGGAGAAGCAGATTCTGAATGAGATGTTGGAGGTGGTGGAGCAGCGAGACTCTCTGGTGGCCCTGCTGGAGGAACAGAGACTCAGGGAGAAGGAAGAAGATAAAGACCTGGAGGCGGTGATGCTCTCCAAAGGATTCAACCTCAACTGGGCTTAACATAACAATGTCCAAAAACCATCTAACCCGCCAGCGCTTCACTACAGGGAGTACAAAAAAAAATCTAAATCTCAGAAAGAGTCGCTCTTGGTTTTATTGGGCATGTCAACAACGTTTACAAACCTATTCATGAGCTCGATGGTGATGTTTTTATGAGGTTTCCTGGCACGACTCAGGGCGTTTTGTCCAATCGGCAGCCAAGGCAAGGCGTTCTCCATTTCGGAAATAAGGAGAACATAAATTTTTATTTAGTAATTTCTGGGACATATCAATCAATCCTGCTGATGTTGAGGAAGTCTGAGACTAAATGACTCTACATATAAAGCCAGTCTTGTTTATCAGAGAATGTCTGGTCAATCAACTGTTACGTTTTCAGTGACGAGCCGCTTTTTTTGGACTTCATTTCCTTTTAATGCGTTTTCTACATTCACTACTGACTGGAAAACAAAAGTACAAGTGTTTTCTCTTCGATCGCACTTCTATCCTGTGTAATATAACACACTATATAGGCATCAGACCTCCACGTGATGGACTTTCTCTCGGCGATTGACGCGCGTTTTGTTTGTAGCATCGACAATTGTAAATGTTCGAATCCATCGGTATCCACCTGATAATTCGAGAGATTTGGTGAACGATGGGATCAAAATGATCTTGATGTTACATACTTGCTGATGTCAGCTTCACATATATCCTGAAAGACGGTTTACAATCATTTGTAATCCATAAATATTGGATACTTGTACTATAGTTTACATAAACAGTGAAGTACAAATACATAGAGATTCATATATAAACCTCCAGATTTCGTAAGAGTGTATATATATATATATATATATATATATATATATATATATATATATATATATATATATATATATATATATATACACATATAATATACAGCCAGATGTGTTATGCATTTTGTTGCTTGGTTGGTTATGTGGTTTTAAATTGTTAGTTCACCAAAAAAATGTACATATGCTGTGGTTTTTTAAGACATCGGTGTGTCATCAGGATCCAGGGATATTAATATAGTTTTGCCTATATATAGTCTATATAAACTCTCAAAATGCTAGTAGTCACTGACTACTGATCACAAAAATATTCTTTGGTGCTTAACCTAAAGAGATTAAGCTAAAGTTTAGTTCACCTAAAAACTAAAATGTTAATAATTTACTCAACCTTTACTTGTTCCAAACCGCTTTTACCTTTTTTAATGTTAAACACAAAAGTAGATATTTTGAAAAATATTAAAAACGGGTAACCATTGACTTCTATAGTATTTTTTTTCCTATTATGGATGGTTACCAGTTTCCAGCATTCTTCATAATATCTTGTGTTCAACAGAAAAAAAGAAACTCATAAAGGTTTAGAAACGCTTGAGGGATGAGTAAATGGTGAGTAAATTTTATATATTTTGAAAAATGTTGGAAACTGGTAACCATTAACTTCTATAGTATTTTTCCCAATTATGCATGGTTACGGTTTCCAGCTTTGTTCAAAGTATCTTATTCTGTGTTCAACAGAAAAAACAACAACCTCATAATGTTTTGGAACCACTTGAGGACGAGTAGATGCTGAGTAAATTGTAGATATTTTAAAAAAACTGGTAACCATTGACTTCTGTAGTATTTTTTTCTATTATGGATGGTTACCAGTTTCCAGCATTGTTCAAAGTATCTTATTTTGTGTTGAACAGAAAAAAAAACAGAAACTCATAATGGTTTGAAAGCACTTGAGGGATGAGTAAATTGTAGATACTTTGAAAAGTGTTAGAAACTGGTAACCATTGACTTTTATAGTATTTTTTTCCTACTATGGATGGTTAGAGGTTTCCAGCATTCTTCAAAGTATCTTATTCTGTGTTCAACAGAGAAAAAAAAGTAACTCATAAGGGTTTGGAACCACTTGAGGATGAGTAGATGGAGAGTAAAGTGTAGATATTTTGCAAAATGTTGGAAACTGGAAACTATTGACTTCCATAGTATTTTTTCCTATTATACATGGTTACCAGTTTCCGGCATTTTTCATAGTGTCTTATTCTGTATTCAACAGAAAAAAACAGAAACTCATAATGGTTAATGGTTTGTAACCACTTGAGGATGAGTAGATGGTAAGTAATGTGTAGATATTTTGAAAACTGGTAACCATTCACTCCTATAGTATTTTTTCCTATTATGGATGCTTACCGGTTTCCAACATTCTTCAAAACATCTTATTTTGTGTTTAACACAATAAAACTGAAAATCAAAGGTTTGAAAGCTCTTGAGGGATGAGTAAATGGTGAGTAAATAGTATATTTTATGTGAACTATCCCTTAAAAAAATGTAAAATCCTCCCAAGTGGCCTGAAATTGAGAAAATGAACAGCAGATTTACACTTTTTGGTGAACTTACATTTTTAACGCACCCACAGGTTTTAACTTTTTTTATTTAGTATCAAATCAGATGGAGATTTTGGCCATTTTCACATCTAATTATCTGCCAGCAGATAATTAAAACAGTTGTTTTTTGGTAGTGTGTGTATTTTCCACTTTCTCCAGATTTGCAGCGACATGCCTTTCCTTAACTTTTCCTGCAACCGCTCTTCACATCCACAGAGTTTACTTGTGTTGTTTATAATTGTCTTTTCTAAAGTTTTTTATCACATGAAAACGTTTCAGCACCTCAGACTGACACCAGTGCTGATCAACAGCAGAAGCTTGTAGCCATACTCGACTCAGAAACATCGATACTGCAAACAAACATGCCTTCTTCCTAAGTGTACATTTCATTTTAGTCACCGTTGAGCTGTATAGATGGGCACAGATTTGTTTTGTTTTTGTTTGGTTTACTTGTAAGTACAGATAACTGTGAATGAAACCGTACACATGGTCAACAATAGTTATTTAGACTGTAAAATGTTTGACAGATTTTATGGTATTTATTAACGTGTGAAAATTGTATAATATGTAAAGTAAATGAATCCTAATTTTTAAAAAATATTGTTGGCTCTTGAAAATGCTTCATGTTGCTAATTTGCATATACTGTATAGGGTGTTGAATGTATGCAGAGGCAATAAAACAATGCAGTTGTTAAAAAAATGACTAATTCCATTGTTTCATTTAGTTGCTTTATTCATTTATTTGACACTTTTAATTACGGATGTACTGACTCACGATTCGATACACAATACTAGAATCTCAAAATGTATGATTTAGTCATGATGTTTTAACAAAATGTTTTGAAACTAATTTAACGTGAAGAGTCTTTTTGTTTTGTTTTTTTTCTTAAATACTGCACATTTTTTTCTAAATATATTTTCTGCCATAACTAAACTGCTATTTTAAAAAACAACCCCCCATCAGCATATCTATGTTTTCGGACATAAGCTGAGGTCTTTGCACATTTTCAATGTCCCCTGCTGAAAACAAAAAAACTCTTTGACTGGAGACTGAGATGGCTGATGTGGAGGAAAGCCTTTCCCAAACCAGAGAGCAGTGTGTTCAGAGGTGGTCAGTAGGTCCTGTGATTCAGGGGACTGGCCACTGGCATCACATACTGATTTTAAAATTACTAATTGAATAAAGATGGGAGTTAAACATGATTGTGATGGTGAATAATATTACCTGTATAATTAATTATTATAAGTTTTAGTGTGATACACTTAAGAAGAGATAATTTTGAACATTTTTGAATATTTAATAATACTAAGCAAATTATTAAAATATGCAAAAACTAAATGGAAAAGGTGAGGGTCAAAATAATCTAATACTAGACAGAATCCGTAACAGAACTACTTTCTCTTTTGGTCTGAAAAAAAACATCTTAAATAACATTATAATCTCAAATAGATTTTTTTTTCTGGAATGAGCCTTAAATCTCCACGTCTGCACTGAAATACATTTTTTTAGTTTTATTAATATCTGTGCATAATTTGCCTGATTATATACATTTTCTCATACAGGAAATGTATTATTATTTTATTTCTGGCTGTTCTGTATTCTATCTCCTCTGTAAAAATTCTAATGTTTAAATAAATAAACAAAACCCCTTGAACCTGGCTTCAAATGTTCAGATGTTTGTGCTAGAAATGTGTTTAAATTAGGACATATTTTAATGCATAGTTTACTTATATAAACACAACACAGAATGTAATGTAAAAAAACCCGTATGAAATACTTAAAACATTTAATCGACTACGGAAGTATAGTAATATTAGTTATTGTCTTTTACCCTATTCACCTTACGTTGTTAGGCGTCTATTACTCGGATTGTACAGTACAATAATAATCTCCTCGTGATTTCCGCTATGTAAACATTAACTCAGTCGCTGCTTTCCCAGTAAGCGAAGACAGGAAGTCATTTTAGCGATTCGGTTCCTTTGAACAGTTCGTTACAAAGAACTGATTTAAACTAAACAAATCTTTGGATTGTTGTCATCCCGTTTCACGCAAGACGTGCTGGATGTTCCAGTAAAGCGTTTCTACCTAATTGTGGTCAAGTTTATGTAATGGCTTCGTTGTAATGTCACACAACCGGTTGTGCAGTAATGCAGTCAATTTGGATGACATTTTTTTAGAAAGACGATATAAGATATTTGTGGGCATCTCTTGAATGAATGAATAAAATACTGATTCTATTTCGAGTAAGACATGTGAAAAAGATTTATTTAACTGTTCCATGAAGAACCGTCTATTATGTACAATTTGTGAACAAATAATTCAGAGTCGTTTTATGAACCGGTTGAAATGATTCAAGGAGAAGACTCGAGTCCGTTCATGCTCACAACTCGGCCAGCGTGAGTGTCAGAAGGAAACCAAAGTCTGTCAGAATGCACGCTGCTAGTTTCAGAGATTGCAAAGTAAGTTGGAAATTTGTTTATTCATCAAAAGCTTTTTGTGGTTATTGTGCTAAACTTTTTACTCGATTCTTAAGATTAAACACAATGGCCATTGTAAATCTGTGCAGTAATGCTTCAAAAGTTCTCTGCACACGTTATGGTGATTGACGTTTATTTCTTACTGTATATGTTGTTTTATTAGACAACTAAACATGTGGAAGTAAAAGTTTTCAGCGTGCCTCCAAATGTACGTACCAGACAGGATCAATTTTAGAACCAATGCACTTAAACAATACACATTGTTAACAACAACAGTAAGTTATACACTGTAACATTACAAAAACCAAGACAAACTGAAAAGCTGATTACTGTGACTGCAGCTTTTACAGTGTGCACTGCAGTCACAGTAATCAGCTTTCAGTGATTTGTCAGCAGTTTCTAGATATTACTCGTTTACAAAAGGGTCATTTCTACATTACATTTTGTAAACACCTTTTTTTTTTTTTTGCTATTTCGGGCTATTTTTAATACTTTTTTTCAACCTCATGTTTTGAGTTTTTAAACAGCCCTACAGACACGAGCTTTAATATATATTTTAGTTTTTATTATAAGTACAAGGAGTATTTGACCCCTGTTTTCAAGACTTTTTTTTTTAAATTTTAGAATCTGAATTGATCTTAAATTTGTCATTAATTTGACCCATTGTGTCTTAATAATCACATATTAAAAACCTATAAGAATTACATGAGAACATAAAAAGGACCATTTCCAATGCTGCAATCAAATATCATTATTAAATGTCAAATATCAAACATATTGATGACACCTGATTGAAATCTGTTATTGTTTTTTCTGTTTTCACCTGTGTGTGTGTGTGTGTGTGTGTGGGTATAAATATATATATATATATATATATATATACACACACACACACAAAAATATGACTTAACGATAAGTCTAATTGCAAATAAAAAAATTTGCTTAAAAAAACAGTGGCCAAAAACATTACCTTTATCAGCTTAAATACAGTTTTAATTATTAGTGTTTACTTGATTTTTAATTTGATATAATTTTACTGAAGGAATACATAATATTATGTTTATCATATCTATATATCTGATTCTTTTTTTAGAAGCACATCAGTTTTGTGGAATAACTCATTAACCAGCATAAATATATGGCAGCATAACAACATCAGATTTTATATAAATTACCGCACGCTGTAAAAAGAAGCAGTTTTTCGTATTTTGTGTGTCATGTTTTTATTTTCACTATTTATTTGTTATAGCACCTTAATATTTCTTCCAACAACTTTTAACCTTGAAAAGTTTAAAAAAAAGGGGACGTCACAGTGGCACAGTGGGTAGTACAATCGCCTCACAGCAAGAAGGTCGCTGGTTCGAGCCTCAGCTGGGTCAGCTGGCATTTCTGTGTGGAGTTTGCATGTTCTCCCCATGTTCAAGTGGGTTTCCTCCAGTTTCCCCCACAAGTCCAAAGACGTGGTATAGGTAAATTGGGTAAGCTAAATTGACCGTAGTGTGTGCGTGTGGGATTAAGAGTGTATGGATGTTTCCCAGTGATGGGTTGCATCTTGAAGGGCATCCACTGAGTAAAACATTTGCTGAATAAGTTGCTGGTTTGTTCTGCTGTCTCGACCCCAGATTAGGGTTGAGTCGATAGACAATGCCATCGTCCATCGCCGATAAGCACAACGATTCTGAGCAGGCATGGCGATCCTACGCCCCTCCACCGTCACAGCAGCAACCCTGAAAATAAACAATTGAAAAAGGCTTTAAGACCAAGCGGAATCCTATGTTGGCTGTCGCTGCAGTGTGACTTCAGCTAATCAGTTTTGGCTAATGCTAACACATTTTTCGTGAGTCCAACTTCCAGCTGTGCATGAAAACACACAATATGACCTCAGTGAAGTCAGCTTTCACTACTGTATTCGTTTTTAAATAGAGGAAATGTTTTACAAGTAATTTTTATTCTAAATCTTGGACCATGGGCCTTACTCTTGAAACACTAAATGACCAATAAAAGGTGTGAAGTATCAAAAGCGACTATTAAAACTGACTATTAAACTATATTAAAACTGATTTGAATGTTATTTTGGCTATTGGTGTTATCCATGAATTTCCAAATGTCCTTTTTTTCAAGAGAGGCTATAAAAAAAGCTTTGCGTTATTATATATATATATATATATATATATATATATATATATATATATATATATATATAGATTTTTTTTTTTATTATTTCTATGTTTTAATTATTTTTTATTCATAAAATGAGGAAAAGTTGAAAGTGCTGCCAGTTTGTTATTTGCTTAATAAATGACGCAATCGGCTACAGTTTTTAATTTAAAACTTTATCACATTCCATTTTTTTTCTTATGATATATGATGTAATATGTTTTTTAAAATAAGTATTTTTTATTCTAAATCGTTAGGAAATATTTTTGGTACTACAATGCGGTATTTAAAACTCATAATTAAATAAAAAAAATGATTAAATCACTTTTATTGTCACATCATCAGCAGCAGTGCTATGATGAGTGAAAAGCTTAGGTGCTGGCTCCAGACCGTACAGAATACAGATACAAATACAACGACAGTGCAAAATACAGACAGTGCAACATACAGACAGTGCAAATACAACGACAAGGCAAAATACAACAGCATACTCCCAAAAAAAACAAGACAATGTAAAATTGACAGCGATATGTACAATGAATAGGTGTCCACATAGTTGTAGGCAGTATTGTTTAAAGTATGACGAAGAACTGCAGAAAGGTCCGCTTTTTGAGAAAAAAAGAACCACCACCCCTTACACCAGGCTGGCTAAGGGCCTGGTTTTTAAATGTGATATTTAATTCATCTTGTCTCCATCCAATGACTCTTCAGTCTTTTGAATCGATCAGGTAACATGTCATCATCATCATCAGAACACTGCTTCAATCTTTCGTCATCGTCCATCGCGATGTTTTACGTTTGACATTGTACGTTGCCAAATTGGTCAACATTCCCCAATCCTACCCTGGATTAATAAAGGGACGAAACCAAAAAGAAAATAAATAAATGAATGAAGTTCGAAAAAGTGGCTTTTATTGACACTTTAAATAGTTTTAGTGATCTATTTTCTGGGTTGGTGTTGTATAGTACGATACACAAACCTGATAATATACCACCAGTACGTTTGTTTTTATTTTCCAGTGCTATATATATATATATACACTATATTATTTCAAACTACTAACATGTCAATAAGTGTTACTTTGTTAAACTGTAGAGTTTTTAACATCAAACGTCGACAGAGCAGAGATCAAGCTCCCACAATGCAAATCAGTATTGTAAAAACACTTGTAAATCACACAGAAAATGTTAATTAACAGATGTTTTTTTACAGTGCATGAGGGCCACAAAAGTAAGTCAAGCAATATTGTGCAAAATGTATGATCTGTGTTGTGATCATGCGTCATCAGGCCTGGCAATCCGACGGTCTGCCACTGTCCACCAGCAGTAACGAGGCCTGTAAACTATATGACGCTATACTGTCTCAGGTACAGTACATATATAGACTGATACTGATGATGACTCTGAGCTTTTTGCTTCTCTGTGTAAATAACCTGAGTATCCCTGTCTCTGGTAATCAGTATGTGACCTGGCGTAATGATGAGACTCTGGGGGGAATAGAAGGCTGTATTACATCCATCAAAGCTGCAGACCCGGACTTTGGTATGTGTGATTACAACACTGAATGTTGGAGTCTGTCAAAAGTCACTGTAAAAAAAGCTTACAAATGCTGAATTGCTTATGGAATTGGCCTGTATATATTTATAGATCCTTAATGTATATATTTATATACTCAATACACACTATATTTGGGCACTTTTTTTTGCTTTTAAGCTCATAATTGCACATTTTGAGTTACGATTCTTTTCTTCTCAGAAATGTCAGAAAACTATTTTTATTAGGTAAATAAGTAGTCATATTTTAAGAGGAAAAATATAAACACAATAATTATAAGGCAATTTGGCAAGTCATTGTATAACATTTGGAGAAAAAATATTGCTTAAGGCAGGGGTGTCCATAGTCAGTCCTGCTGATCTTAGCTCCAACTTGCTTCAACACCTGCCTGGAAGTTTCTAGTATACCTAGTAAAAGCTTGATTAGCTTGTTCAGGTGTGTGTGATCAGGGTTAGAGCCAAAGGCTGCATCCGAAACCGCCTAATACTCAGTAGGTACTGCATTTGCATTTAAACGTACTGCTCCAACGTTAGAAAATTACGTTCTATACAGTATGAATGTGAAAAGTATGAATGGAATTCGGACGTACTACATCCGCCATTTTGTAATGGTCATGTGACCTACCTGCATCAGTTGCGTCGCTTCACTTTCCTTCGTGAGTTCTCTCGCGGGGCATTATGGGGGATAGCGCAGTGTGCATGGGATGGGCCCTCCAGAATCTCACTGGAAGTAGTAAGTCATCTGAATACTTCTCGCATACTGATATTCGAATTCTATGAATTCAGACATACTGCTCATCTCGCATACTGATTTTAGCGTACAATATGGTATGCGGCTTCGTACGCAGCCAAACTCTTCAGTGTGGACAGCCCTGGCTTAAGGGGACTAATAATTTTGACTTATAATGGCCGAAATAAAACAAATAAGAGCTTCTCCAGAGTAAAAAAAAAAAACTAAAACAAATTATATATATATATAATTTTATAATTTTATAATATATAAAAACCAAATGAACTAAATATACATACAAATGACTACTGGGTGCTCAAGTCTATGAACAGACCTCCCGGTAGCTCAGCCTATCTTATAGACTAGAAATCCAGCTAAGATGCCTTGTCCCTTAACACATATCTTATATCCATCTAGAACAAAGGACAGTTCTTTGTAAAACATTCATATTTCTCACACACTTCTTAAGTGCAACTTAAAAAAAGCTTGATGCTTTTCGATAAATCCCGTCTTTCTTTTCTGAGGGCGTTTGGTTCAGTGGTTCAAAATTTTTCAAAGTATTTCTTATCATATATATATATATATATATATATATATATATATATATATATATATATATATATATATATGATAAGAAATACTTTGAAAAATTCTTTGTCTGTGGCTGTGTTGTGTGCTGCAGTGATGGGTCACGTCATCTCCACTGGACTGGAGCTGGTGGGCACTGGAAGCTCTGTCCTTCGGGATGAGAGATTGGCCAGCGCAGTGAGGAGGACCGTGGAGCTGGCGGACACTCAGCAGCTCACATCCAGAGAGAAGAACCATGTGAAAGCCGTCCAGCTCTTCTCTAAAGGGTCAGTTCACCGAAATCTGACCTTTATGTTCAACGGGTGACATTATGAACATTTAACATACAGCCACTCAGGATTTGGCCAACAATAAAATAATAAGAGTTTTTTATTTTATTTTTATTATTCATTTTAAACCAAGCTGCCTTTGGCCCACAAGCAGTTATGAATCGGTTCTTTTAAAATTCATGTTCACTTTACTGCATCCTTGGGTGTAAAGAGTGTGACTGTCATATGAAAGTTACAACGTGATTAAAGTTCAGCTTTCATACAGTGGTTTCCCTGTGCTTTCTGTCAGATGATCACTGTTAAAAGAGGGGTCAGAGGTAGGTAATATATTTGGTATATTTTAAGTGGTAAAACACAGAATTTATATATACATTTATGTATGTATGTATAGGTATGTATGTATATGTATGTATGTATATGTTTAAACAAATATGAGATGATTTTTTTTCTGAATGGTGTGTTTTAGAGCCCTGCACAAGGCCTGTGAGGTTTGGGAATGTATTCTGGCCGATCACCCCACAGACCTGCTGGCACTGAAGTTTGCCCATGATGGATTTTTCTACCTGGGTGAACAGACTCAGATGAGGGACTCGGTGGCGCGGGTGATGCCCCACTGGAAACCACATATGCCCCTATACAGGCAGGTGCTCGTGCTCCACTGATGCCAGTCTGAATGCTGCCTCATGCTGTATATTTTACCATCTGCTAAATATTGCATTGCTTAGAGAGCTTGTGAACATGCTTTATTTGTCATTTCTCATTTTTTTGCTTGGATAAATTAGTTTGTTTTAGTGTTTTTATTTTATTTTATAGTGTTATTTGTGTTTTAGTGAAATAATAGATTTGCAGTTCATTTTTAATTTAACCTTTACTAGCTTTTTCTATTTCATGTTCTGTTTTCTATGACTTAAATTTTGCTTTCTGCTTTATAAAATATTGTTTTCATGTGACTGTTGTTTTTTAAATGTGTCATATTTTTTAATCATTTCATTATTTAATTTATAATGATTTACATTTTGATTTTGATTTAGTTATATTAAAGGGATGTATTCCTTTGGGCTTCTCGAGACTCGTCTCTATGATGAAGCTGAAAAAATGGCAAAAGAGGTACTTTTGGTTTAATTGCATATTAAATTCATATTATTTATTTATTTGTATTTCCTTTTCATGTTAAGTCATATTAGTCTATCAAACATGCAATAATAACTGCATTCTGATAAACCTGTTTTTCAAGCAGTGCTTTTGGAAAATAATCATAATTACATATAATAATAACATAATATCACAGTTTAAAAGTCCAGTAATGTTGCCCTCAGTAATGTTGGAACCTTTAGTGAATGTAAAGGCTGTGGGTAAAGGTTTGATCTTTTGCCCTGATTATTAAAAAAAAACGTTTCGTTTGTTTTTGGATGAGAGCAGAGCCTTTTTTTCTTGAAACCCTTCCAAACTGTTGGTGGTGTTGTCTGACGTTTGTGACCTCGCACTGTAGTTTTGGAGACTTTCTGACCCCAAGACCAAACTAACTTCTGCAGTTCTCCAACTGTCATTCTTGGAGATTTTTCTCAAACCAAAAAGGTGATAAAGATGACTGATTCTAAATGCTTTTAGATGACTGATTTTCATTTCCAGTGTTTCTGCTGTTTTTTTATAACCACTTTCCTTATCGTGAAGCTCAACAGCATTGTCAGTTTCATATATATATATATATATATATATATATATATATATATATATATATATTAGCAGTGTCAAAATTAATCGTTTCTTCGATTAATCGCGGACAATTCGGTATCGGTTCAGTAATAATCATAACTGGTTATTACTGACGTCATTTACCTCATATGCGCTCTGTCGCGAGGGAGGCGATCGCGAGTATTTACAGCGCTTTAACTACTTAAAACTCATAAACTGTGCACAATTTCACTGTGTGTTTGCTGGATCAGTCTTTCACTGACATATACAACAATAGCCCCTATTTCACTGAGATCCAGAGAATGAAAGTAGCCTACTCCATTTCTCTCTTTCTCTCTCTCTCTTGCTCTCGCTTTCGCTCTGTCTCTGTCTCTCTCTCTTTCACACACACACACACACACACACACACACAGTGGCCCATTTGACCTGCTGGGGTGGCTTTTCTTTTCCTCTCGGCTGTTTACAGCATTACGTTTGGATACAGAAACGAGCGCGTGTCTGCAGAGTTTTCTCCACCGTGTCTATCATGCATCAGCTGTGAGATCGCCGCTGCCGCCTGCCGCTTAGCAGTGTCACTTATCTGAAGAGCGCAGCGCGCAAGAGCCAATAGCAACCATTTTTGTTGAGGGTGTGACCAATCAAAGAGATGTAAGAGAACTAGACAAGGATCAGAGATTGAGCTGGATGTTTATATTTGTTTATATTATTTGCTTAATGCTCGTTTTGTTAAAAAGTTACAATCAAAGAGGTGTAAGAGAACTAGACAAGGATCAGAAATTGAGCTAGATATTTATATTTGTTTATGTTATTTGCTTAATGCTCGTTTTGTTTAAAGTTACAGTTTATATATCTGACTGTTTGTATTAAACGACAAAATTGTATTACAAATAATATATAAATATATTCATACATTTTAATACAAGAACTGCTGCTGTGAAGAAAATATAAAACTGTGTATGGAAAGCATCGTCAATGCACCGTGATGCACCGAAATATCGAATTGAACCGAATTGATGGCATGATAATCGTAACCGAACTGAACCGTGAGACTAGTGTAGGTTCACAGCTCTAATATATATATATATATATATATATATATATATATATATATATATATATATATATAGTTGACAATTTCCTGTTTATCATCATCAGATATTTGTATAAAATATATTTTGTATATATGAATTCATAGGGGTGACAAATATTGTAGCTCATGCACACACACATACAGTTAAGGACAAAATTATTAGCCATCCTGTGAAATATTTATTCTTTTTTAAATATATCTCAAGTGATATTTGATGGATTTTGGAAATTTTCACAGTATTTGCAATAATATTTTTTTTCTTCTGGAGAAAGTCTTATTTGTTTTATTGTGGCCAGAATAAAAGCAGTTTTTTATATATATTTTTTTTCAAACCATTTTAAGGTGATTTTTTAATTTTATTTTTTTTGCCTCCAGAACAAACATCATTAAACAATGATTTGCCTAATTACTCTAACTTGCCTAGTTAGCATATTTAAGCCTTTAAATGTCACTTTAAGCTGAATACTAGTATCTTGAAAAAATTCTAGTAAAATATTATTCACTGTCATCATGGCAAAGATGAAATTAATCAGTTATTAGAGATGAGTTATTAAAACTATTATGTTTAGAAATGTGTTTTAAAAAAAATATGTTTTATAAATGTGTTCTCTGTTAAACAGAACTTCAAATGTAACAGGAGGCCTAATAATTCTGACTTCAACTGTATATAGCTTCTCTATTTTTTGTTAATATTTTGAGCAAAAGATGAAAAGCTTAAACAAGTAGTAATTTTCTACAGCCTTTTTTGCTCATGTTTAGCCGTGGTGGCATTATTAGTAACGGGCGTTGTATTTTAATTCCCCTTGCAGAATTAAATAAACATTTGTCCTGCTATTTTTGTTTTTATCCCAATTCCTAATTTTTGAAATGCATTCTGCCTATAGGCTCTGTCTCTGACCCCGGAGGATGGCTGGAGTGTCCACGCTGTGGCTCATGTCCATGAGATGAAGGCAGAGGTGGACAAGGGCCTGAACTTCATGGCCTCTACAGAGAAAAACTGGATGGTCAGTATAAAAAAGATCATATGAAGAGTTCAGATGCAAAACCCACTAAATCCATCAGACTTCTTTTCTTGCAAATAAGCATTTTCTATCAGGCTCCTATAATTAGGTTTATAAGTTTCATTTTATATGTAATAATAAGGTTATTAGCTAGTAAATAAAATACTTTTTTTTTTTTTTTTTACAAAAATGTCCCTTTAGATAATTCTTTGTTTTTTAACAAGGTGAAATTTCTTTTGCGTCAAAACCAGCAAATCCAGCTCTGCTTTTTATGCAAAAAACCTCTAAACCCACCTATTGTGACAAGATTTTGTATTTAATTGTAAATCACTAAAGATGTCATTAGAAATTATTTTACCAAACATAAAACACATTACACAAGCCACCTGAAAATAAAAATACATCTGTCAAGTAAGCGGTGGTTCATTCTGTTTTGATAAACCAAGGAAAAAGCAGAAGCAAAATTAATGAATTAATGAAATCTGTAAAGTAAATGCATTAATCAATAACATTAAAACTGACATTAATTAAATCTTAACTATCTGTTGTCATTTCAGATATTTAGGATTTAGATTTAATGTAAATAGAGCAGCGGAAACATTGCAAACTAAGCTTGGTAGGTGTAAAAACACCATGTGAAACATCAATATCTGTGCATTGTCCATTGATATAAAAAGCTTATCAGATGCATAGGCATTATGAAGTAATATTAATAATGTAATGTTTTATATATTATATTTATCTTTTTAAAAATAGCTTAAATTAGCAATTAAAACACAAGGTAGGTCTACTGGGCAAAAAGGGGATGCCTCAGACAATTTTAGAAGCTGTCATTCATTCATTCATTCTCACCACACTCAAGGTCTTGGTCCCTTGTTTATCCTCATTGCATCCACATGGGATAAAAGAACGGCATCTTCACTGTCTTTTGTGAAGCCGCTCAATGTATAGTAAATCGGACTCATTCAAAGTAGCGTCGTTGCGGAAAAACACGTTATGACTGCATGCTACACTTCTGTCTGTACATTGCGTTTTCTTTTTCTTATAATGCAGACAGTTTTGAAGTAAGGGACGTTTTCATTTGCCGTTTACTGACAGTCGGACAGGCTCATCCAGTTCATCAATTTCCATCTTTTATTCCGAAAGCAGAATAAAACGCTCTCCATAAAAGCCGGCGTATCATCGCGCTCCTGCATTGAAAACGTATGATTCAATTCGCGCCTTATGATTGGTTCTCGGGTAATAGTGGCTTTTGCTGTGAAAGTCAAGTGGAGTTTAGCTGCTTTTGCCAACAAACTGTTATTTCTGAATGCGCTGAGGCTGGGATTTGGATTATTAGAAGTAAATCTATTTGTTGATGGTGTACTACGTGCCTAAAGCATTTACTCAATGTCATTGTCTCATTTTTGGTTAAAGTGGCCTTTAGCGGCTTTTGCATCTGAACTCTTCATATAAAATGTATTAAAAAGTATATAAAGCTTGTAGCATATTGTGTGTTGTAAAGCATTAAGTTATGTGATGTACTTCCCAAGGTGTGCGACATGTTGGCATGTCATAATTACTGGCACTGGGCTCTGTATCACATTGAGAAGGTAAAGAATCGATCTATCTGTCTGTCTGTCTGTTTGTCTGTCTGTCTGTCTCTGTGTCATTCTATCTATCTATCTATCTATCTATCTATCTATCTATCTATCTATCTATCTATCTATCTATCTATCTATCTATCTATCTATCTATCTATCTATCTATCTATCTATCTATCTATCTATCTATCTATCTATCTATCTATCTATCTATCTATCTACCTATCTATCTGTCTCTGTCTGTCTGTCTGTCTCTGTGTCATTCTATCTATCTATCTATCTATCTATCTATCTATCTATCTATCTATCTATCTATCTATCTATCTATCTATCTATCTATCTATCTATCTATCTATCTATCTATCTATCTATCTATCTATCTATCTATCTATCTACCTATCTATCTATCTGTCTCTGTCTGTCTGTCTCTGTGTCATTCTATCTATCTATCTATCTATCTATCTATCTATCTATCTATCTATCTATCTATCTATCTATCTATCTATCTATCTATCTATCTATCTATCTATCTATCTATCTATCTATCTATCTATCTATCTATCTATCTATCTATCTACCTATCTATCTATCTGTCTCTGTCTGTCTGTCTGTCTGTCTGTCTGTCTGTCTGTCTGTCTGTCCGTCCGTCCGTCCGTCATTCTTTATGTTGTTCTTTCTATTATTCTATATATATTTAAATTTTTTTCCTAAAATTATTTACTCTGTAACATTTAAGTAAACACTTCATTTAATTCAACTTAATGTGGACATCAAAAAAGGACATTCTTTTACCCTGTGTGTGTGTGTGTGTGTGTGTGTGTGTGTGTGTGTGTGTGTTTATATGTATATGTAAAAAAAATAGTTGATTAAATATACATTATTTGCTAATTATTTATATGATATTATCATATTCCTTTTATTTATTCATATGAATATGTCTTTCCTCCACAGGGGAATTATGAAGCAGCTTTAAAGATTTTTGATGAGCAGGTCAGTGTACTTCGATTTCTAACGGTCTAAAATTATATTTATTAATAAAGAAGTGACATGGTAAAGCCATAGTTTATTTAATTATTATTTTTTTAATTATATTATTAGCATGGTGTTCTTAGAAGTGTATTAGAGTAGCATGTAAACTGGTGGTGCATGCATATGGTACAACATTTGCTGATGTTATCATATATATCAAAGACAGTGGCATCTGATACCACCCAGGATATAGTCCCGGTACTTTTTTCAAGTGCAGGATAGATCTTGTAGACGTGTGGTAAATTTAATTAGTCACACCAGCGGGGACAGGGAGTATAAATCCTGTCTTGTGCTCCATATGGATTGTGACGGATTCAGGCTGGTGAAAGTTGAAGTGATCTTGACAGGAGCATATGGGTGTCGAGCCAAGTTGCTTCCAGGGCAATATCTTCAGACTAAACTCCTGTGAACTGTCATCAGACCATCATCAGTATTCACCCTATTTTTTTTGCAATTTGGAAGTAATCTACTTTCTGGGATTGTTTTAGGATTTATGATTCATTTGAAAATCTTGGTAAACCTGTACCTTTTGAAGTAATTAATTGACTTTTTAAAAACAAAAAAAGGTAAGAAAGCGCATTGCTTTTAAAGATATTAGTTGACTTTACTTAAAAAAGGTGAGTAAACCTGTTGCTTTTAAAGCGATAAGTTGACTTAAAAAATGGTTAAACCTGAAGCTTCTGAAGAACTCGATTGATTTTACTTGAAAAAGTGAATAAACGCATTGCTTTTAAAGCGATTAGTTGACTTAAAAAATGGTTAAACCTGTAGCTTCTGAAGAACTCGACGGATTTTACTTTAAAAAGGTGAGTAAACATATTGCTTTTAAAGCAATTATTGACTTATTAAAGTTGGTAAACCTGTAGCTTTTGAAGTAATTAAAATCTTTTAACTTTAAAAAGTGAGTAAATGCATTGCGTTAAAAGTGATTAGTTGACTAAAGTAATTAGTTTACTTAAAAAGGAGGTAAACGTGTTAATTTTAGAGTGATTAGTTGACTTTACTTTAAAATGGTGAATAAACATGTTGCTTTTAAAAAGCTATCAGAGGACTTTACTTAGTGTGTAAATCTGTAGCTTTTAACGTAATTAATTGACTTTACTTTAAAAAGGTGATTAAACACATTGCTTTTTAAAGTGATTAGTTGACTTAAAAAAAATGGGTAAACCTGTAGCTTATGAAAAACTGAAATGACTTTAAAAAGATAAGGAAACTCATTGCAATTAAAGCGATTAGTTGACTTTAATAAATGTGTACATCTGTAGCTTTTGAAGTAAATAATCGACTTTACTTTAAAAAGGTGAGTAAACATGTTGCTTTTAAAGCAATTAGTTGACTTAGTAATAACTTTTAAAGAAATTACAATCTTTTAGCTTTAAAAAGTTGAAGTTTAAAAATGGGTAAACCTGTAGCTAATGAAAAACTGAAATGACTTTAAAAAGATAAGGAAACACGTTTAAAGCAATGAGTTGACTACTTTAAAAAGTGTGTAAATCTGTTTCTTTAGAAGTACACTCAATTTTTTTATTTGTTCAAACTACTGTAAAATGAGCTGAAACAACACAATTGTTACTATGGGGAGGAAGTGACAGAGACAACTGGAGGTAAGATCCAATATGCAGGTTTATTCAGCGTCAGGCAAGCAGTGGTCATACAGGTACAAACGGGTATGTGCAGGCAAATCCAGAATCGTGGTCATATAAACAAGCAATAGGTCGAAAGGCAGGCGGCTAAACAGGAGAACACGGATGAGCAAGGCTAAGATCTAAACACAGGAAAACAAGACAGGGAAAACGCTTCGTTATGCTACTGGTACAGCTAACAAGACTCGCAAACTGGATGGGTAAATGAGTGGCTTATGTAGGGTGTGTAATCAGTGTCTGACAAGGCTCAGCTGGTGAGAATGTAATCAATCTTGATGAGTGAGCATGTGTGAGTGTAACCGGAGAGCATGTATAAATATGTAGTCCAGGGGAAGGCGGAAGTGTAGTCCTTAGTGTTCGTGTGAGAACCAGCGATCTCTGGAAAGCGATCGCTGGTTATGTGACAACGATTCTTGAAATTTCATAGAGACAACTTAATTTTTTTTTTGGTGTTTAATCCACATACATTTGTTAAAAGTGTTAACTTAATCAATTTGTGTTGGGACAACATAATAATTGACTTTAATTTAAAAAGGTAAGTAAACTCTTTGTTTTCAAAGCGATTAGTTGACTTTAAAAAGTGGGTAAACCTGTAGCTTTTGAAGTAACTTGTTGACTTTACTTTAAAAGGTGAGTAAACATATTTCTTTTAAAGCGATTAGTTGACTTAATAAAGTTGGTAAACCTGTTATTTTTGAAGTGTATGACTTTAAAAAAAATGAGTAAACACATTGCTTTGAAGCCATTGGTATAATTTACTTTAAAAAGGTGAGTTATTGCTCTGCTTTTAAAGCAGTTAGTTAACCACTTAAAGAAGTGGGTAAACATGTAGCTTTAAAAGTAATTAATTGACTTTACTTTAAAAAGAAAATCCTGTTGCCTTAAAATTATTCTGTAAATTAACTATGTACGTAATTCTAAATATTAAGCTTACTTACAATAATAATAATAATAAGAAGAAGAAGAATAACAAGGGTTTACTTGCTTTAAGTAGCTAATCGTTTTCTACAGTGTACTTGCTCTACAAACCAGTTTATGACAATACATAAAAATTTTAATAATATCAAAAGAAAATACCAGTTTACAACATCAAGAACCATAGCAAGCTGTTTTTTAGGGAAATCAAAATATTGAGTACAGTCAAACTAAAATTACAACTAATAATTTCACATTCTTTATACCATAAAGATTGTTAATGTTTTGTCATTCATTCATTATTTTTTCTTCAGCTTAGTCCCTTATTTATCAGAGGTTGCCACAGCTGAATGAACTGCCAACTACTCAAGCATTTTGTTTTACCCTTCCAGCCACAACCCAGTGCTGGGAAACCCCAATACACTCTTGAATTCACACACACTCATACACTAGGGCCAATTTAGTTCATCCATTTCACCTATACCGCATGTCTTTGGACTGTGGGGGAAACCGGAGGAAACCCACACCAATTTGTGGAGAACAAGCAAACTCCTCACAAAAAATGCCAACTGTCCCAGTGGGACCTGAACCAACGACCTTCTTGCTGTGAGGCGACAGTGTTAACCATTGAGCCACCGTGCCACCCTGTTTTATGTCAATCCCACTCTATTTTTTATTTATCTGCATTCAGTCTTCATTAGAACACACTTCGAATAGGTTATATTTAGAACCTTGTGAAAAATGCAGATAACACTGTAATAAACGCCATTAACAATCATTGCATAACTTGAAAGCTCAGTTATATAGACGAGACGTTAAAGTAGAGTATGTTCACATCAGGAATCTGCGTGGTTAGAGGTTTGTGGACACCAGAACACATCAGTGCTTGTTGAAAGTTTAATATTATTTTGATGTCGGGCATCCCTTTGCTGCTGCATCTTCCACACTTTTGGGAGGGCTTGACATTAGTGTTGTAGAGCTTGAAACAAGTCTTAGTTTAGTCTTGATATTGAACTCATTTATTCTCAGTTTCAGACTAAGAGGACTCAACTGTGGAGTTTATTTTAAGACCCCACAACTGTTCTTTTCTTGTGTGCATTTAAGAGCAAAACATTGGTGTTTTGGTATTGATGAATCCACTTTGAACAAATAGTAGGCATTTCTGATTCAATGATTTATCAAATAATTTGATGACTACTGTATATAGTTATAGTACTGTACTGTACTGTATATAGTGGCGCCTGCAGACGCACAGCTGTATGCACTGTGCGTACCTACCATGAGAGGGCGGGAAATAATGCTGCTTTTTTATTTATTTTTTTATTTATGACATAATATAAATAGATTTTAGATTATTAAACAGCATACACTACTGCTGATTTTCACTGGCCCACTACATTCTTACAAACATACGTTTTTATTTATGAGTTATTATTTCATTGACTTGAATATAATTAACCATGTATAATATAATTACTAACCCATCATCTAAAATCTTAAAATAATAAAATAGCCTATTATTTTATTCGTGGCTAGAGCTTGATTCATTTGATTGACATCCTAGGCAATGTGACCTGACTGAGTGTGAGTTTATTTCATGCAGAGCTGTATTTGGTAGCACATAGCCTAAACTCGCTCAGATCCGTGAGAGAACTTTACCAACAGCTACATGCACTACTGAAAGACTTTTTTTTTTTTTTTTTTCTGCTGCGCATCAAATAAAGACACCCTAAACATCATCGATGTCCACAGTCCAAAACATCCTATCCATGCACGAACTTGCAGACTCTTTGAGCAACAAGGAAATAACTGCACTTTTTAATTCAAAGCTCAGACGGCTTGTTTTGTACTTTCATGTCGGTGATATCACCTGAAGGCTGGTTACGGCGTGTTGTGATGTAGGCTGTCACTGGAGAAAGTCAAATCTTTCTTTAATTTTTTGGACTTTTGTTTGAAAGCTTTAGTGGCACTTTAGCTGTCCAAGGTACTGTTGTAGGATTTAAATGATAGCCTTTATATGCACCAATAAACAAATCAAAGGAATGAATAAATAAATAAAATAAATATAGATTCTTAAATGTTGATATTGTTTTTTCAAAAAAAAAAAAAATGTATAAAAATAAAATGAGCAATTTTCAATATGATTCAGTTAAATATAAGTTGGACATTTATGGGGCCATGTAACCTGTTTCTGTGTTTTTTGTTTTTTTTCAGTGATCTTTAATGTATGCTGGGTAGCTACGCAAAACATTTTCTAAAATGTCAAGCAGGAATTGATATGCTTTGATATAAATATGCTTTATATCCTGATTTGCTGTTGTTTCTTATTCGTTTTAATTTCACTATTATTGTTGCATTATTATTGTTTATATTTCTGTTATGTATGGAGATTTTCAATATATTTATTTCCTCTCCAATCATTTTCAATGATCACGTTGCATTTTGGTCATTTTCCCTCCAAATTAAATTGATTTGCTGTCTGGCCCAGTTTGACAAGGAATGTAATCGTTCAGCATAAAAAATGGTCCAGCACGATAGTGGAAACACAGGTTTTAAAGAGACAAATTATATACGAAATTTGTTTCAAAAAGATATTTTTTTCCAAGAAAAAAATATGAATTATATTTTATTTGAACTTGACATTTTTTTAATATGTCATAATTTTAAAGATTACGTCTTGAGCATGATTTTTCCCTGATGCTGATGTGCTTTAACATTTAGATTTCAAGAAAATATTAAAATTAAAAAGGAAAAAAAAATTGTAACGAATGCCCTAAAATAATGTAGACTTTGACTGTAGCATCAGTGTTTCTTTGCATGATTGGATGAAGGGGGTGGGTTGGTGCTGGATTTGTGTGTACCTTGGAATAAAATCCTGCAGGCGCCCCTTATATAGTTAATAGTATTTTGCATTTAAATGAGGGCTATCAGTTGATTTTTTAAATCTAAATAATTACACAATGAAGCAAACAATTAATCAAATTAATCACAAATTTATGGCATACTGAATTTGACAATAATTTTTTTTTTTACCCCTAATAAGTTTAATATTTTAATGTTAAGCGCATATATTTTTAAATAAGAAAGTTTTTAAGCTAAAACATATATGCCTTTTAAAAAAAAATTGTTTTAAATTTATATTTTAGGTCCAAAAATAATGGGACATCGACAAAATTCTAATGTTTTTGGCTCTATACACCAACACAGTTTCAGTTTTTAAGACAATATGTTTTGCTTGTCTAGAAAATACTTCTAGATTTGGACTAGAAACAAAACAAAAAAACTAAAGAAAAACATTTTTGCCTTGTATTAGATGCTTTCATAAAGTAACAATATTATTTCAGTTAGATAAATCTGTGCACACTTACAGAACCAAAAAACACTTTATTGTGTATTGGTTAGGACAATCACATAGTTTTTGCAGTAGTTATCCTTAAAGAAGATAGTTTTGGTGTAAACAAATGTCTTTATTATTGGATGTAGCTGATGTATGCATGTGTGTAAAATTAGATTGACCTATTAAATTTATCATCTTAAAATCTGTTATATGAAATATTACATGATATTTAAAAACTTTTCTCTAGGTTTCCCAGCGCTGTGTGAAATCTGGAGCCATGCTGGACATTGTGGACTCTTGTTCGCTGCTCTACAGACTGGAGCTGGAGGGTGAGATATCATCTGATCTTAAAATACAGATTAAAGAAATCCAATATACCTTGTTGAGTACAAACAGGAGCAGAGAAATGTTTCTGCTGAGTCCGTTTCTGTTTGGAATCCATGAAACCGGCTTGTGCGTGCTGATACATTTGCATTTGACAGTTTAATCAAGGCAGGTAATGTCTGAAGTTTGGGCTGGGACGTGTGAATCTGCTGGGCTGAAGAAGAGACGATCACTTGACCGATGTTAGTGAAACTCCATTGGCAGGGGGGGTACATTTGGTCATGGCTTGAACTGTAATTTAAAAGAGACACCTATAGTGTAAAATAAAAAATTCATATATTTTCTAACAGTTTAACTTGTCTTGAATAGCGCTGAGGGGATGCAGTGGCGCAGTAGGTAGTGCTGTCGCCTCACAGCAAGAAGGTCGCTGGGTCGCTGTTTCGAACCTCGGCTCAGTTGGCGTTTCTGTGTGGAGTTTGCATGTTCTTCCTGTCTTTGCGTGGGTTTGCTCCGGGTACTCCGGTTTCCCCCACAGTCCAAAGACAAGTGGTACAGTTGAATTGGGTAGGCTAAATTGTCCGTTGTGTGTGTGTGTGTGTGTGTGTGTGTGTGTGTGTGTGTGTGTGCGTGCGTGCGTGCGTGCGTGCGTGCGTGCGTGCGTGCGTGTGTGTGTGTGTTTCCCAGAGATGGGTTGTGGCTGGAAGGGCATCTGCTGCGTAAAAACTTGCTGCATAAGTTGGCGGTTCATTCCGTTGTGGCAACCCCGGATTAATAAAAGGGACTAAGCCGACAAGAAAATGAATGTATGAATGATAGTGCTGGGCAAAGATTAATTGCATCTCAAATAAAAGTTTGTTTTGACAAAAGATATAAAAAGATTGATTAATGGGTCTAATAATATTGTACTAATACTAAGGTCTAATACTAATAATAAGGTCTAATAATATACCTTAAAATGAAAAATTGAAAACTTTTATTCTAGCCAAAATAAACAAATAAGCATTTCTCTCTAAAAGAAAAAAAAATATTATAAAAGATACTGGTGAAAAAATTCCTTGCTCTGTTGAACATCATTTGGAAAATATTTGAAAAGGAAGGCTGAAATTTTGACTTCAGCTTTAAAAAGAAAGCAGGGTTGTCTACATTTATTTTGTCCATTTATCATTTGCAATTATGCAAGCGAAATATGAAAGACATCTGTCATCGAAACAAGTCTTGCTAAATTTTTTATGTCATGAAAAGGATTTCATCAAGATTACATTTAAAGTTTCTGATGGTTAAATTAGTAGGAAGTGTACAGGCCATTGTTTTGAATGACTTCAATTCTCATAAATGTGGAGATATGCTGTATGCGAGACGGATGCTTACTCTGTTCAGAGTGGAGAGCAATATCAGCTGCAGTATTGCACCGATTGCCTATTGACACGTCCTTTTGTGCATTTGTCTTTCAACGACAACCAGACGGTTTGGAGGACTTGAATGAGTTATTGATTATAGTGAAGTTGCAATATTCTAGAAATCACAGATTTGGAACTTCCAGCTTCTCTTTCTCTGGCTGAAAGATTCATACCTTTGGCCTTCATGTGGAGATCCTGCTGTCGGAGGGTTTTAGTCACTTTATAATAGATCACCTTCTTGCAAATCAGAGAAGCTGGAAAATTCAACACTATCACAATTTGTAAGTTTTTGATTTAGTGGCTAATTCTTATGAATTCGTATGATCTCATTCGTACAATTTAGTGCGATTTGCTCATTGCCAATTGCGGTTGGGCTTAAGGGGTGGGGTTTCGTGTCACGCTTCCTTTTTAAAATACATATTTTTAAAAGTACAGTTTCCTACGACTGAACTCGACCCTCTTAACTCACAAACGTAAAATAGTAAAAAAGTTTATCAGACAATTAAAGAAATTAAAACCAGGGGTGCATTTCCGAAAACCATGGTTAGCCAACTGAGGTCGCAAGTTGCGTCAACTCGTTACAATTATAGTTCATTGATTTGCCGTTTTCCAAATCCATCTTTCCAATGAACAATCACAAACTGCACCGCAAACTCGTAGGTTTTCAACTACACCTCTAGAGCTGTAGTTCATTATGGGCATTTAAAATTATAACTAATGTTGTTTAAACGATGGATCTGCAACAAAGCAGCTACTGTTTTGTGGAAACACTAGTCACTACATCATTCTTTTCCCAAACGATGCATACTATAACTGTTTAGCCACGAGTTACGTTGTTGTTTGGGAAACGCACCCCAGATTAACACCAATTACTGACAGGAATCTGAATGTGTTCTTTGATTTTGATCAGTGTTTTATGCTAAAAGGAACATTTTACTTTTTTAAAAGTAGTCTCATTTTACAAATTTACAAATAAACATTTGAGTTTTACATTTTTTGAATCCATTCAGCTGATCTCTGGGTCTGACATGAGCACTTGAGGTTAGCATAGATCATTGAATCAGATTAGACTGTTAGCATCCCGCTTATTTAAAGCTTGATTTTCTGTAGTTACTTCATGTATTATAAAAGATAATAAATTAAAAGTTGCTATTTTCTAGGTCGATATGACTAGGACCTATTCTCTTGTTTCAGCTACATAATCAGTAACTTTTACTGCAGCAGGCGCAATGATATTAGTGACATTAGTTTCTTTATTATGCTGGAATGAACGCATATCATAATATAAAATAGCAACTTTTCATTTTCATGGCATGTCTTAGAACACAAGGTAACTACAGAAGGATCAAGCTTCAAATAGGAAAATTTTTTAACTTTTTTTTTATTTTTATTAAAACGATGCTAATGGTCCAATCCAATTCAATGACCTATGCTAAGCTAAGCTAAAACCTACCATAAATCAAATTTAAAATGGTAAAACTGTTTAACTCAAGTTATAAAATGAGCCTATTGTCAAAAGAGGAGTGTTTCTTTAAAATTGCTCTTTTACACTCAAATAGAACTAAGTTGTGACATTAAAATAGGAAATTATTTTCTATTTTCCATCTCTACGCCATTATTCCAAATAACGGAAATTAGTTTTGCAGTGAAGTTCCTTGAAAAGTTCTTTGTTTGTCTTCATTTTTCTTTATGGATCTTGCAGTCGCTTGAGGAGACTTTATAGTACAATCTTTATTGTTCAGTAGTTGATCTAGGAGATATTTCCTCCTCCGGGACATGAGGATTGCTGACATTCCTCAGCGAAGATAAATGGAAGATCAAGGAGAGTTCAAGCTTTCCGGTCTTGATTTTTAGGGTGAAGGGGTTTGAAAAATTACTTGCTTTACAAAAAACTGCTCCTGCTCTATTTCCTGCTTTATTTAGCACAGTTGAAGTACAGGACATCATGAGCTGCTTTCAAAGATATCTTTAAGGATTTAACTGAAAGTATAGTTAGTTTTTATAAAGCATTTTCCCCACTGTATATGTTACATTGGGACAACTGTACAGAAACGTTATAGAATTATACAGAAAGTACATTTTTTAGCTGATTTTTATCCTAATAAAAACTCGTTTCTTTTGGGTAGACTAGTGAACATGGCAGATGCCTGGGGTTTACAGAAACAGTTACAGACCTAATATCTTTGATCAGATATGGAGCTGATTTTATTCTATCATTTATGCCTGCATTCATTCATTCATCAATTTTCATCCACTTTTCCGGAGCCGGGTCACGGAAGCAGCAGTGTTGGGAGAGAACCCCAATCAATCCACCTGTCAATCTCACGTTCCATTCTTTCCTCACTCGTGAACAAAACCCCAACATACTTCTACTCCTCCAACCTGGGGTAAGGACTTTCCTCCAACCTGGAGATGGCAAACCACCTTTTTCCCTGGACTGATTCTCATCCCAGCCGGGTCACACTCGGCAGCAAACCGCCCCAGTACATGCTGAAGGTCCATGTATAATGAAGCCAACAGAACAACATCGTCTGCGAATTACAGAGATGAAATCCTGTGGTCCCCGAACCAGACCCCTCCAGCCCAAGGCTTCGCTTTGAAATTCTGTTCATAAGAATTATGAACAGAATTGGTGACAAAGGGCAGCCCTGTTGGAGTCCAACATGCACTGGAAACAAGTCTGACTTATTGTCGGCAATGCGAACCAAACTCCTACTCTGTTCATACAGGGACGAGACAGCCCTTAACAGAGCGCCTCTGACCCCATACTCCCCAAGCACCTTCCACAGAATGCCACGAGGGACATGGTCAAATGCCTTCTCCAAGTCCACAAAACACATGTGGACTGGTTGGGCATACTCCCATGAACCACTTAAGCACCCTGGTGAGGGTATAGAGCTGATCCAGTGTATCACGGCCTGGATGAAAACCACATTGTTCCTCTTGGATCCTAGCTTCAACCATCGGCTGGATCCTCCTCTCCAGTACCTTGATATGGGCTGTTTTTCAATATGCATTCTTCAGCGGTCTTGCGTCCTCGTGTTATCGTGTAACGTCATCATCATCCGCCGAAGTTCAGTTTCAATATGGAGGACGTGTGAAAGTTCCCGGATGTGTTCTTGATATCGTAGACGCACCGATGCAGACTTGAGCACTGAACTCGCTCATTGAGTCCCAGAGGTCATTGCGACTGGAGGTGGGAAGCGTAGCATTTTATATAGATTTATTATTTCAGTTCAGAGATAACACTTATTTACCTCAGGAGTTTCCCTAAATGAAACTGTAAATATAAACATGACCATGGACATCTTAATTCAGAAATAAACACATTAAGGGTATTTATTTGCTAAAATTCGTATTAAAATCTATTTTATTTATATTGTGCAACGTATATTTGTAAAGTCTTTATGCAAAGTATGTATTGTGAAATGGGGGAAAGCAATAAATCGTTGTATGGATGCTGTAATGTTTAACTAATTTTGGGTTAAAGATGCGTGAGGGTCATGTGACCATCAAGAAGAACGCAGCATCTCATTTCTCACTGGACGCCCTCTATGTCTTTGCGGTCTCCCGAGTTCGCTCTTCCGATGTGACCTGGCAAGACCGGTCTTAATAAGAACGCATGTCCGTTCTCTGCATTCTTGGAATTGGACTTTTCCAGGGAGGCTGAGGAGTTTGATCCCCCTATAGTTGGAGCACACTCTCCGTTCCCCCTTGTCAGCCAAGACAGCCCTACAATATCCAGAGGCCTAAGATACACAGGGTGAATCTCTGGGGGTTATTTAATTTATTAATCAGGTGTAGTTAGTAATTATTCCAATTATAAGACCATGAAACAGAGACCTGAAATGCATGCTATGAATAGTACATATCTTGGCATATGACTTTTACGGAGGGTCAGAGAACTGAATTAGTTTGATTTTATATTTTTAAATAAAATGAAATGACATAAAGCACAGATGTTATAACCAGTATATGATTAATACAATTACAAAATATTAAAATTAATGTCTTGAACTAGACATGCTTAAAACAGGAAAATACTTGCAATATTATGCAGCCACAGAATATGCAGTGGTGTTTATTTAGGAATATATTACTGTTATGTACTGTGTTAATAATTTAGATTCCTCTGTAGTTTGCAAGCATGCAAAAAAATAACTCCTGACCCTGCAAATTCTGCAGCTCTAGATGCTCAAATGTTTTATGTTTGTTTGTTTTTTACTGTGCTATGCTAATTCACAGGACAGACTACGCTTGAACTTGAGGCATGAAAACAAACTATCCTGTGTTTACATGCATACGGAGGACAATGAATGGAGTGTCAGAATTCTGGAGAGAAACTGGCAGCAGTCACTGAAGCATCTCTATCCATCTGGCTGATGTGGCTGCCTGTAGGCATGGTTTAGAATAAAGCAGTAATCCCCAAGATACAGTGGTTTACAGTTGGATGTTCAGCTGAAATTCATTTTTTTTTCTGAGAAATTTGGATTATTTTAAAAATAGTTTCCAAGTGTTGTTTAATAGAGATTTTTTTCAACACATTTTAAACGTAATATTTTTAATAGCTGACCAGTGTTGGGTAGTTTACTTAAAAAAATAGATTACAAATGACTGATTACTACTGGAAAATTGTAATCTGATTACTTTACTAATTACTTCATGTAAATATAATCAGATTACTGATTACTTTACTTTAAAATTACTTTTAAAACATATAAAATATACCCATTATAAATACAAAATAAACTGCAGCTCTTTAAGTAATTCAATATTCACTGAAAAACATTACAATGGGTTGATCACAGCAACATGACAAATGCAAACAAGACATATGCTTAAAGAGTTTACCCAAAACTTAAAATAATTTCATCATTCACTTGTTCCAAACCTGTTTGTCTTTTTGTTTTTAATAAAAAAAAAAAAACTGGATACTTGTAACTACTGACATCCATAATATCAAAAAGTACTGCAGTGTTTAGGTGTTCTGTGTTTGCCTGAGGTAATTAGTCTAGCGAAATGTACATGTTACAAAGTATGAAGCTGATCGGTCAGTTTTTGTCATGTGACTTGAGGTTTTCAACTGAGTGTGCCTAGAAAATCCGAGCTTGTGCAATATGCGCTCCCAGTATATGCAGAAAAGCAGCTATGCTTCTCTTCCCATTCAGAAGATACCTTCACTCCCAATCCTGCACAATTTATTTATTTTTTATTTGGCCTGTTTAGGCTGAGTTGGACCGCTATGTTTTTGGGTGCCAGTGTCCTCATTCGTGACGAGTATTATGTAGACTGCTTTATGTTCAAGTGCTTGAACAAGTTGTTGGTTGAGTTAAAAGCAGTCGAAAGTTCTTTAGGGACTGAACATAGACTGCACTTCACAGCGATATTATTGTTTTTACACTCAGTGAAATCAAAGCAATGTCTGCATTTCCATTTGAAAAGCAACCAATCTCGACAGCAGCCATTTCAGCTCATTCTCCAGCTATAAAAGTGAATGCTTATTAACTGACGTTGCAGCGGAAAACGTGATTTAAAAGACGCATTTTTTTCTTCCTCAAAACATATGTGTGACGTAAGCAACGGAATTGTATTGACTTTATTAACCGTAATCAGATTACAAAAAATGTATATGTAATTTGTTACATCACTGCGTTCCTCAAAAATGTTATATGAATACAGTAACACGTTTCTGGAGCACTTTACACCCAACTCTGCTAATGATTAATGCTAATGATTATGTTAGCCAGGCTAGTCAGAACAATTAATCAACATGTTGGATCGCAGTGGTTTGTTCTGTAGACAATCGAGAAACAAAAATCTTAATAGGAAAATAATAATCGCCTTAAACTGCTTTTATTCCAGCCAAAATAAAAGAATAGGAAATACTGTGGAAAACAAGTCATTGTTCTGTTAGTAAATTACTTGAAAAATATTTGAAAAGTTTTTTGTTTATTATTATTATAATTTTGACTTCTGCATTTTGAACTGTACATAGCAAGATTTGACAAATTAAAAAATATATATTTATCTAACTCACAGGTGTCAAACTCAGTTCCAAAAGTGCTGCAGATCTGCACAGTTTAGTTCCAACCCTAATTAAACACACCTGATCAAACTAATTGAGTCCTTCAGGCTTGTTTGAAACCTACAGGTAAATGTGTTGGAGCAGGGTTGGAACCAGGGCCGGCGCGTTCATAGAGGCAACCTAGGCGGCCGCCTAGGGCGGCAGTATAGAGAGGGCGGCATCCGCGACACCTCCCTCACCACCCGCGTCCTCAGATATATTCGCGCATAGACGACAGAATAGAGAGGGCGGCGTCAGCGACACCTCCATCAGCACCCGTGTGTCCTCAGTTATATCCGCGCATAGGGCGGCAGAATTGAGGTCCGCGACACCCGCGTGTCCTCAGTTATATCCACGCATATGGTGGCAGAATAGAGAGCACAGTGTCCGCGACACCTCCCACCCTCCCTCCTTCCCTCAGCACCCACGTGTCCTCAGTTATATCCGCGCATAGTGCGTTGGAAAAGAGGTGTGTCGCGGACCTCTTTTCCAACTTAATTTTCATAACCGGTCACTTTCGTTTTCACATTGGGGTTGAGGGCGGCATGATCGTCCTCTGCCTAGAGCGGCAGTTCAGTTTCCTCCGGCCCTGGTTGGAACTAAACTGTGCAAGGCTTCGGCCCTCCAGGAATCGAATTTGACACCCCTGGCCTAGTGGTTAAGTGCGCTGACATATATCACCATGATGCTCATGGCGACCCGAGTTCTATTCCCAGCTGATCTAACTGATGATAGCAGAAGGGTTCCCAAAACAACAGTCACAGATGTGGGTTTGTAGAGTATTAGCTTATAATGCAGCTCATCCAATCAGAAGCATCAGAGTTATCCAATATAAACACAGATAAGCTATATGAGAACTGGAGATGTTGAGTTTTGCAGTTGCTTAATGGAAAAAGGGATCCATTTATGTGGTAAATGGACAAAAGTGCTGCATATTTGTATTTGATTTTGCGTGTTTCTGTGTTTTCCTGCAGGTGTGAGCGTGGGTGAGCGATACCGGGAGCTGCTCCAGGTCACCCAGCCCCATTCAGAGGACCACACATTGCTCTTTAACGACCTGCACTTCCTCATGGTTTCACTGGGCAGCAAAGACACGGGCACCACTCAGCGTCTGCTGGAAAGCCTGCAGGAACTGGCTAAGTGAGCACACATTACATAAGCCACTCAGGAGATGACAGCATAGACAGCTTCTAGAGCTGTATACAATTGTGCAGTGTCTTCAGGCTTTCTGTATGAGATTTCCTTAGACGTTCTCCTGCTCTGGGGAAAACTAGCATTCTTAAGCCGTATGTGCTGTTCCACAAATGTTTTCATCCACTCTTGGGCCACAACATTCTTTGTTTCAGCAAATGGAATTATTTTTGGTCACAAATTTTGACGCATATTGTGGTAAATGCTTTGATATATGGAGCCAGATAAGTCTCAAAAATAATACATTTCCATATTAAAATGTGTACATGCACAGGAAAAATAATGGTTACAAAATCCAATTTGTAAATTTAAAACACGATTCATAAATACAACACACAATTCATGAATTCGTAAGTAAGAGTCAGAAATATTTTTGCCAAATGAGTTGGATTTGTGTATTTTTGCAACGTGTTTTGAATTTATGATTTAGATTTATGCATTTATGAAACATGCTTTGAATTTATGAATTGGATTTGTGCATTTATGAATCATGTTTTAATTTACGAATTAGATTTGTGCATTTATGATACACGTTTTGAATTTACAAATTGGATTTGTGCATTTATGAATTGCGCTTTGAATTTATGAATCGGATTTGTGCATTTATGAACCATATTTTAAATTCACTAATAGGATTTGTATATTTATGAATCGCGTTTTGAATACACTAATTGGATTTATATATTTATGAATCACATTTTGAATTTACGAATTGAAATTGTGTATTTATGAATCGCGTTTTGAATACACTAATTGGATTTATATATTTATGAATCGCGTTTTGAATTTCCGAATCAGATTTGTGCATTTATGAATTGGGTTTTGAATTTACGAATTGGATTTACGCATTTATGAATCGTTATTGAAATTTATGAATTGGATTTGTGTATTTATGAATCACGGTTTGAATTTACGAATTGGATTTGTTTATTTATGAATTGTGTTCCGAATTTACAAATTGTATTTAAATAGTGTATTTTTGAATCAAGTTCTGAATTTACGAATTGGATTGTGTATTTTTGCATTGTATTGTGGATGTATGAATTTTATTTTTTCAAATTTATTATTTTAAAGACTGATCTGGCTTCATCTTGAAAATGTTCAAAAATTCAATAGTACACTCTATGCTAATTGACTACCCTTTTGTTATGTTGGTAGTGCTTTTTGCCCCATTGACTTCTATTATAGTGTCATTTTTTCAGTTGCCGAAGCATTCAATCATCTGTGTGTTCTCAACGATACCAACATGTGCTTCAACAGGGAGCTGATAGGATCAACCAACTCAATATGCTCATAAATATGTGTGAAGAGGTAGCTAACATAGGTTACTATAAGCTATTAGATATGCCCGTGTCATTAACATGGACACACATGATCTCTCTTTCCAATGAGCTCTGCTTCTCTGTCTGATTCAAAACAGAACTGAGACCTAACTGACAACAAAAATTGGTAAAATATTCGTACAGAGAAAACATTTTTTTTAACTTCAAGCTTGAAAATAAGCACGATAATCAACATCTTGTCATTTCATGTCATACGGTAATTTGCCACTGAATAGTGCATTTAAAATCCATTAACACACAGCAATCTTTTGATTCTCCTTTACTACGTGAATTAAAATATGGAGTAAACTTGATTTAAACATATTGACTAGCATGCTAGTAATCAAATAATCATTACATTATTACTGCAGTTGTCTTATCTCTACAGAAAACCTGAAAAAGTCAGAAGTCTATAATAAACCTGCATTTACACTAGCGATGAGCACTTATGAACTATGAACAACATAGTTCCCATCTCCTTGTTAAAACAGTCAGAGACAATGGTAAGGCTACTCATATTAGCCATACATAAGATTAATAAACACTTTCAGAAATGACATTTGGACACATATTTTGGATATTATTGATCCTTTGGAAACACCTTTGGCCTGACTGTGTAGGTAAAGGGTGAACTGCTGCAGCGGCACTGTTAGTGGAAATCTGCAGATTAAGAGGTGCTAACATATAATAAGAGCTATTTTCTATGGCTAAATCTGCTTGTTTCTCTGTGTGCTTGCAGAAAAAGACTTACTGGGTTGTCCTTTATCATGTTTGCCGGGTCGGTAGATGCACCGGCCACCAGATAACAACACTTAAACACAGAAAGAGTCAGATTGTCATGATATGCCCCCTTTAAGGTTAATGCGCCTCATGCATATCTATATTTGTCACAGCGGGCTAAATAAATGTCCAGTGAAGGTTGTACACAAGGAGTACAGAGTGTATTGAAAGTATAACTAAGTACAAAAAAATCATTTCTTGTCAGCATGCTGTGTTTTATAAGATAACATGATGGAAAGGAATCCTCTGGGAGCTGTATTTTCAGCACAGCATCTGTTCAAAGAAAGCAGTGTTTTCTCAAAGAGCAGAATATTTTTTTGTTACCCACTGACTTTTGGAGGCTTTTGGAGGCAATTTTACGCTAGATAAGAATAACAAATGCATATTTCAATCAGTTATTTAAGCCAAGTTTTCAAACTTAGTTGATACAGTGAAAAATATTGAGTGTGTAAAAGTTTCTGTATTTTATTTTATTCTGTATTATTTCTGCCAATTATTTGATTCTATTGATGGTATAAAATATTTCATTTATTATTATTTTTTATTTATATTTTATATACTAAACTATATAATATTAACTAAAAATTTCTATATTTTCTAAATATATCTGTAAATTGTATATAATGATAATAAAATATTATTATTATTATTAATACTACTACTGTTTACTTTTATTTTAACTAAATAAACTTTTAATAAAAGTTTATAATCAGATATAATCAAATATAATCAGATTTGAAAGTGTAAACATTTAAATCTGTATATGCAATTAAAACAATATGTCTATTAATATTTTAATTATTAATACCAATGATAATCATTTTTTATTATTGTTGCCATTATTATCATCATTAATATGTTTTTAACAATAAAAAGCTAATCAAAACTACAAATTATCAAAGAGATTTTAATTTGAAATAATAGTAATAATTATATACTGATTGAAATTTGTTACAACTTATATTGATTTGCCTTTTCACTTTTTTATGAATCCTCATTACTCTTATGTTTCATAACAAAGAACATGTGTTTATTTTTATAATCTATTTATATTTAGAAATGTATTATATTATACATTTATTTTTATTGTCATATACACAGGTCAAAAGTAGCACCCACATTACCTTCCCCTGTAGTTAGAGGTTGTTTTTGGACACATCACTCAAAAAGGTAGCTTGAATTACGCTGAATGCGAGTTCCTTTTTAACCTCACACAGAAAACGTCGCTTGAAAATATGAACCGTGCTATTGTATTTGAAATTTGCTCAGTATTGTAACCTTAAATACATTCAAGCACACGGACATTTGTTACCCAAATTTCAATGACCTTTTAAAAACATTTTAGGTTTGTTTGTCTTTCCTAAACTTTCCAGGCCTGGAAAATGCCAGGACCGGATGAAACCTGTTTATTTTATTTTATTTTATTTTATTTTATTTTATTTTATTTTATTTTATTTTATTTTATTTTATTTTATTTTATTTTATTTTATTTTATTTTATTAACATAGGTCACTATGAGCTATTAGATATGCCTGTGTCATTAACATGCACACACATGATCTCTCTTTCTCATGAGCTTACCTTCTCCTTACCTTCAAAGCAGAACTGAGACCTAACTGACAACAAAAATTGGCAAAATATTCATCAAGAGATTTTTTTTTTAATTTTGAGCTTAAAATAAAATATTTAATTTTATTGTATTTTATTTATTTATTTATTTATTTTTTATTTTTTTATTATTATTATTTTTTTAATTGTTTGTTTCTGACTAAATCATACTAAATCACACTTATGCTGCTGTTTTTCTCATCCAGAATAATATAAGTGACCAGGGGCTCTACCAAATTTAAAATGTCATATTGTCTGTATTTGTAATGTACATGCTGCTGAAGTAGGTGTGTGTGTGTCCACCAGAGATCCAGCAGAGAACCGTCAGCTGCAGATAGCGGAGCGCGTGGGTCTGCCCATGTGTCAGGCTCTGCTGGAGTTTGAGCAGAGGAACTACAGGCAGGCCGTGGAGCTGCTGAAGCCCATCAAACAGAGCTTTGTGGAGATCGGAGGCAGTGACGCGCAGGTCTCTCACCGCTTCATTACAGTCTGTATGAGCATAAAGCAGCGTTTACAATCTAAAACAGCCTCCTCCTTCTCTCTTCTGCAGAGAGACGTTTTCAGTCAGCTCCTCATTCACGCCGCCATGAAGTCAGGAGACAAAGAACACCAACAATTGGCCAGGTAAACATTGTGTTATTGACAATGTGTAAGTGGAGAGTGGTTTTCAGAGAACTCATTTGCAGTCTTTTGTGGTTTTGTGCTGCACTTATGTGTTAAAAGCTTTATGCTCAAGCTTTGTGGATGGCGTAGATTGAGTCTGACAGTTACCACATTATCATCATTTGCTGTGTTGACTTTTATTGAGAGCATGTTGAGTTTTCATAAGCCTCTGCATTTTGAAATGAGAATAGATATCAAATTTATCAAATAGGATTGAATTATTAATAATTTGTAAGATTTAGTTTTCATTTTACATATTCTAAAAATAAAATTATTCGACCGAGAAATTGATCATGTCCTGGGAAAGAAAATATCGGTAAGTTTTCCATTAATTTTGGAAAAAAGTCTGTAAATTTAATATAAATGACAGTTTAATAATAATAATAATAATAATAATAATAATAATAATATTAAGTTGCTATCAAGACAAATAAAAAAAATCTCTCAGGATATTTATTTATTATTATATTTTTTTTCATTCATTTATTTATTTTAAATAAAATGCTTGGTTATTTCATTCCAACGTTTAGTAAATTATGGACTATATATATATATAAAATTAAAAGTAAATTACACGAATGTTGGGGAAATAGTAGATTTTTTTCCCCCCTTCAAACGTTTATTAATTTTTGGCCATAGTTCTGTAATTACTTTTCCTCAGCTAAAGATCTATTATTGAATTAAATTTATTGAATTATTTAATTGAATAAATAATTAGTACCTGCATTATTTATTAATATTTATTGATATATTTATTTATGCAGGAGTTTTGGGATTTTTATATACATTTATTTGTTTCTTATTTATTTATTTATTTATTGTTTTATTTATTCAACAAATGTGTGAATTTATTTACTCATTTATTGATTTATTTGTGTATGTATTTATTGTTTTTACAGGTTTCGTCCTTGATATACTGGGCTAATTGTTTCATTATACAGTAATTTATAGCACAAACATATCCCAATATTTGGGTTTGTTCATATTTTACCCAGTATACAGCGTTTTTTAAAGCTAAACCAAAAAAAAAAAAAAAAAAAAAGCATTTACTTGAGAACTAGCACAATTAAAATAATATATACAGTGCTTAGCATAAATTAGTTCACCCCATTTCATTTTACATTTCAGTAAATATAGGTCATATTTGCCGCATTCGAACTAAACCGATTTATTAAATGGATATATTTATTAAATTAATACTTTAGTCACCGAAGATCTTTAGAAATAGAAAGATAATACATTCAAAATCATGCAAAATATAGCAAAAAGATTTTTTACAAGCTACAGTACAAAATTTCAACAATATATATATATATATTTTTGTTTAGTCTTAACATATAAATGAAGTCCCTAACATATAAATTAGGGGTTGCACCAGGAAAAAAGTTGTGACCCTCAACAGTAGGCGCTAGGGTCATTTCAAGAGTCAACAAACCATTAAAGATTTTAAAAGCACATCAACACTTTTGTCTTCTAGTGGTTATCAACAAATCTCTTTTATAAACACGGATGTCTTTCCAAGCAGATAGTACAAATAAAAAACTGTTTTAACTGAAAAGAACAACACAAAACTCATGGCCAAATACCTTTCAAAAGACAAATCTGAAAATGTTCCTCATTCACTGAACTGCTTGGCACCCGACAGATTGAAAGTGCACAGTTGGCAGCACATTTTCATGCACAAACCACTAAAACTTCTGTACAAGTCTAGAGGGCAGCTAAGATGAACCGCCGCCATGTCAGTTTGATAAGATCTGCTATTTATACCCACAGTCAAAGGATGCCATGTATTACTGCGTAATTCAGACTAAAACTTGCTTTGCATTAGTATGCGATGTCCATAAACCGAAAGTCTTCCAAATTGCAAACTCCCACCTGCTCTTCACAGGTTGCGCATAAAAAGTGTACGCGAATATTTTTAAAAGCCCTCGTTCAGACAGCCTAGCCGTCCTGCAGGGATTTTCTTGGACTCTTTCTGAGGAAGCAGGTGTTGTGTGTTTTTGTCTCTAGATGCATGCTGATGGAGAGAGACGCAGTGCGGCCAAACTCCCCGCTCACAGACCGCCTGATCCAGCGAGCCCACTCCTTACACGCTTAAATCCAGACCCTATTCCCTGTGCGCTAAACAGTCTGTTCTCTGCTGCTTTAATTATAGGCTAACACATTTAACCACAGACATCAGATCAGAGAGCACAGCACAGCCCATGAGTTAGCATTGAACAACACAATAATAAAATATCTTTAAGTTAGCAGTTTTCCATAGGCCTATTTTGTTGTTGTTGTTTTTTTATGCTTTTGAATTGCATTATGGGACCTTGATCTTTCTCCCAACAACTTTCAATCTTGAAAAGTTTGAAAAAGCGACTTTTATGAACATTTTTAATAGTTTAAGGGACCGATCACACGGAACATGCTTTTACGTTCCAAAAACAAGACGCACCACACTGCCTTTTTTGTTGACAAGAAAAAAGTGTGGTGTGCTTTTTATGTCGCTAGGCAATGACTAAATCAGCTGTGTAATGTGCGTGAGTGTTGCTGTTGATATTAATATTTAAAAATATTGTTAGATTCAAGATTTCTGAGTCATACGGCACCGGATAACTCAAAACAGCAACCATAAGTCTCTCATCCGTCTTCAGAAGTCTCTGTAGTTGTCTTGACAACATAAACACTGCAGGCACCTCAACAGAAACCCCGCCTCTGCTTTCATTTAATTGGAGAATGAAAAAGACTTGACTGACGTCACACGCTTTTTCCGCTGAAAGTTGACTTCCTTTTAACTGCGAGTGCACAACACGCAAGGGTAAAATCGCGAGGCGCAGCAAGTGGTTAAAACGCGAGGTGCGCAAAGCGCATTAGCGACGTGCAAAACGCTCGCAGCGGTTAGTTAATCATTCAAAAAAAGGTGCCTCAACACAAAAAGCGTGTGTAGTGTGATCGGCCCCTAAATGAGCAATATCACACGAGTAGCAATGCGATATGGCTGTATATCAGCACTGGTGGGAGGCGTTTGTTGGCGCAAGGCTGCAGGCAAAGTGCCTTAAGCAGGTCGCACATGGCAGTTAAAAGTATCACACCAGAAGCGCCCATTCGTATGATATGTAAAATGAAACTATTGGCGCTCTGTGGCGTGGCAGAAATATGAACAGTGTCCTGTGTTGTGGCTGGGCGCCGCGGACATCAGTCAACTTGCAGCACTGATGTGTGTACCCTAATAGAAACGTATGTTTAGAATTCTAAAATGCATGGCGCTGTGTGGCGCTTTTTGTATGCAACCCCCTTTAGTGTCGCACCAGTGACGATATACAGCCGTATCGCACTGCTACAAGTGTGATGTTGCATCTATACAACTGTTCGACGGCATAATCGTGTATATAAAAAATGAAATCAAACACAGAGAGTGTCAAAAATCCTTTTGTATGAGGAACTACTTTTTTCCGCCATTCATTCATATCTGCAGCTTACGGTCAGAACAGCAGAAACCATTATTAACTCGCCAACATCACTTTAGAGCAGGGGTTTCCTGGAGAGTTTAGCTCCAACCCTAATCAAACACACCTTAACCAACAAATCAAGCTCTTACTATATATACTAGAAACTCCCTGGCTGGTGTGTTGCTGCAAGTTGGAGATAAACTCTCCAGGACACCAGCCCTCCAGGACCGACTCTGGACACCCCTGCTTTAGAGCTAGTGTTTTAATGATTCTCTAGCATAATGTCTAAAGTGATGATAAAACGGGTGATTTTGCTCACATTTTAAGATTATAAGGCTGGACAACATAGATGTCATCAGTCTACAGAGATATCCCAGTATTTCTCTGTTTCAATTGGGTTATCACAATAATTAACCCTAAAAAAGCCAAAGCAAACACTACTAGATAACTATGGTACAAATACAGCACTACAACATACAAAAGCGAGAGGTCAACTTAGAATGTTACTTAAGGGGTTGTATCATGATTTGATCAGCTGTAGTTTGAAACTTACACTGAAATTTTCTCCCCTAAGGACTTATTATGTGGTCTCTGTCGCCTTCTTGTGGCGAAATGTCAACCGTCTTGTGTAACAGAGGCCAGCCAGCAAGTGCTGTGCAGGTAAACCTCACTCCTCTGACCTCTAAAGGTGCTCTGGCAACAGTTGCTAGAGGCCATGGTCTTTAGCCCTCTTGGTAGAGCAACTGACTCCTACTGTATGCAGAAGGTCGACGGTTTGATACCAGCTTGGAGCAGGTTGGATGGCGTAGGTCCAGCGGGGTTATGCTGGTGCCATGACCCGGATAAGAGTGAGGTTCAGGGGGGTGAGTGTAACGGAGGCCAGCTAGTAAGTGCTGTGCAGGTAAACCTCACTCCTCTGACCTCTAAAGTTGCTCTAGTGACAGACCCTAAAGGCCATGATCTTTAGCCTCCTTGGTAGAGCAACCGACTCCCATGCGGTAGGTTGCCAGTTCGTTACCAGCTCGGAGCGGGTAGGGAGGCATAGGACTAGCGGGGTTACATTTGCTCTGCTTAATATAACAGGCTGATGGCAACCAACGCGCTGAATCTCTAAAATTATAAATATTTAAAAATAGGTACTATCCTTATAAATAACCTGCATAGTTGAAATCTAAACAAGTCCTAGTGTGTTCCCTCTTTAGTCCTAGTGTGTGCGGAGTAATACACAAGGGCGAATAAAAGTCACTTTGTTAAACTGTAGCATTGAATTTTCAACATCAAAAGTCGACATAGCAGAAATCAACATCCCATAATGCAATGCACAACTGTATATAAACGGAATACACTTGTGAATCACAAAACTGTTAAATAACAGCTATTTTTAACAGTGAAGATCTCAACACTCACATCTCTAATAGCATCTAACTGTTTATCCGGTTGCAAAATTGCAAGATAAAAATAAAGCGAGTGTCTATTTTGCATTACACAAGTCCGAGCAGTGTTTTCTCCTTTCCAGTCTTGCAACCAATAACCATGATTATTTAAAGCTGTGTGCACTAAAATGAACTTACAAGTGTGCCTCCAGACTTTGGGAATTAGTAATGAGGAAATAACAAACAACCTCACATGCTTTACAAACAAACTTTTTTCTTTTTTATTAAATCTAATAGCAGAAAGCGAGATAGAAAATAAATAAGAGCTGGCTCCGAGGCAGAGGGAAATGGAAGGGGCAGTCGCTGCAGAATGAAAGCACCAGTTTGCCTGGCTCTGCGGGTGATCGTCTGCCGCTCTACATGACGGATCGGATCTCAGAAATGAGGATCTGAGACAGGACGATGCCTGCGATCTATAGATCAAACAGAAGAAGTGTGTCAGGTCAGCAGTGCATATGGAGACAGCGCCGTCATTTCAGTTTCCCAACGCTCACTGAAAAATTCATGAATGTAAGAGCTGTGCACTGCATACACAACATTCATTTCGAAAGCATCATAGTTCGATGTGTGAATTTGTGAACGTTGTGTGTTTTTTTTAATTCAGACTGTCTGTATCAGTAGTTGTATGAATTATTAACAAATCCATACAGATATTGTTTCTATTCCACCAATGAAAGTTGTTTCAAGTGAAGCCCCAGCAGAGCAGATCATTGCACATCTCTAAGACGGTGATTTACTCTTTCTGAATGGTTCTGTGAATAATTGAACAACTTACTTATGAAGATAATTATATGTTTTGCTCTTAAATGAATCATTGAATGAATCGCTTGAATAATTCAATGACTTCAATTTTGTTGGCACCTACAGTTACAAGACTAAAGCTGATGTTACATTGGGAAACTTTTTGAGCAATGCTGCCGGGGAATATTGCACTTTACTTTTAAAACTGGGCAACACAATATTATCTGGATTAGAACTGCACAATATCATTTAAGCAGAGATATCGCAATGTGTGTGTCCGCAATAGTCACATCGCAAGATATGCAACGTTAAGTTTAGGGTTGGGTGATGTTGACCAATTTGGTATCGTACGATGTTTAATGTGAAACATCGCGAAGGACAGTGGCAAGGTCGTTGTAGTAGGCAGTGGAGAATTAATTATTTATGAATAATAATTGAATACATAATGAATTAATTATTTGTAGCCTACTGTTTCAACTACCCGACCTGCATGGTCTTTGTTTTACCCATAATCAAATCATAAATAAATGAAGATAAGTTACACAAATGACCACCTGTCAATCTTTTTTTCCACGGGACTCTGGCATGAATAGGCAGAGTGATCTGTGTCGTTATAAATGACGTTGACAAACTTGGTTGGTAAAAAAGGTGCACAACCAACAGGAACAGGGGCGGACTGGGACAAAAATTCAGCCCTGGCACTGTTGCCACATCAGCCCACATTACCACACCGACACAGCCCCACCCACGGACACGCACATTCACTATTTATGTGTAAAGATGGTGAAATAATATGACATTTTTGCCAGATTTTGATTATGTCCGGGTATCCTTGGATTGGGTCGGCCCATTTTGAAACCATGCGGGAGTTGCCGATTGGGCCAAATGCTTAATATTTATTATTATTTTTTTTTTTTTATTACCATCATCATAATATCACATCTAGCCAGAGATAAAAGCTGTCTGCACTTAAAAACAATACATATTTTTTTAAAAAACTGACCGACCCACATTTAAAAATTGGTCCAGCCCTTCTGACATTTGCCAGAATTGCCAGATGGCCAGTCCGCCCCTGAACAGGAACCAACCAACGGTTTCTGAGGTTCTGAGCGAAAGACTAAAGCAGTTTACTGACGCTGTGACGCATTACCTGATAGATTTAATAGACCGAAGAGTCGTTAGATAGAGACAAAACGAATAAAATATCACGTTTGAGCAGTACATCTTTCATAAACTATCTGATGTGCTCTGCTCTCTGGGATCAGTCACCCGCTGGCTGTCTGGAGCTCAGACGTCCACATATGCTGCAGTGTGTGCCTGTGTGGTCATCTGATGTGCATTTTCAGTGGTATAGAGGGACATTTTTTTTAGAAATGCTAGGTGAAACACCAGTGTGGACGTAGATTGTTTTCGTTCTAAAATGACATTTTAAAACTAAGACGTATTATTATAAACAGGGCCTGAGTATGTATTTTTTGCGAGTGGATTGCTGCTGCAATGGGAGTGGGGAGGAGAATAGTGATGCCGGCTAACCATTGTGTCTATGTCTATTAGCCATCGTCTATCGATCCAACCCTAGTTGAGTTTTGAATATAGATGACCAGAATCCAAATGTCAAAACACAAGAGATTTTTGGAGACACTGTAGAATTGGTTATAGAGTGAAAGTTAAAAAAAATTTAAGGCCTATGTGAACATTTGAAGAGTTTGAAGCATTTTAAGAGAACATAAAGAGCATTAAAAAGTGGTGTAATGACTTTCCAAATAGAGCTTTTTAAGTCATGTGGTGAAAATGTATTTACTGTTTATCGCAATATGTATTGCAGGGAAAAACAATATATCACAATGTCAAAATCAAAATTTTCCATTATCGTGCAGCCCTAATCTGGATCCAGTTGCTTTTGTTTAGTTGTCTTGTGTCCTTTGGCCCTTTTGGTTGGCCATTTTGGTTTGGATTGGAAGTTACCCGGCAACATTACTATAAAGGTAAGGTTTTTCATGTATCGTGAGCTCTAGGGCTGGTCATAATGCAGACAATTGTGATCTTGGCCGCTTGATTACATTCAGAAGTACAGGAAGTCTGCATAATTACACAGGACTTTTTTTATTGAGCAATGCTGTCAGGCAGTATTGCATGGCTATCTTGCTCTTGAAAATGGGCAACGAAACTGTATCTGGAACAAATTGCCCTAATTAGTTGCCTTGTGTGTGTGTGTGTGTGTGTGTGTGTGTGTGTGTGTGTGTGTGTGTGTGTGTGTGTGTGTGTTTTTTTTCCTTTTGTTTGGCCATTGATGGCATTGTTTCACAAAGTTACCCGGCAACATTACTATAAAGGGAAGGTTTTCCGTGTATCATGAGCTCTAAGGTTGGTCATTATACAGACAATTGTGATTTTGGCCACCTGATCACATCCAGAACTACAGTAAGTCTGCATGATTACACCGGGCAATTTTTGAGCAATGCTGCTGGTGTTCTGTCAATTTGTCCTACCTTGTCAGATTTTCCTACCTCCCATTCAAAAAGTAGGGAGCACATTTTGATGACGCAACATGCTGCCCATCAGATTTTGCTACCAGTGTAAATTTTAATGAGTTGTGTGATGAAGCTGTAATGTCGCCCTAACCTACCTAATTCCTAGCCCAAACCTCAGAACCATTAAAATAGTGTTGGTAGTATAATCTAATGGTTAGGATAAAATGTCAGGACACCGGGCAATATTGCAGGCCTACTTTACTCTTCAAAATGGAGAGGGTGCTCTCTGCAGAGCCACTTGGGTGGAGCTTACTTCCAATGAGAGGGAGCTTGAGCTCCTATAAGCTGTTTTAATGTGTACACCTACCCCGCCCCAAACCCCTGTGACATCACTTGTAGAAGAAGTGCAGGAGGAGCTGGAGCTCAAGCTACCCCTTGCTGGAGCTTAGCTCTGCATATGTTGCTCTGCAGTGAGTACCCCAAATGGGCAACAAAATTGTATCTGGATCTGATTGCCCTATTTAGGTACCTTGTCTTCTTTTGCAATTTTGGATGGCTGTTGATGGCATTATTTCCCAAAGTTACACAGCAACTTTACTACAAAGGTACAGTTTTCCCTGTATCATGAGCTCTGGGGCTGGTCATAATACAGACAATTTTGATCTTGGCCACTTGAGCACATCCAGAAGTACAGAAAGTCCACATAATTACAATATGTACCAAATTTCATTGCTACTTTACTTTTAAAAACAGGTAACAAAACTGTATCTGGATCAGATTGCTTTAATTTGTTGCATTGTGTTTTTTTTTTTTTTTTTTTTTTTTGCCCTCTTGGTTGGCCATTGATGGCATTATTTCCCAAAGTTACCCGGCAACATTACTGTAAAGGTAAGGTTTCTCTGTGTATCATGAGCTCTAGCTGGTCATATTACAGACAACTGTGGTTTTGGCCACTTGATCCCATCCAGAAGTACAGTAAGTCTGCATAATGAACAGAATGGCATGTTTTTTTATTTTTTATTATTAATTAATCATAAACTGTTTGGGCAGCTTACAAATGCTATTTTGGCACAGCTTAATTTTTTAATAATCAGTTGGACCAATTGTTGTCAGGCATCACTATCAAAAAAATGTAATATTTAGAGCAGGCCCGTGCAGAGACTGCACAGGTTGGCGCGCGCGCGCTCTGATCAGCGGTGTTGTCGCGCGCCAAACGAAGGGCGGGAGGGGGTGTGTCGCGGGGGCACTTTTGATCATTTTGGAAAGGCACTTTCTATCCAAGACTAAAAAGGGCATGTGCACTGCCTATGTGTGCACGTGCCTGATTTAGAGTGGAATATACTCGATTAGGTCATGCAGAATACTACATCACCACTAGTGTAAAGAGTGGCTATTGAGACAGGCACAAAAAGGGAATGTAAATCTTAAGACACAGTTTGACCAGATTCAAGGACTGGAGCAGGTTTTTTTAAAGTTATTAAAGTAGTAAAATGTGTAGTATCTGTCTGAAGAGTTTGGATGGGCCTTCGATATTGCAGTTTCAACATACAGTATTTTCCCTACGATGTAGATTTGGGCTCCAAATGATGTCATCTGGATATAATAACGAGTTATTGTAATTTAAATACTCACACAAGTATTGTATTAGTTAATGTATTTACTAACATTAACTAGTAATGAACAATACCATGTAGAACCTTTATTAATCGTAGTTCAGCATTTGCAAATGCTGTATAAAAGTCCAAATTCATGCTTGTTAGCAACTGTATTTTCATTAAATAACATTAACCGACATTAATACACTGTAATAAATATAATGTTCATTGTTTGTTCATGTTAGTAAATGCATTAACTATTACAACCTTATTGAGGAAATTAAAGTGAGAAGTGGAGACATGTCGTCCATTGTATTCTTAAGTCTATGATTTGGCTTCAGTTGGTTGGCATACATAAGAATTTACCATGCCATGCTAGAGATATTTTAGAGAAGAGATGGGTGGATGGAAAATTATTCTGAAATTTAACCTAAATAATAGTCAAGTTCCCAACACTCAAGTGAAAAATTAATAAATGAAAATCCAATGCACTTGTGGTCCACTTATGGTTATGTAGTATTTTGCATGATAACATTAATATGACTATGTCCTTTGTTTGTATCTAACTAACATCTTATGTTGACCAATCAGAACGCCTGAGATGAGTCAGCTGATTGTTACCTGTGGTAAAGCGAGACCCAGAGTCAGAGCCCCAAATAACAGCAGGTGAGATTCGATCCAGATAACAGCTCTGTCTGCACAGCCCACCGAATAAATGGATTTGGTGGCATTGAGGTGGTTCTGCGTCTGAATCCCGAAGCCACACATGCTGTTGATCACAGTCTGTAAGAGCAACACAGAAGATGTTCAGTCTTTGTCTCTTCAGCTGTTTGTAGCCTTTAAGCAGCAGGGGGCAGTAAAGTTTTACCCACAACTGTTTAATGTGCCTAATAAATGCACGGTGTATAAATACAAACATGATTAATTAGTAATTTTGCAAAAACAAGCAACCTTATTAATACAATGCATATTTTTCCTATATCAAGGGAGCTGAATATTGTCTGGGGTGATTATGGATTAGTAGGCAACCAGCCGAAAACCCTTAACAACTGCTTAACATGGTAAAAAAAAGTCCTACACAAACAACTGCAAAACAAGAGTTCAGACAAGACGTACGTGTGTACAGGAAGCAGTCATTTAGAGCTTCTTGGTGCTTTCGATTCTGTTGATTTTTTTACATTCCTTGAGTCTTTTCTTTGCAATTTGCATTAACAGTCTGATCATTTTCATCTAAATGATTTTAAGAACGCAGGCAGACATTATAGTGTCGCTCAATTTGCAACAATAAAACTAATGTATTTGTAACATTTAAAAATGCTGCAATAAAGACTTGATATTTTTACAAATGGTCCAAAAAGTGCATGTTTGTCCAAATGATCAAATACACTCACTGGCCACTTTATTAGGTACACCTGCCCAACTGCTTGTTAACGCAAGTTTCTAATCAGCCACATGGCAGCCCCTCAATGCATTTAGGCATGTAGACATGGTCAAGACGATCTGCTGCAGTTCAAACTGAGCATTAGAATGAGGTAGAAAGGTGATTTAAGTGACTTCAGTCACTTTAAGTGAACAGTCGTTGGTGCCAAACGGGCTGGTCTGAGTATTTCAGAAACTGCTGATCCACTGGGATTTTCATGTACAGCCATCTCTAGGGTTTTACAGAGAATGGTCCAAAAAAGAGAAAATATCCAGTAAGCGACAGTTCTGTGGGCGCAAATCCCTTGTTGATGCCAGAGGTCAGAGGAGAATGGCCAGACTGGTTCGAGCTGATAGAAAGGCAACAGTAAGAACAGGAAACTCGGGCTACAAATCGCACAGGCTCACCAAAATAGAAGATTGAAATGTTGCCTGGTCTGATGAGTCTCGATTTCTGCAGCGACATTCGAATGGTAGGGTCAGAATTTGGCATCAACAATATGAAAGCATGGATCCCCATCCTGCCTTGTATTAACGGTTCACGCTGGTGGTGGTGGTGTAATGGTGTCGGGGATGCCCATTAATACCAATTGAGCATCGTGTCAACGCCACAGCCTACCTGAGTATTATTGATGACCATGTCCATTTCTTCATGACCACTGTGTACCCAACTTCTGATGGTACTTCCAGCAGGAGAACACACCATGTCATAGAGCACGAATCATTTCAGACTGGTTTCTTGAACATGACAATGAGTTTACTGTCCTCACATGGCCTCCAGAGTTACCAGATCAAAATCTAATAGAGCACCTTTGGGATGTGGTGAAACGGGAGATTTACATCATGGATGTGCAGACGACAAATCTGCAGAAGCTGGTTGATGCTATCTTGTCAATATGGAGCAAAATACCTGAGGAATATTTCTAGTACCTTGTTGAATCCAACTCAGAAATTGTTATAACTTTTCTTGAAAGTCAAGTTTACATACATTAAGATTATTATGCCTCTGAAAAAGTTCAGATGATGGTGTCAAGGTTTTGGAAGTTTCTGATTGGCTAATTGACAACATTTTAGTTAATTGGAGGCACAGCTGAATAGTATTTAAGGAAAACCTCAAACACACTGCTTCCTTTTGTGACAACGTGGGAAAATCAAGAACCCAGAATCAACAAAAAGCCAGTTTACAATTTTCTGAATTACACTGGAAAAAATAATATTTTCTGGAGACATGTCCAGTGGTCTGATGGAACTAAGATTGAACTGTTTGGCCATAAAGACCAGTGTTACATTTGGAGGACAAAGGGGAAAGCTTACAAGCTTAGAAAAACTATGCCAACTGTGAAGTATGGGGGCGGCAGGATCATGTTGGGGGGCTGTTTTGCTGCAGGAGGGACTGGTCCACTTTACAGCGTAGATGGCATCATTAAGAAAGAACATTATGTAGAAATACTGAAGAAACATCTCAAGACATCAGCCAGGAAATTAAAAATTGGCCACAAATGGGTCTTCCAAATGGACCATGACTTATAAGCAAACTGCCAAATTAGTTAAAATGTGCTTTAAGCAGAGTGAATGTTTGGAGTGGCCATCACAGAGCCCTGCTCTCAATCCTATAGAAAATTTGTGGGTAGAGTCGAAAAAGCTGACATTTTTATATTCTGGCATTTAGCATGTAAATCATTTAGGTAATCCTAACAGACCTAAAATAGTAAACATTTAATATGATTTAACTTCAGAGATTTAAAAAAAAATGGTTATGTTGCTTTTGTGTATGTAAACTTCTGGTTTCTTATAAAACTTCTTATATATTGGTCTCTATATGTATGGTTTTTGACTCCTAAGGGCAACTGTTCTGATTAAACTGTGTCCGTTGTTATCTGATGGGTCAGGGCTGGTCATTTTCACTTCAGCTTTTTCTGCATTGTGAGCCTTTCTCTGTGCTTTCTGATAACTTGAGGATGTTGAATTGCCTTTTGCTTCATGGGCTAGAGATGAACAATTCAGGTCAAGGTCATCAGTCTTCAGTTAAATGCTTGCATGAGGAATTTGCTTTTTTTGGTCAAATAGTTCATCACATTTATATCCATTACACAGCCTTCAGTATTAGCGTTGATAACCTGTGGGCTTGTTACTAAAAGAAATAAAAAAATCTATTGCTCGTTACTCGTTACTTCTTTCAAAAGGAATATTATGTAACATATTAGTCCCTGTGAACAGTAATTTAATAGTTGTTATATTATTTTTGCATTACACTAAATGAACTTTTGAAAATTGTCCAAGCTTTTGTAGTTGTGACGTGATTTTGTATCTGATGATGAATGATATTCAGAAATATAACCTTTAAAGGTCCAGTGAAGTGCTTTCATATGTGTGACATCATTTCAACTGAAACATAAATACAGGGCTGAACATAGACTAACCCCTCCCCTTTATTAAAAACAACCAATAGCCTTTTGTTTTATCATAGTGAAAAAAAAAAGCCAGTGAAAATGGTTGAGCTTAAGCGCCACAAATTGATAAGGGATTTCGTCTTGAAAAGGGTGGGACATGTCAGATACTATTGAGCATTTGAATGGTCAGAAGATTTTTTTTTCCACCTAATTAATTCAATGCCATAAGAACAAGAGGTATTACATAGTCATATAGTTTACCTTTAGCTTACAAAGAAAAAATAATAGACATTTACATAAATTTTTACATGCATTACGTTTTCAGTGCTGTTTTGTTTTGTGATTGTTGTAAATATATCATTTTAAGTAATTTAAAAAAATGGGAAAAATTGTGTTTGCATTGAGCACACTTATTCTTTTATTAGTCAGAAGATTTGATGAAAACTGAAGTATGAGGTGACATCGTCACAAATCGTTGCATTTATGCAGAAGTGGAAAACTGCAAGCTGATGTTTATATCTTCTAAATGTGAATTTTGTCACTGTTTTGGTGCACACAAGCTTATAGGTATCCTTAAAACTTCAGATTAAAGTCGGCTGTTGGCTGTCTTGCTCGCACAAGCTTTTTCAACCCTGCCCACAAATTTTCTATAAGATTGAGAGCAGGGTTTTGTGATGGCCACTCCAAAATGTTCACTCTGTTCTCCTTAAAGCACATTTTAACTTATTTGGCAGTATGCTTAGGGTCATGGTCTGTTTGGAAGACCCATGTGTGGCCAAGTTTTAATTTAATTTTAAGTTTTAATTTGCCATCGATACTGTGAAGTGGACCAGTCCCTCCTGCAGCAAAACAGCCCCACAACATGATGCTGCCGCCCCCATACTTCACAGTTTTGATGGTGTTCCTAGGTGTGTAAGTTTTACCCTTTGTCCTCCAAATTTTACACTGGTCATTATGGGCAAACAGTTCAATATTAGTAAATAAGCAAATTTTAATTTGGCTTTTTTTTGTTGTTGTTTCTGGCTTGTTGATTTTTCCATGTTGTCACAAAAGAAAGCAGTGTGTTTGAGGTTTTCCCTTAAAAACTATTCTACAGTTATATTCCTCCAGTTAACTCAAATGTTGTCAATTAGCCAATCAGAAACTTCCAAAACCTTGACATCTTCATCTGAGCTTTTTTAGAGGCATAATAATCCTATTGTATGTAAACTTGACTTTCAAGAAAAGTTATAACAATTTCTCAAAAAAAAAAAACCTCATTATTCTGCTATTAAGCATAAAAGAAACTAATTTGATAATCCTAACTTACCTAAAAGAAAAAAAGTTTAGTCACATTAACATCTGACTTTTTTTGTTTATGTGCCTTTTTATTCATTCATTCATTCATTCATTCATTCATTCATTCATTCATTCATTTCCTTGTCGGCTTAGTCCCTTTATTAATCCGGGGTCGCCACAGCGGAATGAACCGTTAACTTATCCAGCAAGTTTTTACACAGCGGATGCCCTCCCAGCCACAACTCATCTCTGGGAAACATCCACACACACATTCACACACACACTCATACAATGAGGACAATTTAGCCTACCCTAATCACCTGTACCGCATCTTTGGACTGTAGGGGAAACCTTTTTATACAGTGTACGTAAAGTTCTGGTTCCAACTGTATATATATTGTATTAAAAACCCCTCAATATTTTTAAACCACTAGAGGAAGAGTAAGTACATTGTTTTTTGTTTTAATTTTTTATATGAGCTATCCGCTTTAGCTTTTACTAAACTGATAAACTGAAATTATGATTCATATCTTGCACAGATGCCACAGAGCAGCGGCGTCATCTCCACGTGAACAGCTGTTCGGATGAATCACCGATTTTCTCTGTCATTTCTTCCACTTCAAACAACACGCCGGAATACAGTAAGAACAATTCAGCTCACAGCTTCTCTCTCTCAGCATCTTCAAATGTGGCACAGTTCCTCCATTCCCTTCTGTTTGTGTTTAAAAGAATTGCCTTTCGTCCTCTCCGACCTGTTTAGAGACTGTTTATCCGGCAATCACCGTAGACATTTGCCAAGGGAACGGAGATCATAATATTTAGGTCTGCCAAGGAGTCGCTGTAAAAAATACGGTGATCTATGTTCTGTTCGAGGATCTTATCAGCATTTAGACACATCTCGCCGATTGAATTGAGCACACATTTAAGCAGCTGCTTTTAGACGTCATGTCGACACAGCACACGTTCGGTCATTTTACTTTCTTGAGGCATGAAAAAAAGCAATTGAGAACGAATAAATTCTTCTCGGGTTGCTGCTATGACAACTGTGTCGAAATTGAAACTTTGAATCACTGATACGTTTGGTAAACCCAATCTGTTAAACTTCACAAAGCTCGTGGTGATGTGATTATAACAGGGGTAATTAGCAGCGCAGGCCATCGTCGGTTTTAGAGGAAAGGCAAAGTCTGACTCCACACTTTGAATTCGTCTTTCGTGGCACTTTGTTGCACGGCGCAATAAACCAATGACCGCATACAGTTCTGCAGAGCTGATGACATGAAAAATAATACTGCTTTGCATCTGTACTGATGTACGACTACAAAGGCTGAGAACAAAAAGGGAAGGGATTGTGTGCAAATAAAGGTTCAGAATGAAGGATCATTGTATAACTGAACGCAAATTGTACTTTGTTTCTGAAGTCTAAGCGGTGTTTGTCTGCAAGTCTCACCAGTTAGATGTTAGTGGCTCTTTCTTAGGTGGTTGTCTTGAGATTGGCAGTGGCTAAAAAGTATTCTGACGAGTTCAAATTCACAACAAAAGTGCTCACAAAAGGTTGTGAATGTAACAGGATTATTTTGGATATTTTGATTTCACTATATTTCCCTCCTGTTTACATGCTGTTCATTTAAAATTGTTTTGTGTTCACAATATAAATGTAAAAAGAGTCTGTAAAGTGACAGTGGTTTCACCTCTTCTCCCCCCCTTGGGTTAACGTCAAGGTGGTATGGTCCAAGCAGCCATACCTGTTGCACTATTGTTTGAGTGGTCTTTTCCACCTTTACAAGGAGGTATGCTCTACCTGTTCCATGTTGAACTTGGCTCTGGTCATAATTAATACACACACAAATATATATTTAAGTTTAATTTTAATCATTTGTTATATTTACTGATGTAAAAACAGTTTGTTATATTGTAGAATGTTATTTTTGTTGACAGTGTACATTTAATGTAATGAGCTGAAGCTGCCGATCTTATAATAACATTCTCTGTGCAGGTATGCATTTATGATTTTGACAATGTAATATGTGGATTGTCACTGTTCAAATGCTGATTTTTGTAATTGTGAGAGCTAGTTTTCTCTTTCCCTTTCCTGTCTTCGCGTCCCTCCGCGGCGCCCCTCGCTCGTTTCCTCCATCTTTCATTCGCCTTTTTCTTTTCCACCTTTACCTTGAACTAAGGAGTTTACATTTAATGTAATGAGCTGAAGCTGCCGATCTTATAATAACATTCTCTGTGCAGGCTCAAAATGGTGTCCTCTCGTCATTAACTACACAACACAACGCAGAGCAAAAGAGAGTACGGTTACATGAACATGGTGGGTAAAAATATCTTAGAATTCATTACATCATTCATTTTCCTTCGGCTTAGTCTCTTATTTATCTGGGGTTGCCACAGTGGAATGAACCGCCAACTCATCCAGCATATGCTTTACGCAGTGGATGCCTTTCCAGCTGCAATCCATCACTGAGAAAGATCGATACACACTCATTCACACACATATACAACAGACAATTTAGCTTACCCAATTGACCTATACCACATGTTTTTGGACTTGTGGGAAAACCGGAGGACCCGGAGGAACATGCAAACCCCACAGAAACACCAACTGACCCAGCCAAGGCTGGAACCAGCGACCTTCTTGCAGTGAGGCGATCATGATACCCACTGCGCCACCATGCAGCCCCCATATCTCCAATTTATCATTATTGATATATCTCATCCTTATATCTTAGTTATTATAATAGTTGTTTAATATTACAAAGATCTGATAACATTTCTTCCAAATTTCAAATGAAAATATTATCATTTAATGTTAGATTTTCTTTTACATCTGGCAGAATGACTAATGTTTTCATTAGTTCTGATCGAAAATGTTGGTTATTCCACAACATGTAGATTTTTTTAAGTTAAATCAAAAAAATAAAATGATAAATGTAATTTAACATGAACACATGTCACCATATTTCTTTAATAAATAAATACTGCCTTGCTAAGCATGAGACACTTCTCTCCAAACTCTTCAAACTTTTAACAGACTCAACTTTTGAATGACATACAGTACAGTAGGTCTCATTTCTCCTCTCCCAATGGTTTTCTCCAAGGTGATTATGCAGACAGATGATTATGGATGATGATGCAGTGCTGCCACCATGAACATTTGAGAAAATTATTTGAGAATTTGAAGGGATGAAACTGTGAAGTTAAATGTAATTCGAATGATTTAGAACTTGAGTCGCACAGCCAACTCATAAAGCAGCACATGAATCCTCACTTCACACAGACCTCTTATCTGCAGCTGCTTCTCTGTCCGTTTTTATCAAGGATTTTTCATAACTGCAGATTTCATAGGTGTAGGTGGTTAAACACTGATCAGGTTTGACCACAATTTGTCAAATTTTGAAAAATCTTAAAGTTTCCTAACAACATTGACAAGCGCTTTACAAATACGGTATTTTTGAACCAGTGCTTGAATTAATCTGTATTACAACTGTAGTAATTTACTGTATACAAATGACCCAATACTGTGCTACGGTTTCTACAGTTTTAGGATATGTTATACTACAATACACCACAGCTTAATGTAGTAGGAGTTAAAGTTTACAACATTATTTAATAAAGTTTATCAATTGCTAATTATAGCTGATAAAATAAAATATTAAATATAATATTAAATAATTAAAATTAAATAATGCTGATTATCTAGTGTTGTAAATACTATATTACATACAATATAGTACACTTATTTATGGTTCAAAAACACTGTAATATTTAATATCTGACATAGAAATCTAATTTAGGGCATTTTATACAAATTTAACATGACAAAAAAGTTCATATTTGGATTTCACATATATAAAATATGTAACAAATATATTAAAATATTACAAGAAAATACCACTTTTATACTTAATAGCCATTGGAATTACATATATTAAATATTATAGTAGGGCAACGCAGTGGGTAGCACGTTCTCCTCATAGCAAGAAGGTCGCTGGTTCGATCCTCGGCTCAGTTGACGTTTCTGTCTGGAGTTTTCATGTTCTCCCTGCGTTTGCGTGGGTTTCCTCCGGGTGCTCCGGTTTCCCCCACAGTCCAAAGACATGCGGTACAGTTGAATTGGTTAGGCTAAATTGTCCGTAGTGTATGAGTGTGTGTGTGTGTGTGTATGGATGTTTCCCAGAGATGGGTTGCGGCTGGAAGGGCATCCGCTGTGTAAAAACTTGCTGGATAAGTTTGCGGTTCATTCTGCTGTGGCGACCCCGGATTAAAAAAGGGACTAAGCTGACAAGAAAATGAATGAATGAATGAAATTTTATAGTAACCATAATGTTATATATATGTTTATATATGAAAGTCCAACGGTTGAAAAAAATTAATAAAAAAGGTGCATTCAGGATGAACTCGCAAGTTTGAAACATTCAAAACTTTTTGTACACTCTTATACATTTGCAAATGGTGTTTTGCATTTGATAAACGTATTTTATGATTATGTATTTTTATTTTGTGCATGTGAATTATTTAATTATTTGTAAGTATATATATATATATATATATATATATATATATATATATATATATATATATATATATATATATATATATATATATATAGATAGATTATATACAGTCTATTCTGTCTCCAAAACCGGCCACTTTATTAGGTACACCTTTCCAATCACATGGCAGCAACTCGATGAATTTAGGCATGTAGACATGGTCAAGACAATCTGCTGCAGTTCAAACTGAGAATCAGAATAGGGAGGAAAGGTGATTTTAATGATTTTGTAGCATAGTTGTTGGTTTCAGACTGGCTGGTCTGAGTATTTCAGAAACTGCTGGTATACTGGGATTTTTGCGCACAACCATCTCTAGGATTTGCAGAGAATGGTCCAAAAAAAAAGAAAATATCCACTGAGCGGCAGTTCTGTGGGCGCAAATGCCTTGTTGATGCCAGAGGTCAGAGGAGAATGGCCAGACTGGTTCCAGCTGATAGAAAGGAAACAGTAACTCAAATAACCACTTGTTACAACCAATAGAGCACCTTTGGGATGTGTTGGAATGGTAGATTCGCATCATGGAGCAACCTGCATCCTGCAGGATGCTATACTGTCAATATGGACCAACATCTCTGAGGAATATTTCCAGTACCTTGTTAAATCTATGCCACGAACGATTAAGGCAGTTCTGAAAGCAAAAGGGGTCCGACCCAGTACTAGTAAGGTGTACCTAATAAAGTGTAATGAGTGTATGCCGTATACTGTATGACTGTGACTGTTTGTTTAATAAATGTAAAATCCAAAAGTACTCATGTCAAATATCTCATGTCATTTGCATATGTTTGCATGAATCAGACTTCAATATGGGATAAAATACTATAGTTTTTTTTTTTTTTATTCATCTTCAGTATCATAGAGTTTAAAATTATGACACCTGCTATTTTACAGTGTGTTACAGTCTGACAAGCTAGCATCAAAATGACTATTAATAATGGTGTGGTGTGAGGGCTTCACTCTCACCTCTCTAGGCAGAGGTGTGCAGCAGGAGAACGGCACAGAACATCTCTCATTGCTGGGGTTTGACGAGCTGCAGTTAAAGTATGGGTTCCAGGACCAGTCGGTGTAGTTAGTCCAGCCGCAGCACTTAAACTGTGAGGAAGGACAAGACTTATTTATACAAACTGTCTGCATATTCACCTCTTTGTTTTTTGGATAACATTAGGATTATTAAGAGGAGGATTAAGAACATGTAAAGAGACACAAAGGAGACATTGCACTGTAATGTAAAACAGTGTGCGTATTCTACATTGATGATCAGGGGATGGATATAAGCATAACTTCAGGGAAAACAAATTAATTAATTTTTATGCAATTATGTCACTTATTTATCAAACAAATCAAAGTTTTAAGGGTAAATCAGTAGATTATGATGTACAACAGACATTTGCTTCCCGCTGCACCCATCCGCTTGTCAATCTCACGTTCCATCCTTCCCTCCCTCGTGAACAAAACCCCAAGATACTTGAACTCGTCCACCTGGGGTAAGGACTTTCCTCCAACCTGGAGATGGCAAACCACCTTTTTCCGGTAGAGCACCATGGGCTCAGACATGGAGGTTCTGATTTTCATCCCAGCCACGTCACACTCGGCAGCAAACCTCCCCAGTGCATGCTTGATGAAAGTCCATGTTTGATGAAGCCAACAGAACAACATCATCTGCGAGTAACAGAAATGAAACCCTGTGGTCCCCGAACCGGACCCCCTCCAGCCCAAGGCTACGCTTTGAAATTCTGTCCATGTAAGGGGACAGCTTTTGATGAAACCAATAAAAGACATCCTTGACTTCCTAAGCTATCTGAAACGAAATGAAATCCTAGAATAATGTTTATGCGAAGCTCTCGGAAAAGTTTTGCAGGGAAAATGTAATGGATGTGATGTTTACACACGGTCCGAAAGACCTCTCTTACATTCTATGACATTAAAATGAATGCCTATACATTGTTCAAGATAAGGAGCTGCAGTATAGACCTTTTTCATGGCTGCTGCATGGAGGGCGCCATAGCGACCAGCGTCTTCTGGTAGAATGCTAAAAACTTCCGTTTACAGCGTGTACAACTGGTAATTTGCGCTCTGAAAATGGGTTTCAATAACGTTTTAAATGGATAACAGAGTGTTTTTGTGACACACAACTTATAAATGTGTCTGTTAAAGCCATTATTATCTGTCACATGTGGTTCAAGCGCGTCAGAAATACGAGAAAAGCGCTCTCCTAGTTCATGTGTCTGCCGTCAGAAATACAGTGTGTTTGTGCGTTCCCGGCCTGTCAGCTGTTAGCTCAGTGGCTCTTTAACACACACACACAGAGAGAGAGAGAGAGAGAGCAAACCAGAGTACTGGCATGAAACTTAACAGGTTTGAAAGTCGTGCAATTTACAAAAATGACCAATAAAAGTCTGTTATTGATACTCTGCTGGCTGATTTGCTGTTTATTCTAATCGCGAGCCGTTTGTGTATTTCGTGTGTTGTTTTCACCACGGTTTGTGTTTTTCTGTCATTTCGAAATGACACTAGCCTATATTTTCATTTTGTCACAGTTATTAAATCAGTGTGTCAGTGGCACAGTACAGGCTACGTGTGTGTGTCAAACATTTTGGTGAATTACATTTTTTGGGGCTGGTTATATATTTGAAATAAAGAGAAAATGTTGACTTTAGCGATGACAAGGTTTAATTTAAACTGCAGAAGATGCCGTCTGACAACAAGGGGAAAATGCCTCACAGCAACTGTTTTCCATCCTAGATCGCATTTCTTTAAATGATCTGTCCAGGAGATGGTGCTGATGGACAACAGTATTAGTTCAAAGAGGATAAAAGCAGGTAAAATAGATTAAAACTATCGTTTCAAAGCTGTCCAAACGTGACTGTTTACACGCATCAGCTGCTGAATGGAAGTTCTTCGCGTTCTCCTTGCGCTTACACGCAAAGCATAATGGGTCATCTTGCGTTCCAAGAAAAAGGTCTATAACGTCAATATTTTAGAGAATTACAGTGTATTCAGTCAATGATTTTGTCTTCAAGAAATGCAGATGACTACTCATGATGTCTGACACGCTTATGGAAATAAAGATAAAATCACCCTTACCTCTTTCTGGATGTAATCCATCAGGTTTTGCAGGTCCAGGTCGTCTCGATAATGCACAATGGCTTTCTTCACGAATTCCCCCAGAGCATCTCGTGTCTGCGAACATGACACTTTATCCAGTCTGGCCACCAAGCACATTTCCACCTGAAATCAACCTTCTACATCTGGCTTGTATATGCATATGTAAGCGTGCTACAGGAGACAGGTCGACAGCGCTAATTCACCATGGCGGCTCTAATAGCATATGCTTCAGTGTAATTAACTCTTGGGGCCCACCGAGTGTCTCCGTTTCTCCCCTGTCGGTTTCTCTAACTCTGGCACGTTCAAGCACCTCTGCATGTCATTAGCGAAGCCTCCATTCGAATGGAACATTTGCTTCCACTTTGATGTGGCAAAAGCTCTTTAATCATTACGCAGGGAAGATGCTGGAAGCGACGTCGCTAAACTGCCCTCCCTGTTCAACTGTGCGCTGCGAAGGTGAAATATATGTGTGATGTAATGCTCTCAATGGGACTGTAGAACTTCAAGGGTCCATGAGGTAATGAGTAGGTCTTGAACACACTACGCTATGCAGGATGCTTTAAAGATAAGCATGTATTTATTCATATATATTCAGTATTATGATATTGGCCCTAATGATTTGTGTAGGGACAATAAAAATGTTTTCATTTATGAATTAATAAAAATAAAAAAAAGAAGTCTTTTTCAGCAGACTTATAAAGACTATGAAGACTTGATATTAAAAATGCAAGTCATTTATGTTCCATCAAATAATCTGCAATGAATAATAATAATAACAAAACACTGTATCAAGTTTTCCAGCCAATACATACATAAATAAGAATGATCAATAACAAGTAATAACAATGACACACATTCAGTATTAATCCACACACTTGACCTATTTTGAAAATCGACCGAGTTCAGAAATGTATTTTAATTATTAATGGAAGAAGCATACGTCGCATGTGTCAATAGCCCATATAGATTTAACCTGAGAGATACAGTACAAGCATTGATCTAAATTAGATGAGAGATTACAAGCCGCACAGAGCGATTACAACTTACCACACGTTTTTAAACATATTTTGCAAATGTTGACGCAGTGGGAAGTGCTGTCGTCTCACAGCAAGAACGTCGCTGGTTCGAGCCTCGGCTCAGTTGGCGTTTCTGTGTGGAGTTTGCATGTTTTCCCTGCGTTCGCATGGGTTTCCTCCCTCCGGGTGCTCCGGTTTCCCCCACAGTCCAAAAACATGCGGGACAGGTGAAATGGGTAGGCTAAATTGTCCATAGTGTATGAGTGTGGATGTTTCCCAGAGATGGGTTGCAGCTTGAAGGCATCCGCTGCATAAAAACGTGCTGAATAAGTTGTTGGTTCATTCCGTTGTGGTGACCCCAGATTAATAAAGGGAATAAGCCAAAAAGAAAATTAATATTTTGCAAACTACAGAAAACGAGGCAACAATTACATGTTATGATCCGGTGTAAAAAAGAAACTGATCCATATGAACAGTCACAGTTACTGACAAAGTCCCTGTCAAAGACTGACAAAGTCAAATACATTATAGTCTCTGCTGCTCCTTCCTTTAATAGCAAACGGCCGGCGAAAACTGTGCTGCAGCATAGGTTATTGTATCAAAAATCCGAAAAATGACAACTAGGTTGGCTATAATGTGGTATTGTTGTGAAAATGAACTTTAACCCTTTATTCCAGCTGCTGAATCTCTATCAGTCAGTGTTTGTCATCTTTGTGTCATGATTAGTCCCGTGATCCCCCACACTCTGCCAGTGTCTGAAGGGAAAGGCACGTTCACGTTTTACCGGATCCAGCATTTTATATTTAGTGATGTACTGTATCAACGTCGAAGCGTTCAAGCAAAAGATTCAAACAGTTCAGTTTACTGTAAATTGTACATTTGCTGCATTGAACTTATTTTTAAACTCATTGAACTTATCTGTTAGACACATTCTTCAATTTAGAGTCTGTCTTCAATTCAGAGCTTCAATTTAGAGCTTTACGGCAAAGGCTGTGAATACTTATGTACATGTGATTTTTCAGGTTTTTATCTTTAATAAATTTGCAACAATTTCAAAAACTCTTTTTTTTTCCACATTGTCATTATGGGCTGTTGTGTGTAGAATTTTGAGGAAACAAATGATTTTAATCTATTTGAAATAAAGCCGTAACATAGAAAATGTGGAAAAAGTGGTGCTATGAATACTTTCCAGATGCACTGTATAGTCATAAACACTTGTTTGTAGCACCAGTGACTGTTTTCTGCTGTTTGTTATTCCTTATCATTTCTCCCTTGGAAACTGCATCGTAAGTTCTAAAATAATCGCAAAAACAGGCACACTTTTGCATTGCAAAATATTTTTTTTAAAAATAAAGAAAAAATGTGTCAAATGTACATCCAGTTTTAAAATTAGTCATATTAAAAAAAAAATTGTCATATGATAGAATATTCTTGTTTCCTGTTTTTACTAGAATAAATGCATCCTAAAAGCAACAAATAGACTAGCAAAAGAAATCCCACACAGAGTACTAGAGTATATATGCACTCAACGGGACCTCGTCTGAACTTTAAGAGTCCATGAGGTAATGGCAGACCAATAGGAAACCCTATAGTGAGAACTGACGTTATGAATAAGATGAACAATGAAAGCGAATGGCGGATTGCTTTTAAATTGACTTTCTATCCCATGAGATGGACTTAGAGTCTGAGAGATGACTGCTAAAAGAGGTTAAGCCTCCCCAAACAAGCCAAAGCCTAATGCTACAATTAATCTTTAACAATCTGCACTGTGTGAAAGTCATACCAGTGAAACACATTTGTGCCAATAAAAATGAACATAAATTGTCCGGAAAATAGACAATTTTGAAATAAGATAAACTGAATAATAACATAAAGATTTAAATAACTCAAAAATGTAACATGCTCTTCCAATATGCTTTGTTAACAATTTTCAAGGATTAGTTTTTGAAATTGACTGATTTTGTTTGCTTGTTTCCATAGATATATACACTATGGCAGTGGTTCTCAAACTGTGGTACGTGTACCACTATGGTACGCGGGCTTCCTTGTAGTGGTACGCGGAGGAATGAAATATGTCATGTACATGCTACATATATTTCTAAACGTATCAAAAATTATGTATATAATGTGCCCTATATGACATATAGCCTATATTTCTGTTGTAATCTGCCATGTTTTTTTACTGTGCAGAGTTGTAGCTGCTTTACTGGGCCTACTACGCTACTGTATTTCAATACTGCTCATTTTGGTGGTACTTGGAGAGACAATTTTTTTTCTGAGGTCGTACTTGATGAAAAAATTTTGAGAACCACTGCACTATGGCATACGGACCCTGAGCATGCATCAATACCACTGTCACATTTGTACAGTGCACCCAAGACAAAAGTCATTCAACAGCACTAGTCGAGACTAAAGCCAATCTGAAGATGTTGGACTTTTGCTCTGCGTACGGGTGTAATATGAGCAAACTAAGCTTAAAGGCAGAACATTTCATAAGTAAGATTTCTTTTTTTACGTTTTTGTGTTACGAACTTTTGTGCTAAACAAGTAACGTTACTGATGATAATACAGTCACTACTGCACTGAAGGCAAAGTAGCAGCAATGTGCACTAAATTCTAGGCTTATGCCAGTTTTGTGGAATCAAATCAGCAAACAATGTTAATCAAATATGACAACAAGATGCTGCGGTGCTAGAAACTTGTATTAATGTCAGCTAAGGAAAGTAACGGCTTTGAAGTACCTTATAAGAGTGCCTGATAACATAACAGTACCTGTGCCTCAATGTGCATACTGTCTACCCTAAATTATTGAATATTACAAATGTTATATGCCATTTAAATTTGAAAGATAGATGTGTACATTGAGATGCAGGGATATCGATGGTTCATAATGGAGATTCATTCACAAACTAATCGCTCCCTACATTACTATTAGAAATGAAAGCAGGAGAGGGGGTGTGTTTCAGGACATTCATTAGATCAAATTTAGTATCTTAGGGAGGGTGAATAACACATTTCTATGCACACAAACACAAACACACATACTCCTTGTTGGCAATGCATGTGTGGTCACTAATCCATCAATATTGTGGTGTAAAATTATAATTTTCATAATTTAAAAAAAAAATTGTATACTGACTACTAGGAAAACTCCCAATCATAGATATATGTGTATATATCCATGGTTCTGGATGGCCAGTCTCCCACTGCACTGTTCCACCCACAGTCCATTCAAAGCAGAGCTACCCTATACTAAAATGGCAGCTCTATTGACATGTTCCTTCCAATAGACCAATAGCGTAGGTGACATCTAATGTAAATATCCATGGCTTATATCCTCTTTTGGCACAAACCTATTGTGGGTCGGTCTACTCTGATTGGCTTAGCTGATTAGGAGACTTTAGTCAGTGGCTAGCGTAATAGAAAACTTTTTTCAGTAAACTTAATGGTAAGTAACACTTACAATGGTCCATGAAATAACATGAACAAACTATTAGTAATACATTTAGTTCGGTATTTATACATACTTGTTAACTTAGTTCATGTTGGTTGATGCTAACTCAGTGCATTAACTCATGTTAACAAGCACAACTTTGGATTTTAAAAATGCATTAGTTCATGTTGAATTGATTAATAAAATAATATTCATAAATACATTAACTAACATTAACTAATAGACTATTATTCTAAAGTGTTACCATTATTTATGTATTTATTTTTACTTGTGTTGCATGTTTACCTAATAACAACCACGGCCACCCCTGTGTAAACTCTGGCCACATCTGTGGCCACCCCAATATGATTTTGCTGTTGATATTATTAATTTAAATGCACTTACGCAATATTTCAATGAATAAATAAATAAATAAAATGCAGCCACCAATTATTGTGGACTGATTGGCACCATCGACACTGCTAATTAACTGCCCCTCCCCGTATAAACACAAGCTACAGTAAAGAGCTGTTTGACCGATATGCTGTTTTGGCTGCACCTCAAATAAATAAATGCATTTTGAAATCAGCTTTTCAGAATCTAGTTTATTTAGCACTTTGGTTATTTTGCTGGTTGACTTACAAAGGCCAAAAATCTCAATGATTTTGAGGATGTAGTTTGCAAAAAGCTGAAGTAATAATATTGAGGCTCAAAAAGTAATATGGATAAATTATATTATTAGGGTCTGTAGAGTGTGTGTGTATATAATAATGCCTTCTGTTTAGTTTGTTCCTTTGTCTGTGTTGTTAAATTAAATTTGGATTTGGATTTGGTATGCACGTGTAGGCTACTTGCTGATTTTTTTTCAAGGAATAAATTGCAATATTTTAAGAGTAATTAAATTAATTAAAACCACAATATTTACCAGAAGCAAAAAAGGCCCCACTTTATATTGTGGCCTTAACTAATATGTACTTACATAAGAGTTAATAGTTTGTTACAATGTACTTATTGTGTAAATACATGTATTTACTGTGTACTTATGCTTGATTAAATACATGTATGTAACTACATTTGTATTTAACTTTTGGAATTACATTTGTAAATACACTGTTGACCATTCCTTACACCTTAACCCATCCTTAAACCTACCCATACCACCAAACCTGTCCATAACCCAACCTCTATCCCAACTCAATAGCACCACAAGTGTTCTCAAATACATTATAAACACAGTAAGTACATTGTATTTATTTTTTTATGTAAGTACATAGTAGTTTAGGACACTTAATATAAAGTGGGACCGCAAAAAAAATAACATTGCATTGAACTCATAATTTTTAGCATGTGCCATGCCAAGATTTTGTGTGGCCTCATCTGGCCATCCCTAAGAAAAATCAATATGTTGAAATAAACTTATTTACCATTTTGCATGCAAATCAATAACATGCCAATGCAACTAATCTGTTTATTGTGGTCTACTAAAGAAAATCAAGTTATTAATTTGGTAATGTTAAAATATAAGCTTCCATATTTTACATCTAATGCATTGTGGTATTAAATAAAACATTTACAAAAACACCAGAGTACTTAAAAAATTCAATCGGAATAACTTTTTCGCCATTTATATCTTGGATTTCCACATACTACCTGTCTTTTGTATGCACAGGGGGGAAAAAATAGGAATGTATGGGTCTATTTCTCATTAGGCAATTAGAGAAGGCCACTGTTAAAGCCTCCCCCACAAGAGACTTGGGTCAAAACAGCAAACGAAAATGAATGTTTTTTAATTGTTAATAAAAATAAAAAATGATAATTTTTCAATTTTTTTGTTACTTTCTTCTTTCATACTGATGTATTTTGACTAATTAAAGTGCATTCATTTTTCAAGTTTAAATGTGTGTGCATAGTATGTGTGTGTGTTCATTCTCTTACATAGCATTCAAGTTATGTTCATTTTCATAGTCTCTCATATAATTCCAGAGAAATATGGCTCATGTAACAGCCTGTGTGCTTTATCACTGTTGTCTAGTTTATGCACTATGGTTTTATGTGAAAGCCCACCTGCTCAGAGTAGAAGAAGCCCAGGATTGCAATGGCCATTTGGGTAAGAAAGACCAGCGTCAGACTAAACGAGAACTAGAGGAGGAGGAAAGAACATCATGAATTCTTATATTCAAGGAAGATCGTGTAATTGCACGGTACAGATTACATTTCGAAGGTACTGATCAGATAGCAAAACAATTAAATTTATCTCCAAAAACAGCTGCTAAATAGTTTTTGTATCATTATATATGTAAAGGCTATATTCTTATATAAACCTATTAGTTATTAAGATCCACTTCATGTGAAAAATGTCTTCCACCTACAGAAATTTATTTGACTAAAATAGAGTAGCTAGTCATAAGCCTTATTTGTAGGTCTCTTTCAAAAAAAACATGTTGATTTTAGCAATTTTCCACAAAGCAAATGTTTTCTGGCCCAGCTCTGGGCCACATATTAATTTTTCCATCGGGCCAAGTACTGCAAAGTATGACGATTCTGAAGTGGCCCATAACTGGATTAAAGACAAGGGCCACACATGGGCCATAACCGGCCCGAATCTCAGCCAATTTATTACCCTTAACTGGCCCTGAACTATGCCAAAACAGGTTTATTATTCCAAGGTAGCAAAGATTTCTGGCCCAGATTTGGTATAATGCTGGCACAGGAGACATTCATCTGGCACTGACATATAGCATGTGGGCCAAACATGGCCCAGGTTTGCAGAGGTAGCACTGTCTTTAAGGCGGCACACAAGACTTGGACCAGATATCAAATGTAGTATTTGGCCCAGATGTTAAAAATGTATATGTGGGCCACGTAAGCTTGGCCTAACTTGTCCCACTTTTAAAATGCATTTAAATTCCACCAATTAGATCACTTAGAGAAAAAGCCCGGCCATAAAGTGAAATGCTACATGGGTTTATCAAATTAACTGCAGTCGTGACACACCAACATATCTGGCCCAGTTCTGGCCCAGTTATGGGTTATTGACTTGGCTGAGACTTGGTCCAGATATGGTCCATGTTTGACCCTTGTCTGGAAGCTAGACTTGGTCCAATCATGTACCATAATTCACTGCGGCATGTGGGCCAAGCAAAAGCTGATTGTGTGGGCCAGATCTGGGCCAGAAAATTTTTGAAATGGGGGAACCCAGGTAGCAAAGTATTCTGGCCCAGATTTGGTATAAGGCTGGCACAGAAGACATTCCTGCAGCACTGACATATAGCATGTGGGCCAAACATGGCCCAGGTTTGGCAGAGGTAGCTTTGTCTTTAAGGCGGCACACAAGACTTGGGCCAGATATCAAATGTAGTATTTGGGCCAGATGTTAAAAATGTATATGTGGGCCACGTAGGCTTGGCCTAACTTGACCCACTTTTAAAATGCATTTAAATTCTACCAAGCAGATGCTAAACTGGTTTATCAAATTAGCTGCAGTCGTGACACACCAACATATCTGGCCCAGTTCAGGCCCAGTTATGGGTTATTGACTTGGCTGAGACTTGGTCCAGATATGGTCCATGTTTGGCCCTTGTCTGGAAGCTAGACTTGGTTCAATCATGTACCGTAATTCACTGCAGCATGTGGGCTAAGCAAAAGCTGATTGTGTGGGCCAGAGCTGGGCCAGAGAAATGTTGCTATGTTGGATTGGTACTGATTCTCAACTCTCAACTACCAGATCAACACCACCCTTTAACCAGAAATCTCAAAAACTGAGCCATAACCCAGCCCAATGTTACCTAAACAATGTCCCACAAAGCAAATGTTTTCTGGCCCAGCTCTGGGCCACATATTAGCTTTTCCATCGGCCCAAGTACCACAAAGAATGACGGTTCTGAAGTGGCCCATAACTGGATTAAAGACAAGGGCCACACATGGGCCATAACTGGCCCAAATCTCAGCCAATTGATCACCCTTAACTGGCCCTGAACTGGGCCAAAACAGGTTTATTATTGGTACTGATTCTCAGCTATAAGTTAACCAGATCAACACCACCCTTTAACCAGAAATCTCAAAAACTGAGCCATAACCCAGCCTAATGTTACCTAAACAATGTGAACAATCACTACACTGATCTGGGCCACACACCTCCCATCCACAACTGGCCCAAAATGCATGCAGTGCCATCATTGCCATGCAAAGCAAAACACCAACAGTGCCATAATGAGGCCACATTTGGGCCAAGTCTGTTTGCTTTGTGATTTGTACTCACAATCTTAAGAAGGCGGATGTTCTCCCGCAGAGCTCCAATGCATCCACAGAAGGTGATGAAGAACATGACAACTCCCACCACTATGAGGATCACAGCCGGGTCAATTAGGAACGAGTCCCGCACGGTGTCTGTGAAGGAAAAAAAATCCCATTCAGAAACACAGCACTGCTCCATACACACATCTGCAATTCATGATGGTGAACAGAACACTCACACATCTCATACCTGTCGCTTTCTGAGCTTTAGCATACACCCCAATGGCTACGATAAGAAGAGAAAACACCTACAATGAATAAATAAACACAAATAAATAATGTGACAAGTACACGTTGGTCATCTAATGCGACTACATATTTACCGTACAATCAATGTTTCAACATCTGCAGGTCTAATATAGCTTGGCAAATATGTAACTAGCATGTTATGACTAGCCTTTTATAGCTTTTATGGAGTTTCTTTTTAAGCTTCAATGCTAAGTTCATAGAAATGTGACTATTATTTCATTTAAATTTTTGTTTTTTTGCTGAGCTAAAAATTGACTATCATACATTTTTACAATATTTACAAACAAACAATAGCACTGATTTTTTAAACATTCCACATTTAATTACTATATGCGTATTTCATGCAGCTGCCATTTAAAAAAAAAAAAACGAAAGTGAGGGGTGAGGCAGTGGCGCAGTAGGTAGTGCTGTCGCCTCACATTAAGAAGGTTGCTGGGTTGCTGGTTCGAACCATGGCTCAGTTGGCGTTTCTGTGTGGAGTTTGCATGTTCTCCCTGCCTTCGCGTGGGTTTCCTCCAGGTGCTCCGGTTTTCCCCCACAGTCCAAAGACATGTGGTACAGGTGAATTGGGTAGGCTAAATTGTCCGTAGTGTATGAGTGTGTGTGAATCTGTGTGGATGTTTCCCAGAGATGGGTTGCGGCTGGAAGGGCATCCGCTGTGTAAAAACTTGCTGGATAAGTTGGCGGGACTAAGCCGACAAGAAAATGAATGAATGAACCGAAAGTGACGGAAGTATAGGATCACCACTGTAAACATTGCAACAACATGCTGTGAACTACAAACTTTTAGCTGTTTTCACGATTTCAAATTGCATAAATGGTGTAAACATCACTTTAATATCATTCATTTAAGTTTAATTTAAACAATTAAAAGCATATTAAGCATTAAACAAAATCATAATCTCTTTATGCGTAATAAGCTAAAGTGTCCTTCTAGGCTTCAGTTCATGGCACCAGGTAAACACGTTGGGGACGCTTCCCTGCTTCAGCCTATGTAACCCGGTGATTGATAAAATGATCCAGTCCTCTGCACACATTTTCTGTTCTTTTAATTCCAACATTCCTATACATTTCTTTAAATCTATAATTGTATCTTTATCTACATCTAAAAAAAAGTTTAATTTAAAATGTAGCAACAGTTTAAGATAGAAAAAGTATGCAGTGTGCATCAGAATTTTATTAGTACACAGTTAGAATGTATAATTTCCTATAACTGTTTGTCATATTATATGCTAGTTAACCCTATCACACAAGCAAAGATGCTCTCTCCATGATGGCAATAAATTCATTAGAATACACAGACATTTAATAAAAAAGGTGTTAGTATTAGGTGACTTACATTTCAGACACATTAGCCCCTTTCACGCATACGTTATTTTACGGTAAATTTAGAGGTTAATATCCATGAAGAGCTAATGTGTGAACAGTCCTGAATGTGAAGCTTTGACATTAGTATTAAATTAGCAGAATTCCTCTTTGTCTAAGTAATGAATTTTTAAATATAACTGTAAAGTTGTTTCAGTTAATTCACAGCAATATACCATTATTACTGTGTTTCAGCCTTAAATGAATCTTTAGAATGAATCAGCCAGTGATTCAATAGCCCATTCATCATAATAGGTACTTGCTTCATTTCTAAATAAATAAGTTTGAATGATCACTATAAAGCTCTATTGGGCATTTTATTCATGATATACATTATATTTACTTTAATACATTTAGGGCATTATTTTTTATTACATGTATTGTATAAGCTATTAGTACAGTATAATCTGTTATAGGTTAGGGTAATTAGGCAAGTTGTATAACGATGGTTTGTTCTGTGGACTATCGAAACAAAATAAAGCTTAAAGGGGCTAAAAGTTTTGACCTTAAAAAGGATTTTTAAAAATTAACAACTGCTTTTACTCTAGCTGAAATGAAACAAATAAGACTTTCTCCAGAAAAAGAAATATTATCAGACATACTGTGAAAATTCCCCCCCTGAAAATTCAAAGGGGGGCTAATAATTTGATTTCAACTGTATATATATATGTACACACACACATGTATATATATATATTTACACATATATATATTTACACACACATATATATATATATATATATATATATATATATATATATATATATATATATATATATATATATATATATATATATATATATATAACCACTTTTTAATTCAATTTGATGCAGACACCAGACATCACACTATTGGTACACACACTAGGCCTAAATATTTGACTATATTTGGAGAGCTAAATTCAAAAATTAATAAATTTTAAAAATAAATACATAAATAAACAAAATCACATCCACACCAGTTGCTTAGGTTATTAAAAATCTGTCTCCGAATATTGATGTTTGCCCAGAGAAATCTCAGGATTTATTAGCAGACGACCCTAGACTCGATGTTGTTTCATTTAATGAAATGGCATTCAGACTTATAAGTGGCTTTATATTGAAACAATGGATTTGATTTTGAATTATATTGGTTTCTCCACGTAAGTGTATTATTACTTTTATTTCTTTAAACAAAGACTATATTCTCAAAGCTGAAATAAAACAGCCTGTGAGCAATAGAGACCCTGCTGCCATTGCTTCTGATATTGCTTCAGTCGCTGGAAGCTTTTTCATGTGTCTGAGAGTCACTGCAGCTCCATTATGCATCTGAAGAGTCTTCAGAAAGTTGTTCAGTTTTATCAGCTCACTCCTTAAGAGTCGATGACTGACTCGGCTTGCATATGAAATATAAGGAATCAGATTAAAGAGCGATCAGATGCTTTTTTTATTGTAAAGAAACAGCCTCTCAGGAAACATAATTTTGAGTAGATCTGCACGACATTGGAAAAATCTGACATTGCAATATTTAGTTTTTCTGATCTATTTTTTTTAATATATATATTTTTACTTTTGTCAACTGGTAAAATTTTGTTTCTCGCCACTGTCACCACTGGCTGGCTTGGTTTGGGACTTGTGGAGCTACACATCAATGGATTTGCTCTTCAGAGTTTGAACTTTCAGCAGTGAAACTGTTAGAAGCACTGAACTAAACTGAACTTCAACTCTGAAAACTGGACTGACAGTTTCAATTTACTAGAACTTCTATGTTAAGCTGCTTTGACAATCTACAAAAATAAAAATAAAGATGCTATAAAAATAAAGATGAATTGACTTAAATAAGCACAAATATATTATTGTCAAGCATCTTAGAAAATAGGAATTTAAAAGAGAGATCTGTGAGTGGTGTCCTTACTTATACTGAGCGCTGTACAAGCAAAAAGAGATAAAACCGTAAAGATAAAGGAGAAATAAACAACTCTTTATGGATTCCCATGTGAGTCTAACAGTATCCCGGTACATAACCTGAATAATTAAATGTGAAATAACATTGCAAAGTCTTTACTGTATAAATGATGAAATAAAAGACATCTTTATCACTCCAAACAGGACACTTTCTCATGCCTGAATACTTTAAAATGTTTTGACATGCTCACACAGTCACAGAAATGAAACTCCATAATGATGCATTCTGAATTGATCAGTTTTAAACCCAGCATATAAACTCAACATGTGACTTTTGAGGATGCGCACATCTATTATAAAATTATACACTGTGCAGCTCTAGTTCTGTGCATTTCTGAAAAAATCCAGTCTTTGTGACTGGAACAAAAGACTAATGGATTCAGTGGTAACATTATGTCCAAAGGTCCGTCTGTTGTGTGTAAACACTGGTTTAGAATGAACAGTTTGAATTGGCAGCGGCGTTCATTTTTCACAGCATAAAGACAATTAACGGCCATCACAGTCTGCAGATCATTTCTTTTCAATGTGAGTTGGCGATTTGAGGCAATATGAGTGACAGGGACTGCTGGTAATGTGACAAAATCCAGTTCAAAATTATGCAAATGCGCAGTATGTGAGCCTTTCATTCCAATAACATTTTTTTAACATGGAATCGACTTTTCTTTCTTTTTTTTCTTGGGTTTAATTACTATTCCGAGTCCAATTCTAGATAAAAAAACAGTTTTGTTAAAACTCATGGAATGTGAGTTACATTGTTTCATTTGGAAACTATAAATGTGACTTCCACGTTATTCTAAACAGCTTTTGGAAGCCTCACATACTAATCAATGCTGAATTGTTCTTTTGTTTTTAAAAATAAAAAATACAATAAACAGCAATGGACATTTTAATAACTATAACAAAAATTTAATATTAATAAAACATCAATAATTCTTTCATTTTCTTGTCGGCTTAAGCCTGGTTTATACTTCTGCGTCAAGTGACCGGCGTAACCCACGGCACATGCAACGCGCGTAGCTGTGCATTTATACTTCTGCGCGCTGTCTCTGTTGGTCTGCATTAAAACTTCCAAATCGCTAGTTGGGAGTGAGGTGTAAATGTTCCTCTGTGTCGAGTTTCTTCGCTTTTTTTTTGCTTTTCCTGAACACTTCCTGGATGTACAAGTGGCTCAAACTCGCTCATTTTGAGGCAGGAACCAGCGGACGTGCAACAACTTTAACTATGAGGTAAACACAAAACAAAACTTTCCACCCGGAGCTCCTTCACGGGACTCCACACTTGTAAACAATCGGTCCATCAGGCTCGCACCATTCGCGCGGCTCTCGGTCCCGCCCAGACTTGTCAGCGCTACCAAGCCGACCAATCGCAGAGCTTACGCTACGCTTACGCTTACGCTACGCTACTAAAAACACTGTAGGAACCATGACAGTGGAAACCATAATTTTTGTGATGCGAGCCATTTTAAATGCTATGGTTATGTGCCATGCTGTTGTTATAGTGATATTGTAGATATTGTTACATTTTTTGAGAGGTGCACGTCAGCGACGGCGAAGGGCTATGCGTCAGCGACGTAGCATACGCTGGCGTTTGACGCAAAAATTTAAATCAGCCTTTAATCCCTTTATTAATCTGGGGTCGCCACAGCGGAATGAACCACCAACTTATCCAGCAACCAACTTATTAATAAATAAAGATTCCAGCGTTATGGATGTGACATTTGCAGTAAAAATTCAAAACATAAATTCGCAGAGAAAGTATACATTAACATTATATTGAATCATCTGTTTATATTTTCCAAAACAACTAACCATAGAGTTATGGGATCAAAAAAAATTAATCTGTGAACATTTTTATACTTTAAATGAGGAAAATAAACAAGCGTTATGGATGTGACAAAAAAAGTCTGCAAGTTTACAGTATACAATATTTTTCGTAGAAATTTTGTGAATTAAACTGCACAACCCAAAATAAATAATGCTCAACAAAAGGATAAGAGTTGGCTCTTTATAGAACAAAACTGATTGATTTTATTTTATTTTGACATTTTTGCATTTTTGAGGGAAAAGCTGTGTTATGGATGTGACACTTTTTCGTTATGGATGTGACGGATGTGAAATTGCCATTTATTTGACTTTGGTAAATAAAATATAATAGTTTGAAAACATTGACTGAGACATTTTTAGGTATTTTTAAACTACTGTAAAACACTTGCCTGCGCAAAAAATGTAGAAACGGTTTCGCTATTTTGGTGAAAACATTTTTCTTTTCATGGCAAGGTTGACATTTTCATGGAATTGCTCATATACAATTATATACACAGTACAAAACCTCAAATCAGAAAAAATGGGAGAGTATGTACAAAGTAAAGTGTATTGTGTGATTGTAGAGTTTTAGTTTTTTGTTAAGCCACATTATTATTTACCTTTTTATTTGTTGGTATGATTTTTTTTTGTCATTGTATTAAGTTGGTACTATCTTTACTTTTTGAAATATAATTGTTTTGTTAAAAAATGTTGACTACTGTAAGAAATACCTCTACCCAACTTTAGTTTCACATCTTGTTATCAATCCCTTACGGGGAGGGATGAGGCACACAGAGAACCATCTCAGACAATAGGGTGTCGAAACATCAAGATAAAAACACAGCTATGACGACAGCTAATGGTGCAAATTCATTTACAATTAAAGCAGTAAACAAAATCTGTTTAAAAGATTTGAGTTTAACAATGTTATGGGTTTGTTAAGGTTAAGGGTACTGCTGTGTACTTTGAATAAACTGAATAAATGCTGAATAATAAAAAAAATGTATGTCTATATTAAAAAAAAAATACTTGTGAATGATATGTTAAGCTTGAGCTCTATGAGTGCTTCAGCATTAAGTAAATGTCTTGCTTAGGACTGAGAGCACAAGACCATTTTTGTCTGTTTCTTCGTCTTCAAACCTGTGCAGCAACTCTTAAATCTGACAGAAGTTTTCAGGAAGCTTAAGAGTCCTGAACAAAGGCATAATATGAGGCAATTTCTGCAGTGCAAGCGATTCACTTGATTCTGAGATTGTATCACACAGTCAATACCCTGATAAAACACAACACAAGAGAAGCGCCAGAACAGATGCCTTTGTTTTGATTGCACGCACTGTATCTTTAGGGGATTCATGCCTTCCTTTGCATCCTATTCTGCCATTACATCCCAGAGAGTGGTATTTTTACTCGATAAAATTCCTCGCAATTCTATGCAAATAGAGTGCTCCGAAATGAGTCGTGTTGTGCTGAAAACATCACAGTGGAGGAACAATTGCAACAGCGAGTCTGGTGAAAAGACTAAATTACATCCCCTGATGTTTTATTCATGTCAAAGCTGGCCAAAGAGCTTATGCTCTGCCGTCTGGAAATGTCCTTTCCTTCAACGAAACCCATTCAAAACTGCAGTCAGAGGCCTCACTCACTTACCCAGAATAAAAAGCTGAAGAAGAACAGGAAGTACCGGATCCAAGGGTTGAGGAAAGAGAACATTTCCGTCCTGCTTAGGCTCACCTGCCTGTCCATTTGAACAGATTTTTAAGAAGCATAAATATAATTACAAACATACATGCCAGGTTTCAGTCTGCAGCTGTAGTCTGCAATGAAGTGCAACAGCTGCTGTACATGTATACTGAGGTGCTCTGCACATTAGTGTCTGTGGAAGCAGCCAGAGCACAGCGTTACATAAAAGCTGCCTTTGGATGCTTTGAAAGCCATTGTTTTCCATCAGTGTGGACAAGAATTTGCAGTCAGGCAAAACAGACAGGGCGTGGGATTTTCGGTGTTTCTGTTTTGACAACTCCCTATGATTATTTAACCATGGTTCTATTGCAGTTACAATAGTAAAACTTTTTTTTTTGCAGTAAAACCAAAAGGAACCACAAAATTAACATGTTTACTATTCATTAGTATTCATTCATAATTACTGTCATTTCCACACTTCAACTGTGATAACTGAACTTCATTCATTTTTCTTCAGCTTAGTCCCTTATTTGTCAGAGGTCGCCACAGTGGAATAAACTGCCAACTATTCCAGTAAATGTTTTATGCAGAGGATGCTCTTCCAGCCACAACCCAGTAATGGGAAACACCCATGCACTCTCACGTTCACACACACACCCCATGCACTACAGTCAGTTTAGTTCATCCAATTCACCTATAGAGCATGTCAATTCGAGGAAAACAGGAGCATCTAGAGAAAATCCATGCGAACAAGAGAAGAACATGCAAAACGCCACACAGAAATGCCAACTGGCCCAGCTGGGACTTGAACAGTGACCTTTATGATATGAGGCGACAGTGCTAACCACTGTGCCGCCTTTATAAGAACTTCATCTATGTTATTAATCTATGTACACAATCTACATTATAAAAAGTGCTATAGAAATAATAAAGGGATTGTGTTGAATCACATTTGATGTAAAACCATCTTAACTACAAAATGTAGCATAGATTTATTATGCCATTGGAAGTAAAACCATAGTAACTACAACAACCTTTTACAGGTGTATTGCAGTGTGGTGCCTTACCCCTTTTTTTTTTTGTGAATTCTAGTTGATTTTTTTGATGTATACTTTTTTTTTTTTTTGGAGTCGTTACTGCATAACTTTTGTTAAATATAATATAACATGCTTTGGTTCTGTGGTTCCTACAGTTATGTTTACTCTAACGTTACTGCAGTACTAATACTACAATATCACTATAACAACAGCTTGGCACATAACCATAGTATTTAAAATGGCTCGCATCACAAAAATCATGGTTTCCACTGTCATGGTTCCTACAGGGTTTTTAGTATTGCAATGGTATTAAAGTAAAGCCATGCTCTCAAAACATTGTTTTTCACAACCACAAGTATGCACAAAAAACAAACAAACAAACAAAAAAAGAATAACCAAACCAATTAAAAAAGAAAAAAAGAAAAAAGAGAAAAAAACATGGACACAACAGTTATTGTTTTTACAGAGTTATTATTACAATGTTACTGTTTTAAAACCATGGTCACAAAACCATGTTTTTTTTTCTTTTAACCATAGTATGCAGCAAAAAACCATGGTTACCAAATCCATGGTTCTTACATTGATATTACTATGATATTACTATAGTAAAACCATGGTCACAAAACCATGTTTTTTTAAACCACAGTATGCACCAAAATAAATAAATAAATAAAATAAATAAACATGGTTACTAGAGTCATTGTTCCTACAGTATTATTACTACAACATAACTATAGTAAAACCACAAAGATCACAGTATACACCAAAAACCATTGTTCCTACAGTCATGGTTTCTAGTGTTATTGCTACAATATTACTATAGTAAAACTTTGTTTTTTCATAACCACAGTATGCATAAAATATCATGATTACTATTGTCATGGCTCCTACAGTGCTATTACTACAATATTACTATGGTAAAACCATGATCACAAAACCATGTTTTTTTTTTTTTTAAACCACAGAATGCATCAAAAAAGAAAAAAAAAAACATGGTTACTACAGTCATGATTCCTACTTTGTTAATACTACAACATTACTATAGTACAACCTTGGTTTTTAAAACCACGGAATACACCAAAAACAATGATTTCTACAGTCGTGGTTTCTATTATTACTACAATATTACTATAGTAAAACCATGGTCTCAAAACTACAGTTTTAAAAACCACAACAAGCACCAAAACATGGTCACTATAGTCATGGTTCCTATAGTATTATCATAATATTACTACAATATTTGTTAAACCATAGCCTCAAAACCATGATTTTTAAGATCACAATATGCACCAAAAATGCATGCTTCCTACAGTCATAGTTTCTAGTGTTGTTAATACCATATTACTATAGTAAAACTATGGTCACAAAACCATTTTTCGAACTAAAATATGCACCTTAAAGTATGGCTACTACAGTCATGTTTCCTACAGTGTTATCACAATATTACTACAATATTACTATAGCAAAACCATGTTCTCATAACCATGATTTTTAAGACCACAGTATGCACCAAAAAGCATGATTTTAACAGCCATGGTTCCTAGTGTTGCTATTACAATATTTCTATAGTAAAACCATAGTCGCAGAGCCATGTTTTTTTAAAACCACAGTATGAACAAAAAAAAGCATGGTTACTACAGTCATGGTTCCTACAGTGTTAATACTACAATATTACTATAGTGAAAACTTGGTCACAAAACCACAGTGTGCACAGTATTTACTAGACTTTTCCATAGTAAAACCATGGTTAATTTGCAATATTGTCCCCTGTCCGTCTCAGTATGAGAAGACAGACACTTAGGTGTTTTGTGAATCAGTCTGTCACCGGTTCAGAGTGATGACTTGATTATCAGAGTCTCGGTAGATCAAGGACTGTGAAACCAGGGCAGGCTGTTCAAGCTGCTGGAAAGCCATTCTAAATATAAATGACCCATCGTGAAACTGCACTTTCAGGAGTAGTTTGGACTCTGCTGCTTGTCTGACTGCCTTTTCCCACTGGGACCTCTGCTGTTTCTCTGGACTGCATCTGTAAAGCTCATTCAATCCTTTCTTCACGAGAGCCGAAGGACAATCAATCCGGTTGTTGAGAGTCTTTTGCACAGGTTTATTTGCTACAGGCCCTGAAAGCTCTTCCCCCCCTCTCTTTTCTTTGAAAGTTTGGAGACAGAGCAGTAGAGATCCAACACATTGATTTGTTTGTTTCCTCCTGACATCCACAAATATCACATCCTTTGAATGCATTATGGATCCAGTATCGTCTATCATAATTCTCATGTTACCGCGTTCAGACGCTACTCTGCAGCTTTCTGAATATACTGTAGCTATAAGAGTATTGATCTGAAGAAGAAAAGAGCACAGCATTTCTCTATAATGTCTAATGACTTTATAGGTCTGCTACAAAACAGACTGTTATAAAGCAATGCTTTGTATTGGTACTTTTACAAAGGCACGTATTATTATGAACTTTAGCAAATTTAAAAGTGTATAATTATTTTTATAATCACTGTTGCAAGCATTAAGAAACTAATGTTACAAAAATTATTAAAATTTTGGTATAGGTTGTTTTCAATCATGTGGCTCTGGTGATGTGTACAATTCAGACGGAGGGCATGAATCAAAAAAAAAAAAAAGGTGACAGAGCAAAGTCCATATTTTTGCGAGTTTTACCACATTTCAAAGGAGATGTAAATGGAAAATACAGTGCATCCAGAAAGTATTCATAGCTCTTTACTTTTTCCACATTCTATTATGTTACAGCCTTATTCAAAAATGGATTAAAATAATTTATTTCCTCAAAATTCTGCATACAATAATCTATAATGACAATGTGAAAAATTATTTTTTTTTTTAATTGTTGCAAATTTATTAAAAATAAAAACCTGAAAAATCACATGTATTCACAGACTTTGCTCAATACTTTGCTGATGCACCTTTGGCAGCAATTTCAGCCTCAAGTCTTTTTTAATCATGATTCCACAAGCTGAGGAATTCTTTGGGAATTTTTGCCCATTCCTCTTTGCAGTACCTCTCAAGCTCTATCAGGTTGGATGGGAAGTAATGGTGTACAGCCATTTTCAGATCTCTCCAGAGATGTTCAATAGGATTTAGGGTCTGGGCTCTGGCTGGGCCACTCAAGGACATTTACCGAGTTGTTGTGAAGCCACTCCATTGATATTTTGGCAATGTGCTTTGGGTCATTGTCCTGTTGGAAGATGAACCGTCGCCCCAGTCTGAGGTCAAGAGCACTCTGAAGCAGGTCTTCATTCAGGATGTCTCTGTACATTGCTGCATTCATCTTTCCCTCTAACCTGACTAATCTTTCAGTTCCTGCTGCTGAAAAACATCCCATCCCTACAGCATGATGCTGCCACCACCATGCATGGATGGTATTAGCCTGGTGATGAGCTGTGCCTGGTTTTCTCCAAATGTAACGCCTGCCATTCACTCCAAAGAGTACAATTTTAGTCTCACCAGACCAGAGAATTTAGTTTCTTATGGTCTAAGAGTCCTTCAGATGCCTTTTGGCAAATTCCAGGCAGGGCTGCTATGCGCCCTTTACTAAGGAGTGGTTTCCGTTTAGCCACTCTACCATACAGGCCTGATTGGTGGATTGCTGCACAGATGATTGTCCTTTTGTAAGGTACTCCTCTCTCCACAGAAGAATGCTGGAGCTCAGAGACCATCAGGATATTGATCACCTCCCTGACTAAGGCCCTTCTCCTCAGATCACTCAGCTTAGATGGCCGGCCAGCTCTAGGAAGGGTCCTGGTGGTTCCAAACATCTTCCACTTACGGATGATGGAGGCCACTGTGTTCACGGGAACTTTCAGAGCAGCAGAAATTTTTCTGTAACCTTCCCCAGCCTTGAGACAATCCTGTCTTGGAGTACTACAGACAATTTCTTTGTCTTCATGCTTGGTTTGTGCTTTGACGTGCACTGTCAATCCCGGGACCTTATATAGACAGGTATATGCCCTTACAAATCATGTCCAATCAACTGAATTTACCACAGGTGAACTCCAATCACGCTACTAAAACATCTCAAGACTGATCAGTGGAAACATAAAGTACCTGAGCTCAATTTAGGGCTTCATGGCAAAGGCTGTTAATACTTTTGTACGTGTTATTTTTCAGGTTATTTTAATAAATTTGCAAGAATAAAAAAAAAA